GGGACATTTGTGGATCTGCCTGCCGCAGGAGAGGGCATTGTGCTTTTGTAACTTCTGACTGTCTCTGGGGTCGACCTTTTGGACTGAGGCGACTCCCTGCTTGGGGTGGGTGGGAAGCTGTAGTAGGCGTATGAGGCGGAAGATAGTCGGTTACTGGTCATCAGCTGCTTCAGACTATTGCCTGCATTGATTCTGCGCTGCTGTTCCGTTCAGCCAGCGCACCTTCTGGTCGATTGTGGGAATTAGATGGATGATTGAATGGTTATAATACACGAGCTAGGCAAACATGAAGATTCAAAAGCAGAAACCCCGCGACGGACGAGGGAGGAGAACAGCTCATCAAGTACGCTGGAAAATCTGCTACGTCACCGGCCATCATTCTCACGTTGTAGAGCTGGTCGTCTACGGTGCCTGAACAGAGACCTGTCAACATGAGGTGAAGTGGGGAACTTTCTCAAAGAAAAACCGGCTTCTTGCTTCAACTGCGGCGGTGCAGTTCAACTCAGTTGCCCTCGACCGTCAACCATCACCACGACCACTACCATCATCACCGCCTCCACCTCCACCAGGTCTTCGAGGTCTTCCCGCATCTCAAGCCACACCATCCAAAAATCTTGCGAATAGGCGACGTCTCGCTTCTCCACTCTGCCTCCACTAACGACCCCAAACGCTAAATCCCTGCAGCAGCCCGAGCGCATTTGGTCAAATCCCATGTTCAAGATGCCGGCACCGGTGGCGCCGTGAGTGGTTCTACCCATACCTACAAGAAGAGCAGGTGTTGGTCTCCCAAACAAACCAGGAGCAGGAGCTCTTTCACACACGTTATCGGAGAAGCCTGTCAACCTGTGTTCCTTCTCACAAGGCCGGCGAGCTGAAATCCTCCCAATGCAGATTGTACCATGCGCAGGGCGACTGACATCAGTGTCTCCATCAGCTACTAGAGGTGTCCCGGGTGAATCCTTGTCGGATTGCCCTTGAACCACATCTTTGCCTTCCACCCTCATTCGCCACCGTCTCCCACCAGCCTTGATCACCATTTCAATGCTGACTTGGGTTTCCCTGTAGGGTCCTTGTCCATCCTCCTGCGCTCCTCTTTTCCTCCATTCGATGGAAATTTCAAGTTCCTGTGCCACATTCCTACTCTATTCCGACGCGGCCAACCGCTCTGACGCAATGAGATTAACCAAACAAGTCGGGGGTCAGCCACAACCAGTCCAAAGTATCTGGATGCTGCCCATTGTGTCGTCATAGAGAGGAGGAGATGATTTTCAAATAGGTACCTATTCAGTGCCTATGTGCGCAGCAGGTTAAGTAGCCAGCCGGCGATTTGCAAAGAGTGTTTCGGATAGCAGCTTGGTCGTCGAGAATGTTGAAATAGTGCGCAGCCATCGTCTCCGACTACTTAGGCCGTGGCTAACTGCACCTGCAACGGTCCTGTGCCAGCTCACGTCTCAACACTCGACCATCGGCGTGACAAAAAGTGAGGCGGAATACTGTACCCGTGGTCGACTTGCCTAACCTTACTTTCCATGAATCGCTGAGTCGCTGAGAAAGCAGATCATCGACCGATGAGACTGAGCAGGTTGACTCACCAGCCACAGCATCCTCGACAAGCGGGACAATAAGTGGGAGAGGGCAACGCGTGGCTGGCTGCCGATTCGCGCGGACAAAGTTCTTGGGCGTCCGGGGTATCTGTGATCGGCGGCGCACGTTTGGCCCCAAGGCCATGGATGCTGGCCAACTTTTGCGTGGCAGCCCCCGCTGCATGGGCGACATTGGTGCCCGTCTTGACGTCTTGACATCTTGACATTGGGTGACATCACCACCCCCAAGGGGTCGCTTTGCTCTCCCATGGCTGGAGTACTGGGTAGTGCTCACCCAATTGCCATACCTAGGTAGAGCTCGAGCTGGATGTTTGCCACACAAACCCCCGTCTCTACCCATGCATTTCTGGGTCGCCGATCGCTGACCCCTTTCGCCAGAGAAGGACCGATCGAGCGATGTCACAGTGGGATCGATCCTGGAGCCTCGTTGACAGCCGCTGACGTTTGAAACGGAAGGCTCACTCTAGTCAGGAAAGGGAGGTCCTCATTGTTCCTTGGTCCACCCGAAATCGCATGCACCATGGATTTGCACGCGCAAAGCAAGACCAACTGCCCTGCTCGCCAGTCATGTAAAGCCGATCGCTTTGAACGTGGCCGTGGGCCGACTAGCGCGCCACCAGCTCCAAGCGCCGCGTATCTCATCCCCTTTCCTGTCTCAGCCTCTACATACGGAGTACGGATTTGAATCACCGATTTATCTTGAGGAATCACAACCTGCGCCCGGCCGCTGTATCGCCTTTCAAGAAATAGCTCCAATGGTGCCTTCCCTCGCCGTATCCTGCTGAGGCATAAGGATGTAGGTAATGTCCCACACACTTGGAGAAGATGGGAATTATTGCTCGTCACCGCGGAAATTCAATCTCTTCAACAATACCGCCATGTCCGAGGATGGGGTGCCATGAGTTACCTGGATGGAAAAGGGAACAGCCCAAGTGTCAACACTGTGGTGCACGCCTTGAACCAAGTGCGGCATGATCAATCAATGAGGCTGCTGTTGCTGGCCCAATGCCCATGAGCAAATGCTATCATCTGATGCTCAGACTGTGGGAAGGACTGCCAAAAATGGGAAATCCAAAACGAGTTGGTTTTTTTACGAGGCCGAAAAGCCCCCGTTTTCCTCCTCCCCGCCACTCCCTTCTTACTCCTGCCCATCCTCGTAAGAACATTCATCAAATCCGGCACACCTCTCGTCAGCCACTGTGGCCACTAGTCACGCTAAGAAGGGGTACCTTCTGATGTTGGGCTTGAAGAAACCAGAGTTGGAGCAGCTTGCGAACATATTATTATAACCTGCCCTTAGGATTGATGGCATCACACTTTCCCCCTTGATTCGCGTCTCCATTATTTCTCTCCCTTGGCTCAGGAGACTGCTCATGGTGATCGTGATGGAATCATGTACATACATATACCTTTAGAGATGTACGGGGTAATCGACTACACACCTGTTCATTCACATTTGCTTCATGGGCGATGATTGATTGAGTGCTTGCTCCGAGAGGAATCAAACCAGACAAATCATGATATATATGAAGGAGAAATGACCTTCGTCAAGTATGTTTCCTCGCCTTTTATGAGCCTACAACCGATGCTAATGGTTTGCTCTTATCATCACGGTAAACTCGTTCCGGCCATCTTTTCCTTTTTGCTGCTGGTCTCTCTGCTCCAGTCTCACCCGACCGAGATTCTCAAGGGAATGGACACGCTTTCCGGGAGTTACGAGACTGTCATTTTCAACGAGACGACGAATGTCGATATAGGCGCGACAACACGAGCGCGGCCTCGTTGATTCACTCGGTGCAGCAACCAATAGTGCTCGACTATTGGAATTAACCTCTCAACGAACACAGAACAGACCCCGAATATGACAGCACGATCCATCGCGCCGTTTCTGTCGCTTGCATGGTCGCCCTGATTTGCTACTAGGTCCACATTCGCGTCGCAGGGTATAAGCTCAGTCTTTATCGGCGGCGCTTGACGGATGTCAAGATGTGGCTAGTCATGCTCGAGATTCCCTGGCCTGGTGGCTCCTGGTTGTACTGCTAACCAACACCCCAGACGAAGGACCAAGCGACCTGCGCCAAGGTTGAAAGCGTAAACCAGTCTTCTCGGTCGCGAGCTTGCTGTGGCCCTGATGCATTGCGAGACCCTTGTTTTTCGACGACGAGGGGCTCTATTAGCAGAGAATCGACAAAGGCTCTGGGACCTGAGAAGCCAGAAATATATCGGGGTTGGAGATTGTTCTTCGTCAGGGCATGCTCAACGGGCCCGCGGTGACGCTCTAGGGCGCAAAGGCCTCAAACAGGCCATTGCGCAGTTCGATAATAAGATTCTCTTCCAAGAGCGTGCTAAAGGGAAGGAGGGCGACGCACAGCAATGGCTGCAACAAGACTTTCTCTGCCAAATAGTTGCAGAGCAAAGTCCGACGAGATCAATCTCGGGCACTACGTCATGCCTTGTGGGACAAGTGCTGGCAAGTCAAACCGACCACATTCAGTGCGTTATACCTTGTCACCACCGCGTGGTACATTGACAATGGAAACATGGATGGTTATCACGTCGCTCCCGTGGCAATCAAAAGCTCCGCCTGCCGACTCTGCGTATCCCACCGAATGGACAATGCGGCGAAGGCATATCTGACCCATGGTCATGGTCTGCCAAACCCTGGCAAAGGCCCCCGACGCTTACCAACAATTTCACCAATCTGGCTGGCTCAGTGGTTGTCGTGTAATAGCTGAAATAAGTGGCCGAGGTTGTTAGCAACGGCGTACACAGATAGATAGATCTAGATCTCCTGTGCTATGTAACGAGAGCAACATAATTGAGGAAAACAAAGGGGTTTGGTTTCCCCCCCAACAGTCTTTGGTGTCTTCAAGTCTCACGAGAAGGGAAGGTAATCAATGGATCTAACAAGTCTTGCAAGTATTATGTCTGGAATGGCGCGGGATGCGCGGGGGAAAGTAGGCTTTAGCCGCACTCTCCGCAATCTGAAACATTTCATTGGCGGAAACCGTGTGTCGGAGGTTACTTGAAGCCTTTACGGGACGCCTCGAAGCGAATAATTGATACTGTAGCTGTAGGGAGATTTCTCCGAGCGGTTCTCCAGGGAGAATGGTATTGAATACGCGTTGATTATTCTTTCTGTGTTTGACATGCAGAGTGTTGACGAATCCGTATCACTCATTCGCTCAATATGTAGTTGAGTTTCCATTTCTCGGGCACCTGTGGACTGTGCCATGGCAGTAGGTCTTTGGGTCTGCGGCACCTACTTGCGCAAGTGAAGTGCCAAATGACCCAAGCCCCATCTTCTGCTTCAGTTTCTGGTTCTATCGTCACCTCATCTCGTCATCGTCATCTTCACTGCCTTGTCTTCGTTTCCAACAGGGTCAATGTTCACCATCAATACCCGCGTCTCGCAAATCGACCGGGAATAACTGGCCCTCGCGGCACCGACGACGGCGCCGATGCTGCAGAACGTGACGAAGTCGGCAGAGGCACGAAGCTCTCCGTATGCGTAGCACTCGGCTTGCCCTTGGTTCCTCCTTGTGTCCCGTTCACATGCATTGTGCCCGTGGCAATGTCCAAGCCATTGATTGCGCGGGTAAAGAAGCCCAGCGCCGCAACGGGCTGGTAGTAGGGGACCTCGTGGCCCGACTCGTAAATTCGGGTGAAGGAGAAGTTGCCATACTCACGGGTCTCGCCGTATTCGACGCCGTCGACCACGAAGGGCACATACCCCGAGGCCTTGAACTGAGCGGCGTGAGGCCACTTAGCGGCAAGGGATACAGCCTGCCCGCCATACCAATTGCAGATGTAATCTGCGTCGCCATACACAAGAGTCACGCGTACAGAGGAGGAGTTGAGGATCTGCTCCAAGTCTTCGATGAAGTTGAGGTAGATGAAATCGCCCGTCTGTTGGAAGGCGTAGTAGACCTCGTCGTTGGCGTCGGTGGTGTAATTGGTATCAACGCCCAGGGCTTGTTGTGTCGAGGGCAAGTTGAGGAAGTCGATGAAGTAGGTGGGTGGGGTAGGGTCAACGTACGGGTGTCGAATGTCATAAACGCCGCGATTGCCGTAATAGTAGTATGGGGACTCAACGTTGTCGCGGCACATGTCTTCAGCCTCGGTGCACGCGGCCTGACCCTCAAGAGTCGAAGTGTCGGCGATGGCGCAGAAGGAGATCTGGTCCAGGCAGCCGCCGTCCATGTGGCAAGCGAAGGTCATATAGTCATAAACGGTATCGTTCACGGCTTTGATTCCGTAGGTATTGTTGTTGGCGAAGATGGGGTAATACGGAGCTTGGACGTATTCATCCACGATCCCATTCATAATCCCCAGATTCACGAACTCGAAGAATTTACCGGTTTGACTACCGTTGGCAATGGCTTCGTTTTGCTGGTAGAAGTAGTTGAAGAAGGCGGGTCCATAATGTCCTATGTAACCTGTCAGCGGCGCCGCCCGAATGGAAGTGGTCCACATCTAACCTCCGTAAGATTCTGTCCACAGGTTGAACTGGGTTGATTGGACCTTGGAATCAAGCTGCGGTAACGCTGCGTAGAATCCTTGGAGCACCTCCCAGGCAGCGACTGCGGCGAGGTCCGTGGTATCTACAACACCGTCATGAGCACATGCGCATTCGCGCCACAAGTTCTGTTGGACTCACCGATCGCAGTCGCATTGATGATGGGATATCTGCCGGTTACATTTGCCTCTGATGGCGGTACGAAGTTTCCAAAGTTTGGATCGAGCGAGCCCGGGCCCTGGAGCCAAGTATCAGTTCCATCTCTTATGGTCAGTTTCACCTCGGTATTCTCACCTTTGAGCCATACGAGAACCCCACCCCTAATGGTTGACTGAGGAAGATCATGTTTGAAGCCTCATTCCATGCGTACGGGTTGAGGTGAGTGGTCAAGTTTTTGGTGACATTACACGGACCGAGCTCTGTAACAGGCTGTCAGCCACAGACTCGGAACAGGCAAAGAACCACCCATTTGTTTTGCCGGTGCCCAAGTCCACTTACCTTGAAACATCCCGATCAGAGAGTCACTTCCGGGCCCTCCATTGAGCCATAGTGTGATCGGATCGTTGGCAGGGTCGTTTCTCGACTCAAAAAACCAGAAGAAGCTGTGGACATCCGGAGCAAGGTTGATGAAGCCTGCGTATGAATTGACGCCCGGGGTCGTCTCACAGATGCCCTCCTTTCCCGGTTCCTTGTAGGTGATATTGACCCCATTGGGAGTGACGATTGTTTGAACGCCAGTGGGCTCGGCTGGTAGCTGTCGTGGCAAGACTTGAAGCTTTGGCCCCGGACCTCTTCTGTTGTGGACGACAGGTCCCTTGACTGCGGAAGCGCCAGCGGCAAGCGCTCCGAGGAAAGAGAGTATTGAGGGGCGCATTGCGAGACGTGCTCAAGGCGCCAAATGTGAAGGAGGGATGTGTAAACGGGAGGCGGGAAGAGGTAGAAAAACACTTCACTTTGGCTCAAAGCGAGCAGCTGTACCGAGTAGTGTAACTGTGTAACCGCCTGAGAGACACGGACAGCTGCGCACGGGAAAGAGAGGGGGATACGCGAGACGGGGTTCGCGCAGACAACATTAAGTAGTAGAGGGTTTTCTGACCTCTGCTCACGATTCAGCCGCTATCTGCACCAAATCGACGCTCCTGGTGAGCAGCATCCATCCTAGTGCCTTCACTAGCTTGAGAGTGAGTGTAACTGATTGCTGGCTAAAGAACCGAGGTGTCATCTTCTCGATGCATAGTTCGCCAGCAAGCCATTTGCCAGGAACACAGCGACCATATTCAATGACGTTTTGCCAGGACAAGAAGTAGTATCGCGACAGGGATCCTAGCTATAACCAACCCTTGACCTGTGGAGTTAGAATTCGGTTAGAGAAGCTTGAGCCTTCGGCATTCTGGTAAATGGGATTAGCCCATAGGGCGAGCATCCATCCCCCGATGCTTTCCAGTCCCCATGAGGAAGGTCCTCAAGTGAATGGTACGCCAAATGCATGAATAGAAGCTTCCTCTTCGTAGGTAAAAGGTTGTGATAAGATTGCGCCTCTCGGAGGATTCAGCTGGATGCGGCAAGTCGTAGATCCCGTGCCTGTGACTTGGTCAATTTGCCCAGGTACGACGAGGAACAGCCAGTGAGGTGTCATGCAAGCAATTTTCATCGCCAAAGCTTCAAGGCAGCCGACCTCCAATCACTCGGCTTTATTCCCTGCGTTCGCTGTTTGCCCATCCATTTTCCAGAAACAATTGGAAGCCCGTCCAAAGCTGCTGAATGGCGGTGTTACGCAGTGAAACAATTTCCAGCACGCGGGTGCCCGAGACTGCGGTCTCGGCAGCTTCTTGGGTAATCCGATTCAAACGGCCAACAAGGGGACAAGCATCATCAGGCAAAGCTTCTGAAGCTTCAGAGACTTGGCGGTGATTACAGCGGATAGTGACGGACACTGGAGGAAGTGGGCTGGTCGTGGGCGCATGCAGCCGCCGTCCCTTCAAGGCACGAGCCTGTTTCTGTGTGATTTGAGCGTTTGTCCGGGCGATGGATCGGCTGGCGGCGGAAGAGGCCGAGTCCGCAGGATTGTGCCAGGAGAGGTTTCCTTATCGGTCTCGCCACTGGACATGATTTCGAGGTGACATTGCAGGGGAGTCGTTGACAGGGTTGACCAGGCCACCGCCGCCGATCAACTGGCGGGGTTGAATCCTGTGAGCTCAAGGTGGGGTGAAGGAGGGCCAGAAGGACTGCTGTGCGGTGTTCCGCGCGGAGGGAGCAAAAGACCCATGGGCCTAGGCATGTGTTGGCAAGGCCACTTGACAATTCGTTCTTCTTCTTTGAACGAGAAGAATGGTATGAAGGATGGAAGGAGAAAAGGGGAGATATTGAGAGAAACTTGGTCCGCCACCAATGAAGCTGCGGATCTGCAAGCCACTTCCGCACATCTTCGGTCTCTGCCAACATGACACCAACCGGCAACATCTAGCCTCGCCCATATATTCTCATGAAAGGCATTCCACGCGTGACTAATAGGCTTGAATTTACCCCGAGACAGAGACAAAGAGTCAGACCTTAAGACATATATCATTTCTAGTTCGTTTCAAATCTCAGGCATCCCCTTGGATGGCCAGACCCAGAACCAGCTCGTCAGTGGCATCCAGTTCCTGTTCTACATAACCACATTGCTCTCGCTGCTCATCCACTTCTTCAATCGTCTCCAAGGGAAACTCTACAGAGTTGGGAGTGTGGTTATCCGCATCAAAGCCCTGGAGCCACTGCATGTTCAAATCTAGGCCGTCTTCAACAGTTGAAAACAAATCAGTCCCTCCTTCTAAATCAACCAGCGTCTCAAAATCTGGGTGTGTGGCCTCCTCCAGTGCACCACTGATTCCTCGGTTGTGCTTGACGTCGACTCCTGCCGATGTAGCTAGCGCTTCTTCCGTTGTCTGGGAATTCAGGCTCATCTCCGACTCGGGCGGTGTGTACGCGGCAATGAGATTTCGCTCTTCCGGCGCCAGCGTCGAGTTCATGAGCAGTAAACTTGCCGTCTGCATGGCTTCGGGCGGGGGAGTGAGCAACAACGGTCCTGGATGGAACTTCTTCTGCTCCATCCCAGACACGCTGGGCGAGTATGGCCCCTTCATCCCCGACGTGACCGCGGCAGCAGCATAGACCTGAGCATTGGTCTTGCGAACAGCTGCGTCGAGGAACGAGAAAGCAAAATCGGCCGAAGCATACATTTCTCGCAGTCTCTGCAGGGCCTGCATGCAGAATTGAAATTTCCGAATGCTGGCTTGTCGCGTGTTCGAGTCGCTCGATTTGATATCCAGGAGATGAATGATGATGGCGGGAAGCAGGCATGTCACTCCGGTATTCGGGAGGTAACGTATCAAATCGTGCGCAAAGAGTTCCTTGTACATCTCGGTAATATCATTGGCCGCCTCGCGGACCTTCCTTCTCGACAATTCCCGAAGCTCCGGGGCAACAACAACATTGGGAGCCGATGGTAGGATTTGCGGCCGATGTAAAGCACTGATCGCCGTAAGGTAGATTCCAGTCAGCAGAGCGCGGTGTAGATTGATCACCTCTCCGTCGTTGGTGCTTGTCCGCTCACGGGAATCGGGGGCAAAGTAATGGAGCTCATGCGGGAGGTCTTTGTGCCACTGATCCAGGGCGCGATCACACCGAATCACGTCGCACGGGTCAGCCGCTGACTTCTTCGGAACCAGCCTCATGGTCGTCTCTTGAGTGGCGCCAATCTTGTGGCCGAGCGTGGAGTACTGGACCGCGAGAACTTGGGTGATGCGGACGCAGAGATCGGCCAGACCGATACACATCTTCGCCAGAGTGACGCGCTTCGAAGTGTCTCTCACCGCAGGACAACCTCCAAGCATTCTACTGAGTTCGGCCGGAAGGGCCTCGGTTTCAAAATCGGATACCTCCAGCATTGGCACGTCAAAATCTCCGCTGTTTATGCGCATTGGACGCCGCATACCAATGGCGATCAATCGGTCTCGCATGTAGCAAGACCACCAGATGCGCTTCCAGAGACGGCGTTGTTGCAAGCTCATGAGTGAAGCATTTGAAGTGTCACAATTTAGGCCAATAGTTCGGGCAACCGAGATGGCCACACCCAGCCAGTGCCAGACATCCTTTGGGTCGTCAGGATTCTCATACCAGTATGTCATCAGCAAGACTGCCTGGACGACTGTGACCCGATCAACTTCGTAGTCAAAATCATACAGCAGCTTGACTCGCTGGAAGAAGGATTTCCTGGCTGCTTTCCGGGTCATGTATCCTTGCGCAATGAGATATCGCATGTCTATGTATGCAGTTGCCGCAAACATGATGGCCTGGAAGAGCAAGAGGCTCACTGTGTTGGTGGGCTGGTTCTTTTCGACGGTAGTCAAGAAGTCGCGCAGGTCGATGATGGGGAGGAAAGGGTGCACGTATTGGACGTAGCACCGGAGCAACTCGTTACGGAAGCCTGTCTCCGGGATCAAAAACGCCCCCTTTTTCTGCAGATACTCCAGATCTTCCGTCATGATCCTAGGAGATATTGGCTGCAAATACGGGGGAAGGACAATGTTCAGCCGGCCGGAATGCTGGAGGAAATAGGACATGGCCGGGGAAAGGATGGGTGTAGAAATTTGGGTGATGCCGATTGTTGGCATTCTTCGGAAACGCTCCTCCTGGCTCAAGCGGTGACCTTGTGTCTGGTCTAGAGGCATGTCCGTTAGCATGAGCTTCCAGACCACAGCCACGAACAGGACTTACACAGCATATGCGGCTTGTGATGGACCATCTCGTCCTCCAGGGCGTGCTGGGGATGGCTTGGCTCAGCGGTGGGCAATGTAGGGACAAAATTGTTCAGTTCATCAATGTCGTCAAAGATGGGAAACTGTGGAATTTCCTTCTCCTCTTCTATAGAATTGCAGGGCGAGTGATGGAACAGCTCTCCCTCAGCATAGGACTTTCTCCGTCGTTTTCCTTCGGTGACTACGCACTCGACCTCATCCAGTCGACAATTCGTGCATGGAATTCCACTCTCGACCACGTCACAACGCACTTTCCTGCCACGGCAACAGTGGCAGGCTTTGGAAGCCCTCCGCTTGACCGTCCTACCACCGGCGGGAAGCCCAGCCGCCGTTGACTTTCTCTTGGGCTGGGTATGGGTAGTTGTCGCCATGGTGAGTATGGTCAGTGGAGGTGAAGTTTGCAGAAGAGAACACAGAGGTCTTTGGACCGCTTCAGGGGAGAAAGTCTTAGAGAACCCTTCAGCGATTCACGGGGCACAGAGAAGAGGAGAGTGAAAGAGCGTGAGAAGATATCGAGGGGCAACGAAGTTCACGCGAGGGTCTTGGGAACTGATATGGGGAAAATGTCAACGGATCCGACATGACCCTAGGTCCACCAGCTGGGGTCCAATTATGGGGCAAACCAAACTGAGCAAGACCGAGTCAACTGAACCCTCAGAGCCATGTCCTCACCCAGTACCCCGGACTACCCCGGTTCGACGGAAGAAGCTGAGTGACGATCAGCGATTGGACGCGCAAGCGATCTCGACTGGGGGGGTCGAGACCTTGGGGTAGCTGGTACTCTAATCGCCCTACTAACCCCTTGCCCCCGTCGCCCACATGAAGAGCGAAGAGCGAACCGTGGCTTTGACGAGCCGCGGTTGGAGGCTGCAGCTGGTGAGAAGATTTTCCGCATCTCCGTCTCATAGGCTAGGGGATCCAGACGGTTGAGCACAATCCTTCACTAGGCCACACGTGGAGCAAGAGACAAGGAATTTCCCCACTCGCAAAGGAGGCCAGGCTGGACGAAAGAGGTTGGAAGAGTCAATGTAGCGTGGGCGAGAGTGAAGCTAGGGAATGTTCCGTTTAATGACCAAGGTCCGCTCTTCATCCGTGCCGATTTATCCTGGCCGGGACCGTTTCAAGAGAAGTACATGGCTGGGCGGCTTTGTGCCGGTGGAATATGCATACTCGGCTATTCAAGCTGTTGTGCCCTCTTGGCTCTCGAGCTGCCATTGATCACGCTTACCGAGTCGGCAGCATCGACAAGAACTCGAGACAATCAAGACGCCAGGGGAGGGCCTTGGATGAGCCTCAGAGCCAGTCTCGTTGGCCAATAGAAAAAATTTTCTTTGATGGTTGCGAAGTTGTGGAGAACCCGGAGTAGGCTTTGTGCCCCGGGGGGTGGGTTGTGGAAGAGCACGAGGACTGAGGAGAGAAGGAGATAGAAAGCAAGGCCGCAGACGCGGTTCTCGAGAAGCGCTAGCGTGCTGCAGCAATCCCGAGAGCTGTTCTCGAGACAGACGCTAGTTCTCTCGAAGGTTTGCAAGATGGAGCTGGGCTGACACGGTGGCCACTGAGACAGCGGCAAGGGAAACGAATTCCATGGGGCTTGCGAAGGGCTTGGAAGGGTCCAAGGTCAGGTGAGTGGGATGTGGTGACTCGGTGGCGGGGAGGAGGAGATTGTTGAAGAGGGAGCGAGCACCCACGAGGAGGGGAGCAGAGAGGTACAAGGCACTTCGTAGAGAGGGCGGAGGAAAGCAGCAGAGCGCGGATACATCGGGCACGAGACAAAGAGTCAGGGGAGTCAGGAGAGACTGACTCGCGTCTGACTCGCTCTTGTCTACGTCGGCCATCATTCTCCGGCTGGAGCGGCTGCTGCTTGCTTGACTTTGACTCGCCCATTCCGAGTCAAACTCCACTTTCACTTCACTTTCACTTCACTTTCACTTCACTTTCATTTCACTTTCACGTCACTTTCACTTTGACTTTCACCCCCCAACTCACTTGCCCTGTTTAGGACACGAGGATGGAGGATTATTATATGGGCACATGCGATCATCTCTGATGTACGTGCCTACCGAGTAGTCGCACTGAATGGACTCCGACCCAATTCACCCACAGCCTCCCTCCTCCATCTGAGCCAGCCTCTACCTTCCATGTAGTCACTTTCACGCAGTACCTATATACCAGAACGCTCTCCACCCTTTTGAGATGCCTCCAAGCCGACAGCTTGTATGACAAAATCAACAACAGATTGTTGAAAAGATCTATATGTGATGCCCAACTCCCTTGCTGCGGTTGCTCCATCGAGATCATATGACTTGTCGATCTCTTGCTTTGCGTTAGACTGACAGACCCTTGATTTGCCCCAATCAAACTCTCTGACGATGATCTCGGCTGCCTTCTGATAGGAGAATCTTTCTGGTGAGGCCACAGTGAAACGGCGATTACCTACTTGTGGCCTCAACAGCGCTTCGACATGCGCCTGAGCAAGATCCCTGACATCAACCCAAAGAGGCACTCGAGCAACGGGCATTGGATCGGCGCCAGAAGCCACTTCCCACACTTTGGCCGCGCTGTCGTTCAAGTCTTCGAGTCTGGCCATCGGGTGGACAAATGGCCCAAACACCATTCTGCGAGTCGCTTGGTCAGTAAATTCTACATGCCACGGCTACAAGGAGGATGAGTCTCACGGCGGACAAAGCGTTACAAGGTCAAAGGTAGGGTTCTCTTTTTCCATGAACTCCCAGGCCGCAAGCTCTGCAAACTTTTTGGAGCCCCGGTAAGCAACCACGCCGGATGTTTTGCTGTCTGCCGCTTCTTCATATGTCAGAGGATTCCAGTCTGCTGCAGTGTAGGTAAAGTGTGGAGGTGCCCTTCGGTTGACATCAATGACGGATGCAAACGACGAAGTGATGACAATTCGTCGGATTTGCGGGGCGTTGGCCGCTGCTTTCAACACCGATTTCACTCCATTTATGGCAGGTAAGATGATATCTTTCTCATTGTCTTGGACGCAGTAGGTCAATGGACTGGCCACATGGACGATGCCATCGACACCCGCCACAGCTTCTTCCAAAGAAGTGGCTTCTGCAAAGTCGGCGATCAGGACACAGTCGAGCTTGGAGGCATAGTGTGGTCTCGCATCACGCAGTGCAGCCCCTTTGGCGAGGTTCCGAACAGCAACACGTACTCTCAACCCGCGTGCCAGAAGGTTGTCAACCACGTGAGCTCCAATAAACCCTGCCTTGGCACTTAGCAAGCTCCCCCTTGTGGCTGTTACTGGCAGTTGAGTTGCTTGCCTGTTCCTCCAGTCACTAGCACTTTTGAGATTGGTGTCGCAGCCATGGCACAACTCCAACCTCACTTGCTAAAAGGAGCTGGGTTGGAAATCTCCAATAATGCACGAAAGTATATCCAGGAATTTTTATCAAGGATGGGCTTCGAACAAAGACGTGGCCCTCATTTGTCGCATAGACATTAGTATTCTTACCCCAACATGCTTGCATGTCCCGGTCCTTCCCCTCATCGGCGTACAGTTGCCGGCCACGCGTCTTGAGAGTTCCGGTGGAACAGAAGAGAAGCACGACATCTTCACTCCGCATGTGGTTCGCTCCATTTCTCATACTAAAGGATATAGATTGACACGAGGTTTGTGCTACTGACAAAAAGAAAATCCATCAGAGGTGCCAGTAGGTGGCAACTACCCTACCTCACCAGTTTTCCGTGGATTTAGGGCATACATGGAGGTAGCACAACTGTATGCACGGCATAATAGATAGAAGAGACGGCAACTTTGGGAAAGGCCATCTAGTTGAACTGCATATGTAGGATGACAAGGATGAAGATTCGAGATTGCTGTTCTCAATGAACGCGCGGGGTAACTGGCATGTTCGTTGTCAGCCTCGTCGCCCCAAGTTTCAGCCTTGCGGTGACGTACTGTTTCCGCCGCATGGTTCAAAATACTACCGAGTTCACGGTGAATCTCCGACCAAGTCAAATGTAAGAATCCAGCAACCGCCAGCCCTCTTGACCTGCGCATCTCCTCTCATGGAGGCCGAACCGAGAGGAGGCTCCGCGGATTTGTCAAAGTCGGCCAAGACAGACCTCAGTGCAGAAGAGTATAAAAAGGCGGCGGTCTTAATTCAGGTCCCGAACCGGCGATCTCTTGTCCCAATTGCCAACGATTGACCAGTCCCAGAAAACTTACCGAGGACATCGCACGCGTCGCCAGCTAAATGGATTCGGCTTAGATGCTTCGACACGGTGGTACGAGGTCAGGTGTGACACAACATTTGTGCTGCGGTCTTGACTGAAACAATCGTGACAGGCGGTGCGAGATGCCCAATTCAAAGAACATACGTTACCCAGACCTCCTATTGCTCCCCATGATCACTCAAATGCGAATGAGACGACGACATCCCCTGCATGGCTGAAATGGAGTCGCGCGACCGAGGTTGCTCGCAGGGCTGGCGCCGACGACCGTTCTCCTTCAATCTCCGACTTTTCCTCAGATGAAGATGTTGAGGATGCTGAGGGCTCATCCAGCGCCCTGACTCAAGAAGAGATGGAAGAGGCAAGAAGAAAAAGAGCCGAAGGCAACGTCATGAGAAAAAAGGCCGCAAAGATGATGGATTTGCAATACTTTCTCGAGATGGTTGACCAAAAACACCGATATGGGAGTAACCTACGCAAGTGAGTGCCCCTTCGGCTCAAACAGATGGATCATCTTCGAAAGAAACATTCGTCGGAAGAGCCTAGCACCTTTCGGCAGAGGCTCATGACGATTGATCAGATACCACAATTATTGGAAAACACAAGACACCGATCAGAACTTCTTCTATTGGCTTGATCAAGGTGACGGCAAGAACGTGGACCTCCCAGAGTGCAGTCGAACCCGCCTAGATAAAGAGCAAGTCCGATACTTGTCACGAGAAGAACGTCTGAACTATCTAGTCAAGGTCAACGAAAGTGGCTTATTGGTCTGGGCTAAGAGTGGTGAACTTGTCTGGACCAAGGATGAGCTTTTCAAGGACAGCGTCAACGGAATCGTCCCCATAGACGACTCGGCGCCAAAATGGAAATACAATGTGCCACCGCAGGGCGAGAGTGATTCCGACACCAGTACTTCGGATGAATCAGAAGATGAGGATGCAAACACGGTGGGCGACGAAGGGGGAAGATATGTCAATGAAGAAGTACGTGCTACCTTCGACAACACTGCCCGGTGAAGATCATTGATCAGACACCAGTTCCATAGAGCCCGAGGGCTGTCCAAGGTCAAGTATGTTAGTGCCGCAGTTCTGTTCAACCACATGATCAGAACAAGCTTGAAGAAAGGACACAAGTGGATATTCGTGTGCGATACCTCGTTTCGACTGTACATTGGGTACAAGCAATCAGGGGCATTTCAACACTCGTCGTTCTTGCACGGCGCACGCATCCTGGCAGCAGGGTTGATCAAAGTCAAGCATGGCCAATTAAGAAGGCTATCACCTCTAAGCGGACACTATCGGCCACCAGCAGCGAATTTTCGAGCCTTTGTGCGTAGCCTACGTGATGAAGGTGTCGACATGTCCCACGTGTCGATCTCTCGAAGCTATGCGGTATTGGTTGGTCTGGAGAGCTACACCAAAACACGCAAGCGCATCAAGGCCGCCGGTGAAACCGTCATGCACGAGAAGGACAAGCTGCTGAACCCGGAGAAGGTCAAAATGGAGGAAGAGGCGAAGCGGGACAAATCGCAAAGCGCCGAGAAGGAGAGGCTGTACCTGGAACGGCAACGGGAGGCTCAGCAGCGAGAAGCACACGAGCGCAAGGCTCAGCGCAGCTTGACTGGCAAATTATCGAGTGCGCTTGGGAAACTCAGGTTTCGGAAAGACAGCACTGGCGATGCTCCCGTCGGAGAGGAACAGGCGAGGCGAGTCCTGGGGACGGGGCCGGAGGACGGCGTGCCTCCACCAGAAGGTCAGCGCTGAAATTCATAGTAGGAAGTCCGCTTGCTTGCAGTTTGGAGGTGGGCGTGGAATACTAAGCTCTTTCAAGGCATTTGTGCCCTTGTTGCATGAAGTCATACTCCATCCTCCGTACTCTTACTCCGTACACGGTGGTGGCGGTGGGAGGGAACTGGACCCTGCTGTCGTCAGCCTCGCCTCGCCTCGCCGTTACGATTGCATGCGATGTATCATGACGTGGGTTACCTATTCTTTGTACTTTACTCTTAGCCGCTAGTCCTCCGTACGTTCCGTAAAAAAAAAAACCACCGCAAACCCAGCAAGCACCCTGACCACTTCAACAAGTATTAATAGTTTTTCAAATCAAATGCCGTGTCTGGTTAGTGTTAGTTATTATGGCGCCTTTCGCCTCCAAGTCAAACAATGCCTTGCTGGGTTAGAGCCTTGTTAGTCATATCACAGCCGCAGCGTGCTCTGTGCTGGCATATGCCTCAGAGGGCGAGTTGGTTTCTCAGGCAGGTCTATGGGTAGCATAAATACCACAGATGATGACCGCGTGGGTAGGTAGGCAGCCCATATATGCAAGATTTTCTTTCGCGTCTTTGCCCGATACAACAGTCGCCGAACGAAAGATCAAAGGTCATCTTAGATTCCACCGCATTCACCTCGCTCGAGTCCTGCTGCGTATTCTTTCATCTTCGCGATCCAAAAACTGTGTTTCCCAAAGCATTCTCGTTTGGACCGCCAACACCCTGGAATGTGCCGACCGGCGACTGCTATTGCGGAAACATCAGGATCGAATATACCGGCGAGCTCGTACGGACCGTAAAGTCTGAAGTGCATATCGTCCATTTCCTCGGCCACGGCCATCAGAAGGGCAGATTGGGTCTACCAGCCCAATAGAAAGGGTGGAGCTGAAAAGAATAGTGACCGTGACCATTTTGAAGGCCCTTTGTCACTGTGACAATTATCGCCGCTACACCAGAAGCATGTACAGCAACAGCTTCGTCATGCCTAGTGCCAATTTCAGAGGAATCTCAGGTACCCCAAAAGAGATCTCGAAGACTGCAGACAGTGGAAAGACAATCACCAGTTGCTTTTGTCCTGATTGTGGTGAGTGCCGGTCAATTCTTTTCTCTTCGCTATTCGCTGCTGCACAAACATAAAGTCTGGTAATGTCGAAGTTTTGGTCGAGTCGGGTGATGGGTACCACAATGTGGCGATACGGTGACGCCTTTGGAGAGATTGACGGGATGCGAGTGATTCAGGCAGGCATTGTGGACGACATCGATGTCATCGACAACATCCAAGGTGAAAATGAATTCTTCGTTCCGAAACGCGCCACATGGATCAATGCCCTCGATGGTGTTCGTCAGATAATGGAATGTCTCTGCGTGTTGCGGCGCACACTCGCTGGGGAACGCTTCGGATGGTGCGGCGATCTACACTGCTGAGCTCTAGATTATGTGGGTGTTGATGAATGAGTTCTAGGCGCATGTTGACTCGAGAGGCATGTGGCTTAGGTTAGACAAGTTAGAACGGAGGTGGTATTGGAGATTGTTGGACTGTCGACTCGTTGGTCAGGATGCTGCCAGGTCTTGTTATCCTTCCATATTCGTCCTAGCTCAATATCAAATCGTCCAGTCCTAATTCGGCTAGTGCGATATCTCGGAATCCGACGTATTCTTCGCCGTGGCTTCGCCCTTCACCAATCACACTCATTCCATCCAGGCATCAACGATTGCTCTTTGTCGCTCCTTTTCAAGACACCTGCCTATCAATTGCTATTGCTTCTTGAGAGTCAAACTTCGGGGTTGGTGCTGTGCGCTGCACCATCTAGCGCATGGCGTTACGTTTTACCTTCACAAGACATAGGCACCGGCATTTTCGAATTCCCCCTTAGATTGCAAGACCTGGCCGGGCAAAATGTCTATATAATGTATCCATGGCTTCAGCAAACCTCGACTGTTGACATGCAGGTAGGTGTCTCTTCATCCCCTGTGTCTTCGCTCACAACCCCCATCAAGCCATGGCCAGGATCATCATCATCGGTGCCGGCATCTCAGGTCTCAGCACCTATCTTTTCCTGCGTAAACATCTGCTCCTCTCCAACCCAACTCTCTCATCCCAAGAAGAACGGTATGAGATCAAAATCTACGAAGCATACGACATCCGCCAATCCAGCTTCAGTGGCTCGCTGACGAATCCCACCACCGGTGACAACGTGGACGGATCAACCACCGACCCGCTCCCCGCTTCTGAGACCGAACCAATCTTCACCCCTCAAGCAATTGGGTCCGCCATTGGTATTTCGCGCAATGGATTGAATGTCCTGGCTCGCCTGGGCGAACCCGTGGATTATCAAGGGGACGTCCGGAGTGCGCGGTCGAGCATGGTCGAGCAAATGGCTACTCACGGCCATCCCATTGAGCGATGGGAAATCAGCACAGCAAGAGGATTCACTCTTGTCGAGGTCAATCTCGCACGAGTTGCTGAAAGGCCAGCCCCACGCAAACATGGACAGTCAGAAGGTCCGATGACCGCAGCTCAAGATCCGTGTCGATACCACGCCATCATGATCGCGCGCCAATCGTGCTGGGAGATCCTGCGCGATCATGTCCTGAGAGACTCTCCCGACGTGGTCGTCCACAAAAAAGTCGTCGACGTGGTTATCGGCGATGGAAAGACACGCAATGTCGTCAAGTTCGAAGATGGCTCCCGAGAAGAAGCCGACCTTGTCATTGGAGCGGATGGACTGAGAAGTGTTTTGAGGCGGGCGATGTTTGGCACGGGCGAGGGCAAGACGAATGCGGATGCACAGAATCGCAAGAGGCGATCTACTACTAGCCAGACAAGAGAAGGAACCCCGAGCTGGCTGCGAACCGTCGTCTCATACTTCCGTATCCCGATCTTCAAGTCCGGACGCTCCGCAGACGCAAAAGCCACCCAGACGGACTACATATCGCCACACTACGAAGGCCTCGTCGGCGTCGGCGGCTTTGTGCCTTCGTCCGTGCTGGAAGCTACAGGCCACAAGCCAGGCACCATGGCCGTCGTGTTCGGACCGAATGGATTCTTCGGGTACGGATATTTGACATCATCCACATCGCCGATCTCGTTGTCCAACAATGACACAGCGACGAGAAGCGCAGAGACCACTTCATCAATAAACCTGCCTCCGCCGCTCTCCGCACCGGGGCCCCTGGCAGGATGGTGGTCGACATTCTCCAGCCCGACGCCATTTCCATACTCGGCCTCGGCTTCCTCATCTCCGTCTCCATCTCCAGCAGCCGGGGTCTTGAACACAACCTCGGCCACAGACATGAGCACGGTCCCGAGCACGAACGTAACCCGCAAACCCACGGAGTTCAACAAGCCGCTCGCCCTGGCCGCCCTGCTCGGCCGCCACGCGAAATGGCACAACCCGACGATCCAGGCGATCTTGTCCTTTGTGGAACAGGACACCGCCACCGCCGCAAAGCAACAGCAGCAACAAGAGAAGAAGAAGAAGAAACACAACCCCGCAGCCGCCACCGCCACCGCCACCGCCGCCGACGATGACAACCTCCTATTGAACGGAAAAGGAAAAGGAAAAGGAAAAGGTCTCGACGCAGCATACCCGACCTGGACGACCCCGGAGCTGCCCTCGTGGTCATCGCGCGGCCGCGCCGTGCTGGTCGGCGACGCCGCGCACGCGCTGCAGCCGTCGAGCGGGCAGGGCGCGTGCCAGGCGCTCGAGGACGCAGAGGCCCTGGCCCTGTTTCTAGGACATTACTTGTCGGCGGCGTCGTCACCGTCATCCCCGGACTCGTCCTCGTCGGCGCCGGGGGTTGGTGCTGGTGCTGGTGCTGGTGCAGGTGCTGTGGCACGTAGTAGCGCTGGGCCCCCTGCTACCGCCGGGCCGGACGCAGACCCAGTCGCAGACGCAGACATGCGCAAAGGCAAAAGGAAAGGCAAAGACCAAGACGCCGACACTGACGCCGACACTCACGTCCACGCGTCGCTCCAGCGCGCCCTCGACGCCTTCGAAACCTTGCGCAAGCCCCGCGTCCACGCCATCTACACGCGCTCGCAGAAAATGTCCCGTATGAAAGGCGACATGGGCGTCGTTGCCGAGTGGGCCATGTACCTCGTCATCTACCTCATGACGTGGTTCCGCGATAGCTACAATGAGGAGTTGCTCGCGTACGATTTGCCACGGGAGGTGGAGAAAGCTTTGGAGCGGGAACGAAGTGATGCGCGCTAGGAACAAGGACATGGAACTAAGGAACAAATATGTAGGAGTAAGGAAGCAGGAAAGTCCCACTCTTCCGAGCAATCTTGATTGTATGCTGCTTATAAGTGTGAGTCCAACGGCCGCCGCCAGCACGAAATATACAGTCTAACCGTCATCTTGTCCTTGGAGGCATTGCCATTCTTGGTACAAGTCAATCTCTCTGAGCACCAGGATTCATCGTCTGAATCCCACACATTCATAGAATGCGTTCCTCACTTGCTGCCTCCCACTCGGTGGCAAAGAGCCCGATCCTTTCATCCACATCCTCCTCAAAATCCCACTCCCAATTGGCCCAGTCCTCCTCGCAGAGGGTTTCGTCCAGGAAGCCGACCTCCGAATAACGTTCATCGTCAGTGAAGAATCCTCCATCGTATCTTCCTGAGTCTGCTTGTTCGACCAACAGCGCGCCGTGACACTCTATTGGGACAGTAGAGACTGGACTCGAGGTAGCTTCCGGGGTGAAAAGATCGGTGCTCGAGTCGGATTCATGTCCATCAGGTCGCAGCGAGGGAGCAGATAGACCCGGCTTGCCACCAGCATGCGGTTTCAGCATATCCAATTCGTCCAGCCAGTCTATCGCTTTGAGGACGGCAGAAATGTCATCGAGTTTCTCGGTGATATTGGCAGCGGAGATTGACGGGGGCCACGCGACGAATTGATGTTGGTACAGTCGTGCTGGGACCAAATCCGTGCACGGCAAAAATGCGACCTTGGCTGTTGCACCAGACTGTGCATCGCCGGAGGTGGATCTGTCTTCTTTGCGACTTGGAGACGGTCGAGTTGCCTGCGCCTCACGGCTCCTGCGGACTGCACGAATTGCTGCCACTACTGCGTCTGGAATAGACCGCGGCGGAGGTTTGTCAATCAGCTCGGGAGATGACAGTAAACATTCCCGCGTTTGCTCCCAATTGCTGCTAGCTTGATTTGCCTCAGACTGAACGGTGTTTCTGTTGATGCTGCCATCGACTGCCAACTCATCTTGACGGCAGGGCGGAGTCGGCAGCGTAGAGGCCAACATCACGAGGCACATTTGCTTCTTTCCGTCGCGAGTTCCGCCGTTTTAGATAATCATGATACCAGAAGGGCTCAGGGCCATCGGAGGTGAATAACTGGGCATTGTCGACGTCGCCCGTACTTGAGTGATATTGGATATTCCCTGTTGCTCCTCGAGAGTCGGGGCAATCCACCGGTGAAGAAGGAAGATCCCCATGGGTTGATGAATCATGACTCTCGTCTGAGATGTGACTTGCTTCTGGTTTGTGTCTGGATGATGCTGCCGTGCAAAGAGCAAAGCCTAAACTTTCGCGACGTGGGAGACCTGCACGTTCAGCCTGAATAGAGCCGCCCGCAGTAGGGCGGTAACTAGTGAAGTCGGGTTCTAGCTTTTGTTGACCGTAGGCAAATTCGAAGCACGGATTACTCCAGTTTGGCCGAGCATCATCGGATGGAGGAACGTACTGGAGCTGTGAGTTGTGGTACAGCAGAGGACTCGGAATCCCGACATCATTCAGGTAGTCTGAGTAGTATTCTGGGAGGTGTCTGTTCATTGAAGACTCCAAATGACAGCCCGGGATCTTGATTATGGGTGTCGCATTCGTGGTAGCCGGGATGGAAGGCAGCAGAGAGGAGACAGAATCTGTGAGTAAGTCGATTTGAGGAGGGCGTCGAGTTTCCTTTCTCGTGAAGATGCCGCTTGTTTTCCACGTTGCCGGTAATGTTGGGAGCTCCGGACTTTCAATCGTTCCAGCAGAGTAGTATTCGAGCCACGGAAATAGCTCTTCTTCGCTTGCCGTAGGATCGGTAAGTTCGCCTTCTGGAAGCCAATAACGGTCTGTTGATATGCAGAGTTAGCTAGGAGTTAACACTATAGAAGAATCAATCATACCGTCGTGGGGGGCTTCAAGGCCGACGCGAACGTCGGGATCAAGATGGTATCCTCGATCCTCACAATCATAGTAGCAGTTGCCAAGGCTCAACGAGTCGTGGTCACGCAGCTTTCTTCTTTTCGGGCCTCGCTGATTGTGTGCCTCCAGCGGTGGCATTTGGGACTCACGCCGTCGAGGCCCACGTCTGGCTCGACGGTCTCGACGTGCAGCGCTGCGGACTGTAGACTTGGTTATAGAGGTTGCCATTCTAGTCATAGGTTCGATGTGTGTAGTGATATGCTGAACGAAAGATGCTAGGGATGCGTGAGAGACGGCAAAAAGGTGGTTAGGGAACGAAGGTTAATAATGAAGGGAGATGAAGAGTGGTAAGTGAAAGGATTGAGAGATTGGGCTTCTTCCGCCTTGCCAGTCTGAAGGAAAGAACGAGGAAGACTGGCACATTTTGGGTCAGTTGCGATAGAATTAGTAGTGGTAAGGTGCAATCAAGGGGAGCGCTGGCTTTGAGAGCATCGGACTCTGCTAAGATGGGCATTAGGATCCAAGAGACGATCTGACATCAAACCACGCTGCCGGGCTGCAATGGAGGCTCATGAGCCTTTCTTTTCACCTTTTGAACCAGCGTCTCGTCCTCGTGCTGAGCGTTGAGGCCCATTTCTCTCTCATGCACCTTCTGGACCCTGCGCAATATCCAGAAATTGTAGCAGCCGAAAAGGAGACCCGCAACGCCAACGCAAGACCCCGTCACAATGGCGGTGATCTTTGCCGTCACACTCCATACACCGTGCTGGGCCGTGTAGACGTTAACGAGAGTGGTGATCAAACCGGCGACAGAGTTCATCGTGACTGGTCTGTCATCAACCTGTCAGTCAGTGTTCCTTTGACCGAGAATGAGGATCTCACAAAAAGATGCGGTTTATCAGCCAGACGTAGTTTTTGCGCCAGCGAAACCACAGCCAGAGACATCCCAAAGTGCCGCCGACACAAAACGCTCCAGCAAGCCACAGCAGGCCGATATTGGCAATCGAATGAACAATTGCATGTGTGACTTCATTGTCGCTGTCGTTGTCAGCATCCTGAAACGCCTTGGACTCTTTGAAAGTGGTGAAGGTGCCAGGAACAACCAGAAAGCCGGCAAGAATAATCCAAGTGAAGAGGCTCGCCATGATATTGTATAGCCGAGGGATTCGGTCTAGGTGTAACAGCATCTCCATGTATCGTGTTTGGATGGAGGGTACACGGGTAAGGGTAGGTTTGGACGATAGTGGTTTGGACCGGCTTAAGGCTAGGCGTTTGCTTTGATCCTTGCGTTCAAGGGAGTGTGAACTTCGCGTTGTGGCATGAACCGGCTCCGCTGGCCTCGTTGGTACCGTATCATTCCGTTCTTGGCTCTCCGCAGAATGGATAGTCGAGAGTGAAGGACGAGCAGTCCGCTCGCCCTCCGTCCTCCTTCTATCGAACATGCTTGTTTGAATACAATATAGAGCTCACACCGACAAGAAATGGCAATAGGGTTCTCTGAAATCGAGAGCTGCGATGCTGAAAGAAGCAAAGAAAGCGATGGTCTCGGATCAAATAACGGGGAAAAGGGACTGCATTCAAGATCCCAAAAAAAAATTAAAAAAAATGGAAGAAACAGGGGGGGAGGGGGGGGGGGAGAAATACATTGGAAACAAGATTGACCTAAAGCCATCACAGTTGATACTTGCCTGATAAGACGTCTCTTTGATCAAGGTGTCTGGCGATGCGATATCAAGGAAGCAGCTCGCATGGGTAGCCAGTTGCGGCGCAGGCGGCAAGATACGGTACCATTGTACCCTGTAAACTGCAGGGTGACGATGATGCATTGTTGCAGAATGAATCCCAGCGAGAGACTTGATTGACAGTGGACTGCGCGTCGCTTGTTCAGCGGATCGACAGGTCGTCGAGCGAGCGGCTCGCTAGCAAGACGCTTGGTTGTTGTTGATGTTTGGTGGCGGTGGGGAATGAAACTCGAAATTCGAAACTTGAAACTTGAAACTTGGATAGAATCCCGGCGCATCACAGACGCTAAATTTGGCAACAACAAGCGAGGAACAATAAGAAAAATGTCGGCGTCTGACAAGATTTATCCATACAGCTTTTCACAACTTTGAAGCGTTGTCGGGGAGGAACTCGACCTGTCAGACGGACACTAGAAAGCGGGCAAGTCGACATGGGCGCCAACGAGGCTCTGACGGTTTGGATTGTTGTTACAATTGTCGCCAATATCTCTCTCCCATGCGCCTGATCTGGTTATCATTCTACTTGTATGGCTGTCCTGTATCCCACGCCGTATCCGTCATGTTCCCATGTACCGCACAAGCCATTGCTCCAGGTGAATTGTTCCGGCCAGCTTCATCCGCAAACGCCACAGTCAGGGTTCGGCCAAAACCCTTGGTTAACTCCCCTGTCCCGTTATTCCCGACCAGAACCTCGTACTGTACCTGCCCGTCCAACACCCTCTGCCAGTCTCAAATTCAGTGGTATCTTTCTAACACAAAAACTTCAAGTTAGGCACATTCTTCGTCGCCAACCACAGTAACATCAACCACGTCCGAGACGCGTTCTCCGGTCGAGTTCTCCATACATGGGACAATTGACTTGACCACAGCCGACTCGTTCCTCTCCCTTGGAACGAACCACAACTGGAAAACGCCAATGATAGCAACAAAACCCGCGCACCACCACGCCAGACCAGTAAACCCGATATTCGAGCCCCATTCATACAATAAACCCGCAATAGGCGGTGCCACAGTCCTGCAAGCGGCACCAGCCGAAGCGGCTAGGCCATTGATGCGTCCCAGACAGGCAGGAGACGGACTCGCCTGTTTGAGTAAAATCAAAATTACCGGATAATCGAGAAGGGAGAGGAAGTTTCGGATCGTCAGGCAGGTGTAAATACCTGGGTAGAGCAGGTTTGAGGGAAGGAGTGCCAAATATGGGACGATGAAAAACGCCACTGGATGCAAGATGGTGACAAGAACAAAAACTCGCCAAACACCAAGAAGCTCGGCGGCGAAGGGGAAAGTAACAGCTTGAATGAACAAAGCGATCACGCCGTTGACCGACATGATGACTCCCACGTCTCTAGTGGACAGCCCGAGGCCGCCCGGGATGTCCACCAGGCCGCTAGCCGCAATGGAGATTTGGTTGACGGCCTTATCCTGATAGAAGATGGGAAGGAGATGATCATAGCACATCGAATGGTACGTGTAGATCGAGAGAGCCAACGTCAGCATCACGATCTTCTTGGTAAGCCATTTTTGGGATGCTTTCTCGCTTATGGAGGGTTCGCGAGAGGTTCCATCAGTGTGGAGCTGCCATTGATCATTTTTGGGGACATCGATTTCGTTGAATGTCCCGTATGATTCCTGCCTTAGATCAACAGCATTGTCAGCAGTAGCGCCCGCGGCGGTGATCACGCGGGTCCGTTCGGCAATGTTCTGGCAGAGGCAGGAATCGTCGGCCCCGCCGAGATCGGGATGGGTCTCTTTCAGGTAGAAATAGCCGTTGAGGATGCTAATGAGCATGAGCGAAGCGCAGATGAGGTTCGGGAGAAGCCAAGGGAAATGACCAAAAAGCCCCTGTTTAGAAAAGGCATCTGGGAAAGAAGCTGCAGGGTCTGCAAAAATCCCGCCGATTGCAGGTCCAATAATGGTACCAATGGCCCATACGAACGGCATGATGGCATATGCCTTGGGCTCCCACTCTGGCTTGGTGGTGAGTTCCCCGACCACGGTTTGTATCACGCCTACCAGCGCGTCAGCCCCCGACCGTCCTGGAGGCAAAGATGTGGATTGACATACCAATATTCCCATTGAGCGCCCCGCCAAGGACTCTTCCCGCAAGAGCCATGGTAAAGTTTGTGGAAAAGCCAACAACCAAAAGTGATATCATGGTCCCAAAGCAGCCGAACAGTAAAACCGGCCTTCTGCCTATGCGATCCGAGAGCCCTCCCCATAGCAAAGAGCAGAGAGCTTCGGTGAGGGAGAAGGAGGCAATGAGGACGCCTGCCCAGAAGGAGGGGTCAGCCATTCCGAACTGCTTGACCATAAGCCAGGCATAGGGGAAAATGGAGGTGATGGCGACGGGCTCGGCTAGACGACATATTGCTGTCATGAGTGGTCAGCCAAGTAGTCACGGAATCCGCCGCGGGGGGGTCAAAAGCGAGGCTGTGAACTTACCTAGAACGAGAAATTGACCTGTAGGGAAGGCGTCGGCGGAGGGAGATTGATTCTTTGACCGTGTAAGTCGCATCATCCTTGAATTTGCCCAAAGTCTTACGACCTGTCCTCCCGTCCGCGACCTTTTGAGTCGCAGCACCGGTCAGTCAATGGAGAATGTTGGCTAATGGCGAACCTGCACAGACGCTACCATCGAAGCAAGACAGTAGGTGCACGACACAGCAGTTGAAGCGGTAGATGGTGGAGCAGAGGGAGAAGAGAGAAGCGAGTAGAGAGGCGAGAAGAGCAGCGGGAATGATCAAGTAAATCAAGAAGGAATATGAAGGGAAGGAAAGAGAAAAGCAAAGACGGTGAGGTGGAGGCGTGACAGACTGGCAGCCACCGCAGTTGACTGGGACTCTTGGGCGGAGGTCCCTTCCGTAGGGTTGACCAAGGCGTGAAAGGGTTCAATATTCAACATTTATGTGGGACAACAGTCGAGATGCGGCAGGCCTTTTTGCTGCCAACGAGTCATACGAGACAACATCACCTTACTCGGTACACAAGACACTCTTGATCGCTGGTGAACATTCAGGCAGTGGCGAGACCGGGCGGTTTCTGCGGTTTGTGTGCAAGCAACCAGATGGATCTGATGGGGAAATGGATACAGGACGAGGTAATACTTCTTTAGGCTTCTTTAGGTACCGAGTAGATGCCGCCAAGCCCCGCATTAGCTGGATTGCTGGGGGGCAATTCGCTCACCGCCCGCACTTTTCCGGGCGGTGAGCAGCAAGACGCTGTCTGATTGGCGGGACGGCCACAGATCGGCTGAGATAGCGGCAACCCGGAGCTGAATCCCGTATCGTGATTTGCCCGGGCATCGACAGTTTTCTGCGCCTCACGCGCCGCTAGTCTGAGAAAAAAAATGCAAGGCCCAGGTGACACTACAAGTATTAGGAAGTGGTAATGCTAATGTAGGGAAATCAATCGACAGATCGGCCTATCCAGCAGCCATCGTTCGACGGCCATCAACAGCAGGGATCGTAGAGCAGGTACGGAGTACAAGTGCACAGTGCCAAAGGGCTCCCTGTGCTAGACACCCATTCGGTGAGATATGGAGTCTTTTCCAGGGCTCTATCGACATGAGCAAGTTTTTTAAGTGGGTGCCTCCCAATGTAGGTCCATTCAAGTGGGTAGCCGGCGAGTCGGGTTGGGAGGGTTGAGATTGTTGATGCTGGCAAGTGCCTTGCACCAGTCATGGATGTCCCAGAGGCGCCGACCACCCCGTTCCATATGATAGACTCTCGTACCTTGTTTTGATGCTTCCTGGATGCTGTCCCTGTACAACCAGCGAAAATGGCACCAGAGGGGTCTCGACTGGATGGCGGGGGTCATCATGACACGACTGCCGGCAGTATCTTGCTGGGTCACAGCTTGTGGAGGTTGTCCCAAGGTTGTCGTCGAGGCACTGACGCAAGAGCCCACTCCGACTCCCGAAACTAACTCGTCTCAAAAACAACCCAAGTCGCCGAAAGCGCCGCCGGGGAATGATAATATTGGCTAGACTTTGCCCGATGCGGTATAGAAGCAGAGGTCCCTGGCAGCCTTGTCTACAAGTACTTGTCCTTGGTGCTGGGTACATCGTCCAGCCTTGTCACGCTGTCATTAGGAGAAAATCACTTTATCATCGCCTTCGTCCGTCATCGTGCCTTCTCCTTTTTCTTCCGTAGCCCAAGCTCAGCCTCTCCCCTCAGCACCTTGATCAACATCATCGCTCGATCCTGCCCCGCTGCAGTCTCTTTCCCCAAATCATATATCACATTGACAAGTGCCAACGAGGCAACAAACACGCACACGTCGCCTCCTCGAATGCCCTTCCACCATCGGCGTTTGACCCCCACTTTCCATAGGGAATCAACACTTGTTCGCGCAGCATATAAAGAATTGGCATGCCCGGCTCCCGTTTGGTCAAAAACTTGGAACATGCCGCCCAAAAATCCCCCGAGGAAGAATCGGAGTTGTGGTAGAAATGAGCGAGGTAAGATGGCCTGGAACAAACAAATGCTTCCCCAGGCTGCCCCAATCGACCCCGACACAGCTATTGTGGACCTCAAAACAGCTTCGGATAACGCGTTGAGCGACGCCAGTGGTGCTTTGATCATCTTCCTCAGCCGCAGCAATGCCAGCGCTCCGTAGTACTCGGTAAAGAACTTCGCCAGTTGCGGGAATGAAATCAGCATGTGCCGAATGTATGCCATGAAGCATGACGGGTCCGAAGGGTGGATGAGTGCACACGACAAATGCTGGATGCCCGGGTGTGCTCGTGAGGTGATGGGTGAAACGACGGGATCAATGCCCGCTGGCAGCGTCTTTGGGTCGTTCGGATGCAGGATTGGCGAAACAAAGCTGGGCCATCTTAATCGTGCCATGCGTGCAAGGGCATCCAGGATGTTACCCGGTGTTGGCCATATAACCTTGGGTGAGAGGTTCGCCGGTCGACGCTGAATATATTCCGGAGTGTATCCAAGAATGAATGAACCGTATGCCTCGGGGAAACAATCGCGATCGAACACAAACGCGTGGAACAGTTGGCCCTGCGCGAGAGCAAATAACAGCCAACTCCCCAGCCACGACGGTTTGTTCTTGATCAATGCCGTCTGCTCAATGGCCGTGTATCCGATTTCGAGTGCTCGACAGCCCACATAGATTGCAATCGTGATTCGGAGCTGGTCCGCGGGACAGATGCCCAGAGCGAAACCCGACAAACTGGCTCCAAGAGCTGGGGTGATTCGGGAGGTAAGTGTCGCGTAGATCCGTGGATACCGCTCTCGGATCCCCCGCACCTTCTCATGCAGGAGCTGAAGCCTTAGTCTGGCAAAGATGCGATAAAGTGTTGCGTGAAAGAACAGGAGTGATGACAATGACAGAGCCATTCTCGAATGTGACGCCACGATGGGTTTTCTCGAGCCAGTCGCGGTTGGCGATCTGCGTGCGGCAAGCCGGTCTAAGATCGCGCCGAGGAGTTTGAGAGAGCCATAGGTGACAATAAACACTCGCGATGCAGAGCGAAAAGCAGCTGCTCTGTGGTTGTCCTGGAAAGAAACGGGATTTGAACCGCCCTCGTCCAATTCGCCCTTTCTGATGCCCCGTGCTCTTGACGACTGTCTCGCCAGGAGTCCGCCCAGCAACTCATACTCTCGCTCATTCACCACAAGGCGGATGGGAAGTTGATCAACTGCCATAGTATGCTATCTTGTCAGCCCTCAGAGTCTGGGATGTTCTTCAAGGCTGACGCGACCACAGCATTCCAATCGTGGCGAATGGAGCTTCGAGAGCCTTCAGCACCAATCGTACCCTCTTCTGGGCCCCTATCGGAGCGTGTTGCGATGGGAAACGGGACGATAGAGTTGACCGCTAATGATAGCAAGAGCACAAAGACGATCAAGGAAAGAGTGATCCGAGTGACATGGCTGAGGTTTCGTCAATCGAAATGCCTCGGCTCAATGTTGATGATACACGTGGATACTGTAAGTACCCAGTACGTGAGGCGCTCTCCTGCTGCGCCCTATCTATACGTTCGACCGTATCTGAACTAAGATGCAATCTCGAGTTACTGTACACCTCAATTAACCTCGACATTGCCTTACGTGTATCCACGACGAACAATGCTTGCCGACTTCCTGAGGCCCATAAACCATGAACCTCTTAAATCTCTTTCTTTCCCTCATCAGCCTCTCCCTCGTCCAGGTTGGCCCAGCGCTCGGCGCCAAATCCACAGCAACATCCTTCTGCAAATGCATCTGCTTCAACAATAGCACAATCATTGCGTTGAACCCACCTCCTTCTTCAACGAGCGCCTCCGCAATCCATAATCTCGACATGAGATCTCCGCGCGCACTGGCGGCGGGTGGGGGATCTGATTCCAACCGCGAATCCGGAAAAGAGAAGGAGCCCGCGGCACCCTCACGACCACACCACAAACTCACCTGCGCGGACTGCACGCGGGCCTTCTGCCTAGATTATAACCTGCCGATCTGCAAGAATGCGCGGGACGAAGATGTCTTCACGACATGTTTCCGTACGTTGTCTTCTCTGCCCCATTCAATGTTTCCATACATTCCCCACTAATCAAGTTCACTTTCTAAAGAGCGGGACTCCCTCAAAGACGAAACCGTCGTCGTGATATTCATCTTCGCCACAGCCGGACTGTTGGCCTGGGCAATCGTAAAGCCCTGGATCGACCGATTGAGGGAGAAGAATACATTTACGCCATTGCTGCAACACGACCGAGGGGATCGGCAACATTACACTTCCAATGCACGAGCACAGAATGTGCAAAGGAACTCCAAAGGGCCCCGTCGCGCTGGCTTCGGGAACGTTGGCGGAGGAGAGGACGAAACTGGAAGTGGAATTAGAAGCGGCAATGGAAATGGAAATGGAAATGGAAATGGGATGGGATCACGCAGGGGAGGACAAAATTCTGCCAATGTTCCATATGATGAAGATATGCATGCAGACCAAGATGCCATGGACATAGTCTCCGGCACGCCGTCGGGATCAGGCTCTCGTCCTTGACGTTCAGGAGGCAGTGTTTGAAATGTTATACTTGGATGGAAAAGAGCTTGTCCGTCCGTCCCACTGTCGATCCTGTTGTCGCCGTGAGTAATGATTGCCAACCCCGTTGTACATCGCTCAATCTTCTGGTCCTGGTACTCCCTTGCTCGCCGGAAGTGAAGAGCTGTGTACCGTCCGAACAGCATGCTCAAGCATACATCGATGTCCTCGTCTCACCCATTCTACTCACCGGTGCACTTCAAAGTGACAATTATGTATTTGAGGGCCTGTCTGCTTTTTCATATGATTACAAGCCGTCGAGTGCGATTCATTGTTCCATCCCAACAGTCGCGAGATCTGACTAGATCTTCCCTCTGTGGCACTTACCCAGGCTCGTAAGCAGCATGAAGGAGAAGGAACAATAGACTCGATATCCCACCGTACTAACATTGACCAGCAGCTCACATTTCTTTTTCCTTTTTCTTCTCCGTGGTCTCATCCAAAGCACGCCCAGCTCAAGCTCCATTTCGAAAGACATTGCGGTGCCGTACATGTTTTCTAACCAGCCCATTATGCCCATCCAAGGTCCACCATTTTGTAGATCCCCTGTGCTATGCTGTAAAAGAACAACGCACATACACACATGAAAGAATCCCGCCTGCTGTAACGCTGTCATAGCCATTTCCATGCAATTTTTCATTATTTTGCGTCTGCTGCTCATTTTTTCCCACCTCATTTGGAAGAAATCAGGAATCCCACACGTTCCCGGTTTAGCACGTTCCCCTCGATGATGGACTCCTTCAACCCAACAGCTTCCCAAGCGGCGGAGTTTGCCATGCGCTCCTTATTCGAAACGCGGGAGCTGTACGTCTTCTGACGACGGCCTTCGCGTTCGTTCACAATATCGGCCATGAGTTTCGTGGTAGCGGCGTCTCGAATTGTGGGTGCTTGGATGAAGTTGTTGAAGACATTGAGATTCTCAAAGTCTACATTCAAAAGAATGTTGGAGGCCACAGTGTCTTTAAAGGTGGATGCGGTGGGTAGGATCTCTGACTGTGGAGACGATGGCGACATGTCTGCTGACGAAGGCATGGAGCCAAACACCATAGAAGCCAGTGCCGGATTGTGTTTAGGGCGGCCATCGTCCAGTTGAGGTAGGCGAGATGGGATAACATTGCTCGTGGTGGACGTGCTGTCAAGTTTGAAATTCTTGATGTCAATATGAGTGGCCAGGAACTGAAGGATGAGCTTGATGATGGAGCTGCTGGCGATGAGATAGTCTGATCCATTCATGTTCTTGCCGTGGGATGACATAGGTGAGTTAGCAAGCTCCACAGCATACTTGTAGGTGATCTCCAGAATGTCCCAGTCAAGGTAGCTGGCTAGGAGCCTCTCCGCGCATATCGAGACAGGTTCAACACCAAGCTCAAGGCCAGACACCCAGTATGACAGGAGATACTCAAGATTGTGCACTCTCACAGCCTGAAAATCAGCTCCGGGATGTGGTTGGACGAAAAAATCCTTTCCCAAGACCGTGTCCGAGTAAAGGAAGCGCAATGCAGCTTCAAAGGCGTGGGCCATAACAGGACGAGCGGGATAAAGGCTAACGACATTGCTGGGATAATTGTTGCTGACCTGCTGTTGACGAGTCGCCAATCTTCGCATGCGCAGGCTGCGGAAGAGAATGACAGAATGACAGTAGCTGACAAATGGCTGTGCGTTGGTTGGATTGACTTGAATAAGGATATCAACTCCTTCTTTTGTTGCGTTGAGAAGAAGCAGGTGTTCCTGAAGTGAAGGGAGAGTATTGAACGATCTTGGCACAGTCACAGGCGGGGCGTAGGCTGGGGTCGGGAACTGATGGTAGCCATTGACAGTTGCGTCACGAACAGTGTCTTTGAAAGAGACAGAAGGTTGCGCTTTTTGATATCCAAGGGTAGTCTCTTCTGGCTGCAGCGCAAAGGTACCATTCTCGTCCAATGTCGATTGTGACGAACCAGTCCCGTTCGCGTAGCTGGACGTGGTGGTTGGCTCAGTTCTTTCTGAGAGCGCTGGAGGTGGGACATCAGAATCTGGTTGACGGTTGTCATCCTCTCCAGCTGGGCCTCCGAAAATTTCGGGCAACTTGACATTTGGTCTAGTGACGGTTTCATGTCCATAGTCCGAGTCGGTTGCTGGCAGTTCGATGGTAGGTTCGTTGAGCGCCATTTTCGCTGTTTCAGTCACTGATCTGACATCCCCTCCAGCTTGTCCATCGTTATCGCAAGTGTCTACCTCTTTCTCATCGTCCCCAGTATTAACATGTGCTTCTGCAGTGGGTTCTTGCGCAGGAGAGTGAGAGGGCTGAGGAGTGACAGGTTCTGAGCCTGATGTAACGAGTCAGCGGAGACTGAGTAAAGTCTGGGGGACTCTGCTGACCTGTGAATGGAGACACTTCTTTCTCTCTAGTGAATCCATTCTGAGATACGTCGGAATGGGCCACATTTGCTACAGACTCTGTGTCTTTCTGAAACTTTTCACGGTCGGTAAGTGACTGGGTTGCTGGTCCTGGGTCTACCTTCTCGGGTTCACGCTCGACTGTGATCGCCTTTGCCTTCTGAGGCTTCAGGCTCAGAATCAAGGGTAGTGCCGGCTGAACTATGCGAGCGTATGGCTTCCTGAGCGGTTTGTTAGCTGCGGAATTAGAAGCCATTTTGACGGAGAAGTAAAGGTCCAGGTGACGACCCCCAAGATGCGACCATGGAGATTGACTGAGTGCAACAAGGAGGAGCAGGGGAGCTAGGGAACGAGCAAGGGGGGCTCTGTGGCCTCTGCTGGAGAGAATGAGGAACTTGCACTGTAGCAAGAGCGACAGTGGACAAGAGTGGTGATGGGTTGTCTTTCCAAAACGAAAGCCTCGGAGGGGCAGCAACAGCGAACTTTGGCTTTTTGGCGATGACTTTCGTAAGTCGGGGTGCATCAACTCCGCACTTGCTGGCCAAGACCATCGGAATCGGATTATCTATATCACCGGAGGACCGAGAGGGACGGAACGGCTCCGTACTTGTCATTCAACTGATTCAACGCAGCAGGTCTTAAGCGACTCAGGACTATTCATTGCATCACGAAGACAAGTCTTCACACACCAGGGACAGTGAGCAGGCACGATTCTCTCCCTTCTACTTGTGCCCTAACAACGGCAGGATCAGAGGAACCTTCCTCTCACAATGCTCGTGCGATCTAAATGTGCAGAGCAGTTCTTCCAAAGGGGCCCTTCGGAGAACAAGCAAGCAAAGTGGCGACAACAATTTTCACAGCCGCTGGAGCGCCATGTGGACTACTACCCAGTACTCGTAAATTCGATACATCAGACTTGTGTCAACGGTTTCCCCAAGGACATTTGTCTCAAAACTCGACGACGACGAATATCTCAGTTCCGACCTGTGATGATACTTTGCTCGACTGGCTCATGATACTCGGTATTAATCACACAATCGATATCTACGGGTCAGTCATGCAGACATAGAGGCCATGGTGTCGGGCCAGGCCGCTGTTATCATTGAGAATTCAAGCCTTGAGTAATGAACACGCGACAACTCCCAAAGCTGGAAGGAAGGTGCAATGTGTTCTCGTCCGGAGTACGAGTACATATGTTGGAGGGATCCACAAGAAGAGCGACCGAAAATACTTACCTAGTCCAATTTTTCTGAACTTGATTTCCCATATGTTGAATCTTCATTGGGTATACATGCCAACTGACCAAGTCGCTGGGACAGCATACTTAGGAGCGGGCGCACACTCACCAAGTCCACCCATACGGCGAGATCAAGATATATCTGACGGCATTACAGACAGGATGAGGCCACAAGCGGGTGGAGAAGACCATCTAATCGGAAATTGCATGCTTATGTACGGAATACTTGTTGGAAGTCTTATGTGAGTCTTTCTTCTGTCAGACTGGAGCCCGGAGGGGTCTCCCGAAGTCGAATGTCGCAACCAACAGAGGGCAACTCTTCCCGACAAGGACGGTAGTGATGCTGCTTGAAGAAAAACGAATCGGTGAAAGAGGTGCAAGATGGACGAAAAAGGCGGCTATCTCAGGCGTCGGGTCGCTTGAACCATGTGGCAGAAGACGAAATTACTGTACCAGCACACAGATAAGTGGGCCAATAGCCGAATGTGACGGCAGCGGATGCTGCGTATCATCGCTGATCAAGGCTCCTTGATATCTCTCAATTGCAGTACGGAATTACTCTGGTGCTGGCCAAAATAGAGCACCGAGGTTGAAGAGACTGCGGCGAGCCCTGCACGCTTCTATTGTTGAGCCTGGGGCTATTATGGTTATGACGTCTGGCAACAATTTGCCGGCAGATTAGGCGGCGTCAGGCCAGAAGCTGGAGGCGGGGACTCTGGAAGAAAATCCAGACGCGCTAGACACACCAAAAAAACACGACAGTGGAGAGACGGGCCAGTCTTGGAAAACAACAATTCCATATGGGAGACGCGTCCGTGCGAAATGATTGTTTACATGTTACCCTGTTCATGGGAAGCAGGGCTCAAAGTCAAACGGAGATTTGGAGATAACAACTGGGGCCTCCAAAACATATGGGAAAGATATACAGAGTACTGGGTACATGGTACTTCAAGTATAAGGTATATACACTACCGATACAGGATAGAAAAGGAGCCTCTTCAGCACACAAGTGGAATTCTCACTGGAGGAGAATGATGGCGTTTCAGACAACGCCATTGGCGGTGTGTTGAGTCTATGGAATGACCAAGAATACCACAAATATAACCAAGGGACAACTGGATTTATTTAAAAAGTGAAAAAAGCACTCCAGGGGCCAGACCACCATTGGTGTGAATGGGAAAAGCATGGTGATGGGCAGTGGAGCTTGACAATTTCGCAGTCAGGGGCAAGGCCCATGTATTCCCTTTTCATTGGGCCTCAGAACGAGCTTTATTGAGCCTTGAAGCAGCCATAAGGTTGTTCCCGACAGCCCCCAGAGGCCCCTCCCCATGTGGCTTATGTTGGGGGCAATGTCGGTGCTCACTAGCAGGGGGCGGTCCAACAAGGGTTCCCTAGGCGGCTCTCTTCAGGTGGCCCAATGGCATCGACCAAGGCCCCGAATGCTCTTTGCTCACACCAGCACAACGCCAAAACGACAAGCTGCTTCCATATTCCGGCGGGCCAACTACTGTATGTTACTGTGTGATCCGAAGAACGAGCTTGAAGTCATGATGCGATCACGATGGAGCACAGCGATGACAGCACAGGTAATGCTGGATTTCAGGAGACGGCACGCGACCGACGGAATCGGGGAGGCTAGGTAGAGAGGTTGCTTGATCTTTCTCTTCCTCTTCCTCTTCCCCCAGCAGTCTTTCTTTCCTCCTCTTTCCTTCTGAAGGCGATATCTCATCCTCCGTCCTGTGCACGGGTAAGTACTGGGTACCCAGTACAGCCCACGACCTGTCGTTCCTGCTTGGTTTCTCTGGTTCACCGTGGCTAGCCGCCGAAGACCTCCCAGGCTCCCGTTTGTCGATGCAAGTACCCAGTACCCGAGATGGACAGGGAAAGCCAAAGAGCCAAGGAAAGGAGGGACAAAGGTCGATCGTACCTGCGTCTACTCGGTACTGGGTACTGGGTACTGGAGCCTTGGTGCCCTTCCTGGCAGCCCAATCGGGCGGCCATCACATCAATCTGCGACACGCTAGGTAGACAGAACGCTCTGCTCTGGGCCTCTGGCCAACTCGACCCGGCGACTAGGTCTCTCTCCGGTTCCCCTTTCGAATCTCTGTCTTGTGCTCTTTTCTTATCCCACCTTCCCTTCCGCTTCCGCATCCGCTGGTTTGGTTTCCAGCCACAATTTCATCTGCGACATCCTTCCATCCACGCTCACCGGGACGCCCTGAGATCGTCGCTTTCTGCTCCTTGATTGCTCTGACAACGGTGTAACCGGCACAAGTGATCGTCACTCGCTCTTCTCCTGTCATCCGTGACTCGATTGCTGGTACCCTCGTGTCACAGGCGCTCCCCCCCCTCCGAAGCCCTTTGAGGCTTCGATATTAATGTCGACTGTTTTCTCTCTGCTCGCCGCCCAGGTCTGGCATCTGTCAAAAGATCTCGAGCCAAAACTCTTTTTTGACACGCATTGTTTGATTAGCTTCACCCTCATCGCCTTGTCAGGTTAGCCTGCTTCAAGCTGTCCACTTTTTTATCTTCCGCTTGCTTCAAAACGACCGTCGCGGTGGGTACCTAGCTCTAGGTATACCCGTACCCGGTCTCATATGCAAATCCTCGAGGGGTGTCGCTGGCTTTGCCCGACTTCAAAGACTTCTTCAGCCCTCTGAAATCTCCGTCAAACCTTGTTCAGCGTGTCAACCCTGCTTCTTATCCGGTGCACGCGTTTACCCTGGTTCGATCCTGGACCTGGATGTGCTCCACTAACACCAAGAGCGAGAGCACATCATCACACGCACACAGGGCACCATTTTCTCGACGTGTCTCTTGTTCAGCCGTCCTTGCGCTCACTGCAACTGCTGGTTAGGGTCCCTTTCATTCAGCTTCCGCTGTTTTTCAGAAGCCACGATCGCCATTCTTCTCGGCTGGTCCAGCAATCCCTTCCTTGTATCAACCGTCCGAGCACGCGCATCCTGCCACCTGTATCAGCCTCCTGGGTCAAGGCCGTCATCCGTCAAACCGTGGGCTTGTTGTTGGCTTGCAGGTGCTCCTGTCGGAAAAGGCTCCTACTCCCTCTGACTGCAGCCCAACCTGCGACATTCGTTCTCAACCCTGGTTCCTGGACCTGGCCGGCTTGGGTTATCAAAGTCGTGTTCATGCTGACTTTGATTCTTGGACGGCGACGCGCTCTTCGCCTCGACTTATTCTGACAGTAATGGACTGTTGAACACGTTCATTTGTTTCGACATACTATTGCCACTCTTTTCACCTTCGAAGACCACCGAACCACGTTCGTTTCCAGTCTCAGCACTGCACATATTGTCCTGGACAGCTTCTGTCCCATCGCTGTCTCAGATACGTCCTACGCTGGCTGACAACCCAATTCCTGTCATAAGTGGAAGAAGCATACTCCAAGAGGAGGGTACCAAGCAACATCCAAGACACCTTGATAGTCACCCACACCTCTTGTCGACCAGTTTCGCACGCGACTGTCTAAATTCGACTTCCCGCACCCTCGACGGGACTTTCAACTTTGCGGTTGACTGGCTCAATCGACAATCCCGAGATCCTCCCACGCGTTCACTCGCAATACCTTCAGCTCACCCTGGTGTCCTTATCCAATGTCTTTCTAGATGGAACGATCATAGCCAGTCCTTTTACGAACAAGTCCCTCCTTTTTTTTTTTTGGTCGGTACAGGCTCGGTGTTGGACTCCTCCTGGTGGATGTGTTGGGCTGACTGCTTGTCTAGCTCACCTACCCTATACGCTCCTTTTACATTCCCACCATTTCCTAGACGTCCGATATGGCGGTCTTCAAGAAGAAGGCGAAGGCCAAGGATGATACGTATATCATTCCTCCAGCCGCATCCTCGGACCCGGCACTGCCAACCAAAATGTCGCGCAGCTTAAAACGAAAACAGAAAAATGTGGTGGAACCGAAGCCCGAGATTGATCTTACTACTGCGCTTCCTGACACAAATGACTTTCGGACTAGTCTGCTCATGCCAGGCCTGTCCGCTCGCTTCAGCATGCTTCGGGAGCAAGATGACCCAACCACCAAAGTCGGCAAGGCCAGCGACGACAGCGTTCTATTTCCCAAGAGAGCCTCCCGGCTTAACTTGTTCTCCCACAATCCCTTGACCGATATTGCTGAAACTGAATCAATCCAGACCACGTTCAGGGCACCATTCTCTGACGAGGATCGCTCCAACTCCTTTTCCGAAGGGACTGGATATGCCAGCGACGATGCCGGGACTGTCCTTGCGAGGCCAAGGCCCACAGACGGCAACAATCTTTTTGGCGGCCGACAGAAGATGTATCGCATTCCAACCGCCAGCGGTTCAGGCTCGTCAAAAGACTTGACCGAAATCCATGTACCCTTGACATCTGGAAGGCACGTGTACCAGAACGATGTTGTATTGTCCCCGTATCAGCAGATGCGCCTCAAGGCCCGGGAGGAACAGGATCGCGAGGAATCTCGCGAAAGGCCAACAAGTGAGGGCGTTGAGGAACCGGATCACAGCAGCGTCATCAACACCCCTTCCACTGGATTCAGCAAGAGCAGAGGAACGACGTCGTCCACGGCTTCGGGGCCTTCGAATCGGCGCACCTCAACAGCCGCGACTTCAGTCGTATCCGACACGCCGCATCCGAGGCAAAGTAACACAAGCGCCGGCTCAAACAACAGGATGCATGGTTCTGAATATGACAGTGAAGAAAATCTGCTAAAACGCAATTTCTCATCCGACTCTCGGAAAGGATTGCCCGGTGCAGACAACCAGGCCCAACCTCCGCTTCCCATGTCTCCTTCGAACGGCCGTCAACTCTTTCAGTCAAGCAGCGTCAGCAATCTTGCAGACAAATATGCTCATGGAGCTTCTCCATTCTCTACAAACGCCTTCCGAACAGGAAGCCCACCCCCAGCTCTCCAGACGCAGGCATTGGCTTCGCTCGACTTTGGTCTCAAAAGCTCCCACAGCCATCCACGCAGATATCAAACAACCTCTCCAACGAACGACGAAGACGATGGACCGATCTACAAACAGAGTCTTCAGCCGAATGATCGTGGCAAGGCTACCGCAATGGGGTTGTTCAATCGACCGCAGCAACAATTTGACGAGCAAAAATTCCAGGAAAGACAACTGCAAATGCACGGGGGCAGGATATCACCACCGACCTCTGATAGTCCAGACTATGTTGGGATAACGGAGCGGCAGAACGAGCCCGGTCGATTTGTTCTCTCCAGCAATCCAACTTCCCCATTCAAAAACTATCGTGGCCGAGAATCTGGTGATATCTTGGTCCCTGCTCGGTCAAGAGCACAATCCACAGCCTCCTCGGTCAATCCAGCACAGGTCCAAGCACAAGTTGAAGCACTGATCAAGCGTCAAAACGAAGAGTACTCGACACTTCAAACACAGAAATCCACAACGGCCGAGGCAAACGTGGCCCCCGTGCTATTGCAGTCTAAGTCACTCAGGGAGCAGCCCCCAGCATCTAGGGGAACCTTTTTCGACACCTTTCACAGCAGCGATGAAGATGAAGCCGATAGCCCCATGTTGGGCAGGTATGAGCCAGCACCGAGGCTTGCTCCATTAGATGTCCATCCAGCTCTCCGTGACGGATCGCAAGCTTTCGATTTTGGGGATCATATCTCGGGCATTGTCAAGTCTACCCGACCTGAGTCCAATGTTTCAGCCGACACTTCTTCTCCTTCGGTTGCACACGATACTCCAGACACCTCAGATTCACTTCATCGGTCCTCTCACACGAATGCCAAGGATTCACCAACCCTGGGCCCAACCACCGGACTCGGCTTGAGTGGTTTGATTAGGACTCACCTGAGGCATGACAGCGACAGGTCCTCCGTGGTGCCTCCACCGTCGCCGGGACAGCCTCCATATCAATCGAGTTTCTCTTTCGGCACCCTGCACGACCGAGAACCCTCTATTGCCTCCATTCCCACCGGCAATTATCGAGGATCTATACGTGAGCGAGAGCCCTCTGTTGTTTCTACTCAACCAGGCAATTATCTCGCGTCTCTTCGCGATAGGGAGTCGTCAATTGCCTCAACTGCTCGCACAACCAACCCCCCGGAAAGCACGCACAGTGATCCTTGGGAATTTGATAACGCACAGCGCACTGTACGAAGCCCCCCAGAACCAGTACAGAATGAAGCTATACCTGCTATGTCTCAGAAAGCACAACAGATTCTCGGGCAGGCAATATCTCATAGACACCAAGCCGCAAGCAAGACGCAACAGATTCTTGGTGATGATGCCCCCAGACCGGGCGAAGAGCAACATCCCGCAAATAGACCATGGCCCTACGATACGCTGTCCCATCATCGTGGAGAGAGCACAGAGACCCAGAAAGAATTTGGCAACGAGCTGGCCGAGCGCGCAAAGAGAATTCAAGAGGGTCTGAAGGGAGTTGCAGTAGCCGAGAAACGTTCTCGAAGCCAAGATCGCCAAAATCCTGCTGCACAGGCTTTACACGCGCTTCGTCACAAGACCAGCAAAACATCTCTGGCACCTCGGGCCAACGAGCCCCAGCCTAAAGCTATGAAGATGCTTGGGATAGGCGTTGCTCCGAAATCAGAACCTATGGGACGATCACCCAACATGGGAGCAAGGGGGGATTACGACTTCGACCAAGGATACGACGAGTATGGAAATCGACCTACCCCCAGGCAAAGGCCCGCCGAGTTTGAACCCCCCAGTGGCCGGCAAACACCAGGGTTCTCGCGACCGGGACCGGGTCCTGGACCTTATCCGAGCAGCTCGATTGAAGATCCTGAGCGGCTCTATCAACGCTCCGCGACACCAACTGCTGGGAGAGCGAGGCGTGATCGGGCCGAGTCTGAGGCAACCGAAAGGTCGAGAAGCCGAGGAGGTCGGTACAGAGACGAACCGCCATATTCACCAGCCGGATATGGTAGACCAGGCCCGCCTCACCTACCATCACACCGGGAGCAGCAGCAACGCCCGTATGGTCATCCTGATGGACCACATGGCTATCCTGGCCCTCGCCCTCCCCGGGGACCTCCACGTGGTCCTCCCCCAGTTGATCCACGCACCTATGAGAGGTCTGCTTCGGCCATGTCGAATCGGCAACCAAGTGGAACTCGACCCGGTCCAGCAGGCTATTTCGATGGGCGTGCTGCTACACCGACAATGGGCGGAACTCCTCAACTTGGACCGGGTCCGATCCCGATGGGAGCACCAAGGCCATCTCCACGTCCCCCTTTCCCGCACTCGCCCATCAGCCCCTTGGGGTCTCAGCCTGGGATGTCGCCTGGTCTCTCCACTCCAGCTTCCGGCGTGCTCTCTGCTCTGCCATCTCCATCAGGTCCTCTACCTCAGCAACCGCCTACAGGGCGCTTCACACCTGTCGAGGGCCGGTCCACCCCAATAGGAAGCCGCAAGAAATCCGTCACCAAAGGTATGATCTCGGAACCAACATTCATTTCCAGCACTTCCTCGGTTCCCCTGGTCGGTTTGCCAAATGGGCCCAGGCCAAGTCAAATTGCAAGCCCCCCAATTCCATCTATGAACCCACGCCGTCGTGGAAATACCATGACCGAGAGACCCGATGGATATTCCAGCCCGCGGATGCACGCATCTCAGATGCCGTCAATGCCTGAATCTCCAGGTCGTGGCGGAGGTCTGCCCATGAGTGCTGCCCAGCAAGCTTATATCGATCAGCAACAAATGCAACAAAAACCTCCGCCGCGTCCACGGAATCGCCTGCGAAAGATCAGCAGCGAGGGTGGAAGCATGGCTGCTCGCGCCCGGAACCAAGCCATGATGTTGGAATTTGGCCACGAAAAGCTCCGGAGCCCAGCGATGCCAGTGTTTCCCAACCGCAGCGCGACCTCTTTAAGCATTCACCAAGACGGCGGCATGTTCTGATGTCGAATGTGAACGACCTCGAAATCCATTCCTCCTCGGTCTCGAAACCACTCTACAATTTACTCTACAGACTATCTACACCATATTTCCAAGTCATCTACACCTTTAACTATCGAACAATACACCTTTGTGCGAATGTGCTTTTCATTACGCGATTTGGAGTCTCGAAAAGCAGAAAAAGCTGAATTTTTCACGATTGAACTATTTGACGGGAAATTGGAAATGTAACTTGCGACGGCTGAAATGGGAATTTAGATATATTTTTCTTTTCGCGTGAGTTATTCGACGACTTGGAACGCTTTCCTTTTTTCTATTTTTTTTTTCTTTTTTTTCTCAAACACCTTCCGAATTCCACGGAACATGACTATGGGCGGCTATACTGTGTTTTGGTTTTGATTTCTGCAAGGAAAAGAATATTTCTACCGAGTACTTTGTTGGACTGTGTGTGCTTGCCGTTGTGGATCAATCTTGGTATGCTCCGGCCGCCACCTGAATTCAAAGTGCGTGCGCCGTTCCAAGCAGGCGTCTCGGACCTATCTATCTACCTGTGTTTGAGGATATACGGCAAACAATAAAATCCAACGCACACACACATATAGTTGATGTGAGTCTCGCGACTCGGTGAGCGGTGGCGGGGTTGGTAAATGGGTGGGTATGTAGGTATGGAGATCACAATCAGAGAATGAGACATTCATTATTAGTAGTGACATGGGTTTGAAGGAGAGAACGGCCACGTTTTGCTGGGCGTGGTTGTGGTCTTCTTAAGATGGTACAGATGGACTGAATGCGTGTATATGTATTCCGTATAGAGTACTTCGTGTTCATATTATTATTATCTCTACACGCCACCCGGAACAGGAACTGAGCAGTTGTCGAAATGGACTATTATTGTTTAGCAAGAGGAAACAATGACTAGAACAGAGTAAAAGTCCTTGGTACCTCGTGCTCCGGACGAGGCCAAGGGGACCTACCTACCTTCCTCCTGCCGCGTACGGAGGTACGATAACAGACGAGTGCGTCTAGTCCGCGAATGCTGGAGAGGACAGGACAACAATGCTGGAATGCAAGGGAGGCGGGGCAGGACCTTAAAAGGCAGAGAGCTATGAGGTGCATGTATGTTTGCAGACGACCTGTCCCCGAAAAAAAAAAAAAAAAAAAAAAAAAAGAGAACCGAAAAGACAAATCGATTGATTTTTTGATTGATTGACTGACTGGCTACATAGCTCGCCATTTCCGGAATTAGACTCGACTTATTACATCAATCTGGAGGTCTTTCGAACACCTCATTCATGCACACGACCCATAGATGCGAGCCTGCCCGGTTGATCTTCTCCCTGGCTCCCTCCTGGCATGCTCATTGAAACTTATTCATTCCACTGCCTCCATATCAATCAATCAATCAACGAACGAACGCCTGATCCAATCAATTTAGCTGCCATCAAGCGGAGATGGGAGGAGTATCGTTCCCAGGTGTTTTGATCTTAGATCATATACCGGTAACCCTTCTGCAACCGTCTCGCCGCTGCAAGATCGATGCCCTCGATGTCGGCCGTCTTCCTCAGCTTCTGCAGATCGCGCTCTGTCAACGGCACGTCTTCGTTCTCCATCCTCTCCAACCGCATGTTCTGGCGAGTGAGCTTGATGCGCATGCTGATGCCCATGATGGCAGCCACGGCCTGCAGGCCAATGTTGATGCCGAGGGCAAGACGATAGTACGGTTTGTCCTGGTCGCGGTACGTGTATGGTGTCCAGATCGAGGCGGAGTTGCCGATCGAGTTGATGAAGGCAAATGCTGCGGCGCGCTTGGCCGGAGGGCGCGGAATGGCCGAAGCGATCCATGCGTAGCAAGTGCCATTCATGGCAAAGATGAAGTTCATAAGGAACAAGCTGAAGTATCGCGGTCCAAAGGAGTCGGTCGTCATGAAGATGATCCAGCCGACGATCGTGATCGGAATCGGATACATGAAGAACCAGAAGCGGTTGCCCATGCGGTCCGAAAAGACGGAATGGGCGAAGGAGTAGAAGACCATGAACAAATACGGAGGGGCGCAGAGGAGGAGCGAGACGATGTGGTTGTAGCCGAGAGTGGCCGTAAGAGTAGGGAAGAAATTTTGGAATCCAGCTGCTCCAGTAATGCACATGTAGGCAATGGCAAGCATGTAGGTCTTGGAGTCGGTCATGGCGAGTTTAAACCCCTTCCACTGCGACATTCCGCCTGCTTCGTCCACATCGGCTTCGGCGGCTTCGATCGCAAGGCGGCGGTTGGCCACATGTTTCATGTCGGATGGAAGACGCTTCCAGGTGCTGGGGAAGTCGGGGAGGACAAATATGATGATCAGGCCGATGAAACATGTGATGGAGCCTTCGATGACATACAGCCATTGCCTGAAAGAAGAAACGTAAGTCCAAGGAATCCAAGCTAGAACGAGGCAATCTTATGCACTGCAATTACTCACCATGCTGCCATGCCCATCTTGCCAGCCAAGCCGCTCAGGATACCCGCAGCGATGAGATTTCCAAATGCACCGCTAACGAGGGAGCCGGAGTAGAAGATGGACATTCGTAGGTTCAATTCTTTCTTAGTATACCACTTAGAAAGGTAGAAGAGGACACCTTCAGCAATTAGCATTTTTCGTCCTCCACCGTGGAGAGGAAGCCACCGTACCTGGGAAGAAAGGTGCCTCGACCAATCCAAGCATAAAACGACAGGCGACAATTCCGCCATAGCTCTTGACGAGGGAAGTCAACGCAGACACCAGGCCCCAGGCGCATACAAAGAAGCCCAGGTATAGAGAAGGCCGGCCGAGGTGATTGAGCAAGAGATTGGATGGCACTTGAGCCAAGATGTAGCTGACGAAGAGGATGGAAAGACCTGGGTCGAGCTGTCAGGAATTTGTTGTAGCACATGTCGACGGAGAGTCAACCATACCAGTCTGGTACTGATCACCATGCAAGCCTAAATCATCCTCAAGGCCTTGCAATCGAGCAGCGGCATAATTGTTTCTGGTCTTCCCGTCAGTTCCACACAGGTTCGAGAGCATTGTGAGTGGGATGGCCTTACCGATCAATGTAGTTCATCAAGTAGACCAGCACAATCAACGGCATGATCAGGAGATCGATCTTGCGGACCAGTCTCTTCTCGACGGCAAGCTCCTCTTCGCTAAGCGCGCCAAAATGCATGGCCTCATCGTGAGAGAGAACAGCCTTGTCGCCGAGGACATCGTGGTCGAGCACCACACCAGCACCTCCTGATTTGATATCAGCCATTTGAACAACGAACCAGTGCGACGACTCGGGATACACAGGATACTGGGGAAGAGGAAAAAGAACAGAGCTGGGGAGGTGCAGGGATCGTCATGCCTTTAAAGGAGCGGACCTGACTTTCATCACTGCATGTGGCCACCCTTCCCAGTCTCCTGGAAGCGAACTCCCGTCGTCCTGCCACGCAGAGATGGAGAAATCGTGGGGACGATCATGCCATGAAGCGGCGAGTCGGCCACTTGTGACCCTTGTTACATACTGTCGCTCCAGTCGCTGAAAAGCCAGGGCCTTTGCACCACTTCTGGGCTGACGTTGTGGAGGTTGTCAAGACAAGGCCGGAGGTAGCAGCTGGGCAGCTGGGCAACAGAGCTTGAACGGTAAAACACCGGTGTCATTCCGACGGAACAAGAGCTCTGGAGGTTTGGTGTGCTCGTGTTCATCTGATGCAACAGAAGCAGGGTGACTGCATGGAACGATCTTCGGGGGGGGGTCACAGTTGTGGTATGGTTAGGTGGCCATGGCTAGATCTCCGCCCATCCAAAGCCACCCGCTCCCAGAGCACCAAGCTCGACTCCCCAGAAAGCAAATGGGGTACATCCGTCTGCCTATTCCATTCACAGTTAAATGGAAAGCGTATCAAACTAACTTAAATTCAATCCCCCCAGGCGCAGCCCACTCTTCCGGTTCATCTGAGCATTGGCACACGGTCTGGAAACCGTCACCGATCCGTGTCCGAGCGCTGGCACCACTGGTTGACTGTGGCCCTTCCCCCACAAACGCGTAGACTCCACGGGGGAGTCCCTTTGCCCCCCAAAGTATGCCGCGGGAGTAGTCCAGAACGGCCTTATTGTAATTCCCGTGCCTGAGTAGAATCGCCATGTTTCCGACGGCGTCGAACCTTGTTGTGGCAACTCCTAACGTGATAGATATAGAATATAGATATCCACAGGGGCATTTACCGAAGTGCGATGCGGAATGCGACCCTCACGCGTGGCAGCGCACGCTGGAAGATAACGGAACCGGCGGAGACCTCAGGTGAGTCATCTTGAGGCTTCTGGGGAACGGCCTCCCAAACGCAAACCACGGCTTTGGTAGCGGTGAGTTTCCCTCTTGCCACATGCAAAAAGATGCAAAAGCCTATCGAGTCTGTTTATAAGCCTTCCTTGGCTCATCGTCAAGAAGCAATTAATACTGCTTAGAGAATACATTAGGCTAATTGTTGGTGCGAGTGATTGAGAAGCCAGTGGCTGCAATCGCGCATTTCCCAACCCACCGCCTCGAAAGGGTGATTGCTGGGGAACTCCACAGTCGGCACTGGCAAGACCGGCTATCAGCCCCTTCGGTGCATGTCAGCCCGGGGGAACTGAGTTGGGGGGCCGGGGAATCGGTATATACTGAGTAGCGACCTTATAACTCTGCTTAGAAAAATCGTTCCGCTCAACGGGGATGATAGCTTGAACAGGCAGACATTCTCACTTTGGCTTGCGTTGTCACCTTTTATGACCCTCACTATTTGAACGCCTCCTCGACTCCAGTTTGGGGGGAGCCTTCAAGGATCAGACCAGAAGGGGAGTGGGTGGCCGAAGAAAGTCCATTTGAAGCTACGGTGGAAACCGCCCATGTCTCGTGACTGAGCCGCGAAAGGCAGTTGCCGAACGAGATATCTTCCTCAGTGCCGAGGCGCCTTGTGTTTAATCACAGAGGAGACCATCCGTCCTCGGTATGCCAGGTCGGCATCAGACGCCAAGGTGGAGTGGCCAAGTTTTTATCTGGTCGCTGTCGTACAGTGTGGCTGGTACGAAAGTGTTGATCATTTGGATGTGAGCAAATGCCCGAGAGGGATTAGACATGTCGGTCGTTTGCCGCTTTCCGCTCACACATTAGGACTCAGCAAGTCGTATTTGACACACATCTCGACACTTTCTGCACTGGCTTGGAAGAATCTTCGGGCTTCGAGTCCAACCCAGATCTTCAGTAAAGAGAAGTCGCCCTCTTTGAAACTCTTGAGTACAGCTCCAGGGTCTGAAGACCCGAGCTGCCGCAGAATTGGCAAGGCACTCTGAAAGAGATCAAGATCTGGATCTAGTGTCCGTCCGATACCCTCCAAAAGGAGGATTGAGATGACCACATTCACAAAGTCACCTTCCATCCTCACATGATGGGCTCTTACCATTCCGAGGACTTGCGAAAGAACGTCGCCGATTTTGATATTGCCCAAGGCAAAAGTTTGGCCCTTGACGGCCAGAACGAGATGCTGCATCTTGAGGGCAAACACTTCGCCATCGACAACGGCATCAGGCTGACGACATCGTTCAATCATCAAGTGCCCAGCCTTGTAGCCGTCGAATTCGGCAATGGCGCGGAAAAGGTCCAAGAAATTGGCCCTGTTCTTTGCGTTGAGTTCTGTGACTAGGCCTGTGTCGATGAAGACCAGTTGTGGTATGTAACCATCCTTGTCAAGCTGCTCCAGGGCAGCTCGCCATTCCTTCTTTTTCCCCACGTAGGGTCGCAGCCGCGATAAAACTGCCTCGGACTCGTCGGTCTCGGAAGCGGTCGCCGGCTGGGATGCGTCTTGTCGGGACATATAGGTGGGTAGCTTGACATCTAGCCCCACGTCCGGATGGACTGGCTTATAGAAGTTGACCATGATGTTACCGGGGTGCAGGTCGGCATGAATAAAATTATCTATCAGAAGCATGTGTAAGAAGGCATCTAACCCCTCGTTTGCGATGTCTTTCTGGAACGGGCCACCTCCTGATTCTAGGAAAGCTGCGAGCGGGAGACCTTGAGCAAACTCCTCGACAAGGACGGTGCGAGTTGTGAAATCCGTATATGGATCAGGAAACCATGCGGTAGTTCGATGCTGAAAATGTTTTCGAAGAATGGTCAGGTTGGCGGCCTCAATGCGGAGATCCAGCTGCAGCCTCATCATCTCGCCGAAATTGTGGACTTCATTGGGGAGATCAAGCCACTCCAGAGTTGGAATGGCATTGATGATTGCGGCAAAGACGGCCATGATCTTGAGATCTCGGCGAACGTTCCGTTCCACCTTCGGATGCAAGACTTTAATGGCGACGTAGGCCGAAGGGACTCTCTGGGGGCTTGACTTGACAAGGGCATCGACGTTCCTCCGAATGCGATGCCGGAGTCTGTGTTTGTCTTGCGCCTCCAGATCGCTGTCGTCTAGCTTTGCGAGATCTGGCTTTAGTCTGGCCTTGTAAACTTGCGCAATGGCGCCGACGCCGAGGGGCTTCTCATCGAACTCTTGAAATATCTCGTTAAAGGATCTCCCGCCAAATGCTTCACAGATGGTCTTAACGGTATGATGGAGAGAATGAGCAGGGGCATTGGAATGCAGTGTGGACATCTGCCTGCACATCTCGGCAGGGAAGATGTCGCTCCTGGACGCAGCCCATTGAGCGAGTTTGATGAAGGCAGGCCCTGCTCTCTCCATAGATTTCACAAGAAAGCCATACCACCAGACCGTCCCGGCTCTTTCATTATCGCGATCTTTTCTTCTCGGACCCAGAAACGCCGCGGGAACGGTGACGATGACGGGGACGAAGATGACGACCAAATGGAAGAAGCGCAAGCTCGTGGCAATGGGTTCGTAGATCCACTGGTCAAGCACGTAGACGATGGTCTTGTAGAACCGATGAAAGCCGTAGACGTCCTCGGGAACTTTCTTGCTGATCTCCTCCCTCGACACCTCCAACATTTTGATTTCCCGCGTCTTGCCACCATCATCCTGTTCCCCCAGTTGAATGAACGCTGCTGGAGAAAGAGCGGCTGCAGCGGCCAGAAGGGAGGGATGGCGCCGCTGACGAGGGTCTTTGAGGCTGTATTTTCTGGTCCATCGGGTGAAGGATTGTTGATGCCGCGGGATGCGCACGTGGCTCGCGAATTGAAAGAGGCCGAGATGCCTTCGGCCACAGAAGCGGCCAAAGAGGAAAAAGGAACGCATCAAGACACACGCAGTGAGACGACAAGAGGCGCTTCTCTATGATTGAGCCATGAAGATCACTTGAAGAGGCGAGGAGGGAAGTGTGAAGCAGCGTGAGCAGGCATGAAGCTGTATGAAGCAGTATGAAGCAGTATGAAGCAGTATGAAGCAGCCTGCTCACCAATTCCGACGTCGCGGTGGCCGCTGCAATGACGTCGCGTTTCCTTCTGTTTCCTTCCTGCATTTCCGCTGCGCCGCCTCATTGCAGTTCCTCTCCGTCACTTGCGCCGAGCACAGCGCATCTGTTTTCTAGGACATGAGAGCCAGCCATCTCGGCTCCTGCCATGTGCATCAATCATCCAAAATGAAATATCGCGAATACCAGCCATCCTACAACCTCTCCATTCATGATTCCTACGTTGTGAGGCCCGTCCACCGCACTCCGACCGCCAACTCTCGTTGGCCTTTGTTAGCGAGCTGAGCACCGCCCGCCCGCCTCAGCCTTGTGGGCTCCTAATTTGGGATCTCAGGCCCGACCTGAGTCAGATATGCCGGGTACGACCTGCGTCTGTCGCTCAAATATGGCCCAGCGTCTTCGTCTTCATCTGACATACAATTGCCGCTTGAAGTCACCCAGACATTGCGGATACTCAGCGGCGTTGCCTTCGCACTTCTTCAAGCAAATTCCTTTCTTGATTGGAAGCCAAGGATGCCCTCGAGCTTAAGTTATCTCATTTCCTTCCTCCTTTCTTCCTCCCTGCTCCCGTCTCTCATCCACGCCCAGTCAAGCACCCAGTTCGGCCAATGTGTCGACAACTGCATCGGCACCTACCCCATCATCAACCACTGCAATGGCACCGAGACCGGCTCCGCGCTCGATCAATGCAAATGCGAGAGTTACGCCCCCTCGAACGACCCGCTGATCAACTGTGTCCTCACTTGCCCCTCGGACCAGCAACTCGCATTCGCTGACAGTCTCCCGAAACTCTGCGCACAGACTCTGTTTCTGGGTCTCGATTTGTCGGACCAACCTAAGCCCTCGGCAGAAAATACAGCGGCTAGCGCCACGGTCGGCGCAGCAAAAGCCACAGGCACTACCAGTGGGAATGGTGCAGCCAGCTTTGGAGCAGGCGCGAACATGCTGGCATATCTTGCCTGGACATTGGCCGTCGCGGTCTTGTTATGACAGCTTGAGTGTTTCTCTTCATACAATCTTTCAGGGAGCGCGCAGAGCCGGGTTCAGGAGATGCAAAGTCAAAGGTTGAAAGATTTCACAAAAGCGTTGACGCAGGGGTATTGACGATGGTGTCCATCGAGGGCCATGATTGATTGATTGACTGATTGATTGATTGATTGATTGATCGGCGACCGAATGTCGAGAGCCGGTGAATGGCGTTTCCTTCTGCTTGGGCAGGCGTTGGCTGGCCATCTGCAAAGAGTACAATGTTCTGACCGTACGATGTGGAAAACAGGACACACGTACAGCTATATATACAATCGCACACCTCACTATCTAAGCGACCCTCGGATGCTCGTATAAATATCCTCGGCGCAGAAAATTAGAAACTGGTCTTTGCTCTGCTTGTCCGTGGACATACATACAAACATATAGACACTCGGACACACTGCACCCCCCGCCGGGAAATCAGCAGAACCTAATCCTGCACCCTTGCTCGAGCTAGTATTGCCCGTTCTACGCCAGAAACATCCGCCATGGACGCCGCACTCCGGAGAAAGAAATACCTAGGTATGCTACGCCGTCCATGCCGATGGTCTCAATCCAACGATCCCTCCCTCACTGTACCCTTCCGTAACTTCACATACCTGTGGCACACCGATAATATGCCTGTTCTGCACAGCTACCTTACTTGAGAGTCCGCTGGGTCTCGTTCCCGACCAAGGCCTTCGCACCCGCGACGGCCACGCCGTCGATGAAGACGACGTTATCCTCGAGCACGGAGTTTGATTCCTTGATGTATCTGAACCGGGCTCTCCAGACCCAGTAGATGCCCGGGAAGAGGATGGTGGCGCCGACGATCAAGCACGACCAGTTCATGTAGTCGATGGTGGCGACCGTGACGGGCACGTACAGCGGGCAAAGGTACATGATGATGATGATCAGTGACCAGCACACCGAGATGATGTTGATCGGGTACCCCCATTTGCCCAGGTCGAAGTGTGGGCGCGGTGGGAGGATTTTGCGGCCTCGTAGGAGGACCTACAAAGGATGTGTGTGAGTATGGGTAGAGTGTGGATATAAGTGGAGGGAGGATGGAAGAGAAGCGCCATCAGACATACCACGATAACGGGCGTCACATAGCCAATCTGCAAAGTCACGCCCCCACCAGAAATGATCGATTCAAAAGCCAGGTCACTCCCGAGCACAATGAGACCTATGTAGCCGGAACAGACCAAGACGCACCTGGTCAGCATCACCGTATCCAGACACACACACGCACACACATATATATATATATATACACGCCAGGCCACAGGGGTAGAAGATCGAGGCGACTACCACCCCCGCGAGAGGGAGCAGAGGGAAAACATACCAATAACCAAATCGACGACCAAAATGGCAATCATGGCCCTCAGCGGGATGTGGAACCTCTCGCTCACATGGGCGAAGTAGTCGGAATACGGAAACGCCTTGTCACGGGCCATGCTCCACGCGAGGCGAGAACCCGCGTTGTTGGTGCCGACAATGATGAAAAAGTTGAGCCCGATCATGATCAGCGCGCAGAAGATGCCGCCGCCGTACACGCTGTTGCAGATGTCCATCCACCAGTTCATGTACGGTTGGGACGCTGTGGCGGTAAAGAATAATGTCAGTCTTTGAGTCGGTGCGCGCAGGACGGGAGGTGGAAGGGGATAAGGAGGGCCAGAAGAGACTCGTACCGAGCATGTACTCCTCCCAATTGCCGGCCGTCCAAAGCATCAGGAGCGCGGCGAGCCAGCTGGTAACGCTGCAGAAGATCATCGACCAGACCATCACGCGCTAGACCGTGTCAGCAATTGCAATCATCGACAGAAGGCATCATCAGGAGGGCAGAGACTCACAGGGGCCTCCTTTGAGGCATTCCGCATCTCTTCGACCTGTGTATTCCCGTATCAGCATATCACAAATTTCCTCTCCGGGCTGGTCAACACATACAAGATGCATCATGCCATCAGTGCCGTAAAGACCATACATGGGCGAATAAAAAGACATGATAAAGACCCAACCGGCGCTCGTATAGCCAGAGTTGTTGATGAACTTTGTGAAAATGAACTTGGCATCATGTTTCGGCGCCATGACGGCAAAGACGATGGCCCACGCAACACCGCCCGCGATTGTCCAGATGGCGCCAAACATGTTCATTCCCGGAAGCCATCTGCGAGGTTGATATAATTAGCAAAGGCGTAATTCCGCGAAAGGGTCATAGGTAGTAAGAGAAGACGGCACGTACGATTGCTTCAAGTTCATGACAATCGGACCGATCAGAAAGACCGAATAGATAATCCATGTCATCCAGGGCTATCCGGTGGTTTGTCAGTGTCCATTCTTTCTGGTGAGGATGAAACTGACTGACCTTCCAAGCAAAATCCGGGTGTGTGACCTCGACGAAGGAAGCAATGATCTGAGCACTGTTGACGGCGCAGCTCGATCCGGTGCTGATTTCGCCGACGATGACAGCCCAGCCCACCAGATATGACAAGATGGGCCGAAGCTTGCCCGTAGCCACGGCCTGGACGTAGTATTGCTGACCGCCTGCCGTAGGCCAAATGGTGCAGTATTCAGCCAGAGACATCATCAACAAGGTCTGGCCCACGGCGACGAAGAGACTGAAATATCAACTGTCAAAATAATCCACATCCCTCGAAAGAAGATTTCGATGCCACTCACGTGCCCCAGATCAGAGCAAAAGGGCCGCCGACATCAAAGATGGTGGAGTAGAGGACCACCAGACATGACCAGCTGCACGATATCATGATCTGGTATGCGCACACTGGAGACAGATGGTAAGCAAACATGGCTCCCACGAACCCGTGCAGCACGCCACTTACACGTCCAGAAATTGTAGACGCGTCGCAACTCGGGCTTCTTGCCCATGGACATCAACAGGGCATCATCGCTGTCGACCGATTTGGCATCCTCCAAAGTGGTCATCGCGTCCAGGTCCTCCGCCACATAGTCAATCTTCTGGTCTTTCATGTTGTTGAACTGTCGGCGAGAGGAAGAAGATCCACCACTTCTCGGGCAGAGACAGAGACTGGGGTTGCTTGCAGACAGGACTCGCCGTCGAGAAGCAACAGATCAAGAAGGACGCATTTTGAAGTCGGGGGAGGAGGAATAGGAGTTGATGTTAAGTTTAACAAGCTTCGCTTCTGCTCCTGCGGAGGAAGTGCAGGTTCACCAAGTATTTCTCCCCCCTCTCGCAAGGCTAGTCGACGAGCAGTGCCATTTTACCCTTGTAAAAGCCATGTGTCTGGAGGATCCGTTGTCGAAATCCTGACACCCATTGGGCATGCACGACGCTTATCATGCACACTATCGCAGACCGAGGCGCGACACATCAGTCTGTCTGCATGTTGGATAGTCTGGCGAAAGGTCCGTTGATGAGAAGACGCGAAAGGGCTGTGTGTGTTTGATAGTTAGATGCTCGGTAGTGTGTGTGTGTGTGTGTGTGTGTGTGTGTGTATGTGTGTGCCGCATATGCCTGCCCTTCCTTATCGCCGGGACCAGATTTGTGCAACGTACGTCTCGTGAAACTTTGATTGTAACTCTCCATACGGAAAAGGGACGGGTCACATTGGCCAGTTTACCTTGTAGGGCTCGATGGCTTGCGAGCTGGATCGGAGCCAAAGGGGACCATTGTCTGACGATAATATGGACGCTCTCTCTGTCGTCTTGCATGGTTGAGCAGCCACTCGTATGAGAGTCGAGGCAGCCATCTCCCCACTAGCAACGCATACTTTCTTTTTTTGTGATTTTCCTCATCTCTCGCATCTATACAACACACATAAAACCAACGGTGACTCTGCAGTTGTCGGGGCACCTTTTGCTGCTTCAGGTACGGGCATGTTTTCCGGGTTGGCCCCGGGCTGGGTTGTGGACAAGCCCCCCCCTGGCGGTGCGTCCCTTGCCTGATGAGGCTGGTGGATGGAGAAGTCCCTCGCTGCCGAAGTTTCCCTGGACTTGTATTATTACTGATGGATGAATGGTTGTTGAACGGAGAAGGGATTGACTCAATAGGTCCCCTTCTTTTCCGCCGGTGAGATCTTTTCTCGCACCAGAAGCTCATCCAATGTCCTCGAGATATGCATTGATTTCTCCATTTTGTCTCCATCTACCAGCCTGTTGAGGTATCATATTCCCAGGAAACAAATCTGTCCTCCTGCTTATCCAACGGAGAGTTCCCCATCGGCGGGCCAGAACCTCTGGGGGTTTCCCTTCCGTTCTCAAGTCACCTGCTTTCTTTGGACATGAATATCCTACTGGGAAGAGACGTGGAGTGGTACGGAGACCCATGAATCGAGGCTAGCCTCGTCGCTGTTCCGACCTGGGCAGGAGACAGGAGAAGTCGAACTTTCTCTCAACGTCACGATACCAGATTATATATGAATCCCCGGAGCGCGCGCGCTGTACAGAAGACACCCTTTCTTCTATCGATGCTATCGGCATTTCGCCCTGCAGCCTCGAAGTCGTTGCGAACTCTGTCGACGATCTCTTCCGGATCAAAGACCTGTCGCTATTCTCCTTTCATTAGATCTACTACCCGGTCAAGGGATCTTCACCTAGACGCCATGGCCCCCATTGCTGTCGAGGACATTGCCCAGACGCCTGTTGTGTCAAAGAAGGCCACTGGTGCCATCAATGGCGACGCGAGCAAACCAACTCTGGCACGTTTTGATGCGAATAATCCGGCCACAACGACGGAGCTCCTCGTATCGATCATTGAACGTGACGGCGGTGTTGTCGTGGAGAACCTCATCTCCAAGGAACTGGCCGCTCAAATCAAGAACGAGCTGAAGCCTTACTTCGATACAGATAAAGTTGATCCTTCAGGTTTCTTCCCGCACACGACACAGAGAGCCACCGGCCTCCTGGCGCGTTCCGACGGCTGTGTTGAACTAGCAATGAACCCCACATATATCGATATAGCCAACAAGATGATCTCTTCCACATATACATACTGGAACGGACAGAAGCAAGAGACGGTATTTGCTAAACCCATAATATCCTCGACTGTCGGCTTCCGAGTAAACCCGGGTGGAAGGCAACAGGCCCTGCACCGCGACGACGGGTAAGCCACGTCTGCTTCACGTCTTCCAGACTACTGCTGACTGACGCAGCGATTATCACACGCGCAATTGCGACATGCCCATGATGCTGGGTTGCGTGACGGCGTTGACCAAGACAACGGCAGAGAATGGTGCAACAATTGCCATTCCCGGTTCGCATCTCTGGGGTCCAGATCGCTGCCCTTATGATCACGAGGCGATTCCTGCCGAACTAGAACCAGGAGATGCTTTCATCTTCGCCGGTAATCTTTATCATGCCGGAGGGGCCAATGTCACCCAGTAAGTCGTGGCCTCGCAGGTGGAAAACCAACTCCCGGCTGAAACTAGGCAACAGGGATCAAGCTCGTGAAACTGTGGGCATCTTCTTGTGCAAACCGTATTACCGCCCAGCCGAGAATCAGTTCCTTATGGTACCCCCTGAGAAGGCCAAGCGACTGCCGCCCCAAGCACAGAGATTATTGGGATACGGGATCAGCCGTCCTGCTCTGGGCTTCATGGAGTATCAAGACCCAATGCGAGTTCTCTTTGGCGTCGAGGATGAAGAGACGGTCGATATGTGATTGAGAAACGCACGCAGCTTCCAGAGTTGCCGGAGACCCTGGCCCACCAAGCGCTTGTCTTCTTCAAGATCCGGCATCAAGACCTCAGATCACAAGGAAATGGAGACCTTGACTGGATTCTTGTCGAGCAAACTGCATCCAATCCACAGCCACACCGGGGTCACTATCCCAAAAGCGTCGCAGAAACTCCAGCGCCGGGTAGCAATTTGAGAACCCGGTCGACTTCATCACCTCCAAGAGCTTAGCCTCGGCAAAAGCCTGCGTGTTCTTGTTAAACCTGCTTTGTGTCCCGACGACAAACAGAGGCCATACCAGGTCGTGCTGATATGCCTCCTTGTTTTGGATGTTGGCGATTTTGGTGATGACTCCGCTGACACAGGTCTCTATTGCAGGAGCAAAGTCCTGGGGGTCGAGGAGAGCCTGGAAGCTATATGCAAGTCCAGCGTAGTGAAAAATATCAACCAGCACTGCAAAGTCGCTCCGCAATCCCGCGGTGCCAAAATCAAGTGTCTTGCTAAATTCCAGAGAACGATTTCGTGCGTAATCGAACCGCTCCTGCAAGACACGCATATTTGCCAGCCCTGGCGAGACTGCACTGGGCGAGGCAACGCGGTGGCGCCATCTTTCCGCGCAAGTCACTTCTTGGATCAGTTGCAGCCAATCCGTAAAGACCTGCGCGTCCTCTTCGGCCAAGACGGACCCGGGGATCTGGTCGTCGTCGCCAAACGTGGTGGACGAGCCAAAGACATCGTAGACAAAGGCTTCTTTGACCAGAAACCGACAGGTATCGTCAAGAACGATGGATGCAAGGTGGGGGGCCGTCCAGCGCCGAGTAATGGTCCTGGCGGCCTTCCAATGGACACGCCATGTGGCCGAGTCGCTCCGAATCATTTCGAGGTTGCAGAGAACCAAGATGGTTGCCAATATGCCGCTGGCTCGAGCGTGACGCGCTACGCTCGCATGTTCCGATACCTCTGTCCGCAGATCCTCGGCGAGAAGCAGCAGGCTTTTGTCACGGTAGTTGCTGGAGACAAACCCATCGTTCATGGGCCAAGGTAACCCGGATCTGGAACTATAATGCTCGGCCGAGAGTGCCAGTATGGCGAGAAGGAGCGAGGGCGAATGCATCGCCAGAGGAAGCATCAGCGTCCGCCATGGATTCTCCGGCCCATCGACCCAGGGCATGACCGTGGCCACCACATGATCGTAATAGCTAATGAGCTGTCTGACCGGCCTGCCTTGTAGATACTGGGACAGCGCATACGATGACGGATCGAGATTTAGCGCAAAGGGATTGTGGAGAGCGGACTCGTCGAAACTGGGTTGAAAGGCGTTCCGAAGCGTGTATGGTACCGTGATTGGCTCGCTCTTTCCTGCCAGCATTGAGGCATCAAGACCATCATCGCGTGAATCTGAGGATTCTCCGGGCGTTACGCTTTTGGGACTGTCCCTGGTGTGGACAGCAGCAGCCGCCGCCAGAGGAGCTGGTTCGAGGACAGGCAAGGTTTTGCCCGTGAGTTTGCCTCGACTGGCCACTCCCTGTCCAAACTGAATCCGCAAGCCATAGCCAGGGCAGGTCAGTTCCTTGAGCGCGCACTTCTTACATGTCGGCAGCGATCTGTCGCACCGAATCCGTCTCCTGTTACAGGTTCGACAGTCTGTAGAGCCACTTCTTAGTCCATGTGTTTTCTCTCCACCGCACAGGGGACCTCGGCATCTAGTAGTGCAAGTACTAACCTTTGCCTGCTCGGGGCTCATCTGGGTCGAGAGTAGAGAGACGCAGACTCATCTTGTGGTAAGGGCCACCAAAGAAGGTGCTGCCACGAGGACTGGTAGAGGACCGAATCGTCGCCACGAGCAAACCAGCAACCAAGCCGACGCAGACACGGACACAGACACCCACGAGAAAATACTCACCTTTTGGGATGGAAGGAGGCAATCAGGCAGTATCAACCCCGCGAAGGACATATGCGGGCTTCGAGGCCCCTTGGCGGGCACGGAAACCACCGCACTGCCATGCCATGCCATGCCATGCCGTGTGCGTGGGTTGCATCGACCTTTGTTTTTTTTTGTGGGCTGGAGCAGCTGAGCTGCATGTGCGCCGTTTGGGATTTCTTCTTTCGACAACGCACGACATCCCCGGAGGGTCGAATCTGAGGCGCCTCTGTTCCCCTTAGCAGGCGTCAATGGGGGAGGGATATAACAGGTTAGGATGCCTGATGCGTGTACATGCTCGTACGTACTTTGTTGCTGCCCCCCTTGTTTCGTGGGTTGATAACGGATCTCTACTCCTGTTGCGGCAGCTGGATGGAGAACCAGCTCAGTTGCCTGGAACAGTTAAAATATCAAATCCCTCTAGACGCCGAATGGCGACATCAAACAGTATCCTCCCATCAATCATATCTATATCTATAACTCTCTCTAATACCATGTCGGTGGGTGTCAGGTAGGTTGGGTAGGCGAGCCGAGATAAGGGACCGACTGGGCCAGCAAAAGTCGCCCGCAACATGCCGGCTCCCATCATGATCGATGATGGGACAAGGTCTGCTGCCGCAGACGTCGTTCATCAACTCCATATCAAAGGGCTGTCAGAGAAGGCCATCTCCACCGACGTGGGCTGTTCGTTGCCCCATGGATTCTATCATTTACCAGCCATCTATCACCTAGAAAGACGAGCCATCTTCTCGAAGCGATGGTTCCTGGTCTCGCACAAGGCCCGATACGACAATGTCGGGGACTACGTGCAGTATGAAATGGCAGGCTTCAACTTTGTCGTCGTCAAGAACAAGGAAGGGGACATTGTGGGATTCCATAATATCTGCAGGTAGGTCAAGGTTCTCTTGAACTTGCCTGTGCCTCAGGAGACTGTCCCTTCCCCTCCGTGAACGATCAGAAGGACCCCTTGACACACAGCGATGACGGGCCAAAACGCAGACACCGCGCTTTCCCAATAGTGCACGAGACCAGTGGAACTGCAAAGATCTTTTCTTGTAAATACCATGGATGGACGTACGGGCTGAACGGCAAATTAACCAAAGCTCCTCGTTTCACTCCCGAGTCGGTCCCGGCCTTCGACGCTTCGGACATTCGTCTCTTCCCCATCCACACGCACGTTGACAGGAACGGGTTTGTCTACGTCAACTTGGACGCGCGCCCGGAGCCAGAGATCTCGTGGGAAGAGCAGTTTGGGGATCTTGATCGCCAGGCCGTTCTCCAGAACTCCGGCGTGGATTGGGACGCGGTCGAATATGATTTCACGTGGGTCAAAGAAGGAAAGTTCAACTGGAAGATCATGCAAGACAATTACAATGAGGTAACTCACCGGCCTGTGGAAGCCGTCTCTCCATGGGCAAAAGCGCTGATCCATCCATCAGTGCTACCATTGTCTCACGGCACATCCAGATGTCGCCAGAACCACCGCGCTTGATACATATTACGTCTCACCCGGCACGCCGCACCACTACATCTCGCATTTCAGCGAACCCAAGGCGTCCATCCTCGCCACATCGGCCTTTGATACGACTCGTTTTGCTGGCAGGTCAGCCACTCACGTCTGGCCGGGCGGTCACTTCAGCCCGAACCCAGGGACGGGATTCATGCACCTGATGCGCAGCCTTCCGACCTCGCCAACCACGACGCGGCAGGAATACGACGTGTACAAGCTGAACACGCCGCACGCCACGCCCGAGGCGCATCAGCGAATGATCAATTTCTACCAGAAAGTCGTGGACGAGGACTTTGGCCTCTGCGAACGTGTGCAAACGAACCTCGAACGTGGCATCTTCGAAGCCGGTCCATTACACCCCTTCCACGAAGAAGGCGTGCAGGCGTTCCAAGCCATGGTGCTCAAGGTGCTGAGACAGCAGATTACGCTGGAGGAGGCCGCTGGCAGGGAGATTTGGGCTGCTAGGCCGCCGGCACAGAGAGTTGGAAACAAAGAGACAAATTCTGCTGACGCTGCGAACAGTGACGGCGACGGCGAATCGGATGGGAAGAGCATCTGCGCGAAGATGCTGGATTGCGACCAGACGAGGCTGAAAGTTCTGGAATGGTAGCCCCCATTCACTGGCCTGTGTACTCGTATATGTACTCAGCACTTGGCTACTTGGCTACCCGACATGCTTTAGTTCTTCGCTTCGCTGCTGCCGCCGTCGCCGCCAGCAGATCCAAACCAGGCAACTCGATCCCGATCACTATCCAGCTTGCGAAGTTTCTTCTGCGCCAGCGCACTTCCTCACGTTTTCGTCGTCGAGCACAGTGCCATGCTCGAGCTAAGAGAGGGGGAGGGGATAGCCTTAGGAACGGGAGATACGTGGGTACTTCGCAGTTCCGGTGCACTCGTGTAGGTATAGTATAGGCAGATGAGGCCAATGGAAAAGTTTCCGCAGAAAAGAGGGGGGGTTTTTTCTTTTCTTCTCGCTTTTTTCTTTTTCACCAAAAAGGAAAGGAACAACTTCTACCGGCAAACAGGTAGAAGGAACCTAGATATACCTACTTGTATGGTCCAGGATCCGGATTTTGCTTCTTCCTCTCCTTCATCCCGCCTGAGCTGCGCTGCCTGGCGCGTTACCGACTTGTGGTTACTACTCCTAACTCCGTAGCGCGCCACTGCACGCCCAACGGGCCGAGAACAACGGGCTCGATGTGCGCTGGTGGGCAGGTTTCTTTTCATGCTTTTAATTGCACAACTGACAACTTGAACGAGTTGAGGCCTGATGAATCATCAATGGCCCTACGTAGATGCTCGCTACAACACCTCCAAGCTCTACCAAACCTGTGCATCTCCTGTAGTTACATTGCCTCACTAGCCGAGAACGCTTCCACCGCGACCCAACTCGGCCCTCTGCTCAAATAAGCCTTCAACGAACCGATCCATCACATGCCCATCTCCATAGACAAACCTCTTTAGTATCCTCTGCGCTTCCTTCCACGTCCTGAGTCCCAGAATCCGGGACATCTCGCAAAATCGAGTAGAGTGCCATTTCCTGTCGATCAATAGTTGTGGCCTCTTGCCCGCTTCGTCCGACACTTGTTCTGCGCAGGCACCGACGAAGAAGAGGAAGAAGAGGGGTTCATGATGAGAGATAGCAAGTGGAGGCGGAGAAGTCCTGGATGTTGCCCTTGTTGAAGGCAGCGTACCGCGCTTGGCCATGTAGGTGAGTAACATTTCGACCTGAGGACGCAGATGTTGGATTGGGATATAAAGCAACCACTTCTGCAGCGGGAGCGTGAAGCCATAAACAAAAGACATGGCGTAGGATACAGCGAGGCAGATGCATGCCTGCAACTGCCTACGGACCGCCCGGGAGATACGCGTTCGCGGGGTGATGGTCTCGACAATGTCGCAGTAGAGGGTCATCGTCCAGGAACTCAATGCTGCGCGACGTCGGTGAAGCCAGCTGAAGATGGCAGCAACAAACTTCTCGCCCTTCCTCTCCCAAAGGAGCCTGCTGGTCAGAGCATGCGCAGCCATGAATTCTCGGTGCATGTTAACATAATTTTCTAGGCTGTCGGATATTTCATCATCAGGCAGCAGGAATGATTCGTCCCAGCGTTGAAACTGAAATTCCATATCGGACAGTAAGGAGCCGTATTGCTCAAAATCGGGTTGCTGTTGGAAGGACCCAGGATCGAAGCATGTGTAATCGAGATGCGGCCTGGTAAGTGTGAATCTTGAATGACCATTGTCTGCAAGAATTACCTGCGCCCGAGTGTCAAGGCTGAGCATATTGATCCCACCGAGCCCCTCGACGACCTCCCACAACGCCGACGCGTGAGCCATGTTTGCTTCCATATCACCGGAGTAGAACGCCATACACGCAATGCACCAGATACACATAATCAGGCTTTCTGAAGGTCGCGTGTCCTGGCGGATGTGCTCTCGCAGCAACATCAGGCTCCTGTTTTGATGCTTCAGGGCCATTGGGTAGAGGAAGCTGTAGAATTGCGGTTGCGTAAACAGTGCCTTCAGCGTCAGGACGCTTGCATACCAGCCGTGCAGACATTTCTTATCTGTCACGAGAGCTTTTGCTCGATGTCGCCAACGAAGCTCCATGGACTGGCGAGTCCCATTGCTAGGCGCATTGATGCTACTAAACGAGAGGAAGAAGCCACGGAAGACTTCCAAGGCCTCTTTTTGAAAGCGAGGACATGCTTGCCAGTCAGGGGCACTCCAATCATGTTGCTTTGGCAAGGTCGGGGACGTCTCTGGTATCAGTCTACCGGGCCAGAGTTCTGGCCTAACATACTGGTCGCCGCTCTCCCTGTTTGAGCATGCCTGCTCGGCAGGTTCAAGTGAGCTGGGAGGACTAGCAGAGCTGCGGGCGGAAGGATTCGCGCCTGATCCCAGCTGCCAACATATCATTCGGATGGAGGCCTCATCGTTGAAAGAACGGATATAGCCGTCATTGTCCGCATCACCGAAACCCTTTGATGCATCTGGATCAACGATACCGTTAGGACTGCATCTCGACAAAGTGTCGCGACTCCCGCCAATTTGTCGATTGCTCTTGGCCCAATGATAGTACTTGTTGGTGACGTGAGAACTGATCGAGAAGGCTTCATCTGCATCCCTTGTGTTTAAATTGGAGGCGTCTTTGTTGACAAAGTGGAAAGCACCTCGATAGGCTGCAACAGGCATTTGAGAGGCAATGTTGGACGAGACCTTGTAGCTGTGTTCGTTGTGGTGATCTGAGTCTTGAATAGCGATGCGCCTTGTGCTTTCCTATCACCATTATATGTTCCCCATGCCGCGTCAACCCCTGTTCCTATCTGCGACGACAAAGAGGTTGTGAGTCTCCAGAACATTACCAATCTTCACCCAAAGACTATACCGAGTACTCTTCACCGCTTCGGAGTATGTTCATTGAAACGGTAGCCTTGATCCATAAGCTTGGCATAGACATGATGGCCTACAGTTCCACTCCGAGTACGCCTCCTGAATTACTAGTTCAGCTGACGTAAAAAAAGTGTTCAGGTTTGTATTCACCCATATTTAGGACTTCGGATGGTTAACCAGATCATAACGATCCCTGAAACGTGATGGGACGTAACAGCCAAGAGACGGCACCTACCTGTTTGGCAGAGGCGCCTGAAAGGATGGCGTTGGGTAGGGCCAATAGCGCCTACCGGCTTTGGGATAGCCCTGGTGGAAACCGGCACGTTCAGCCGTGGTTTAAGCGGGTTTTCAACCCCGAAGGTAACTTGACTGGCCCTCTGGGTTGCAATCCCGCTCCTCTTGGCTGCTGAATTGCGTTAAATCCTGGAGGCTGTGTCCAAAGGCCTTGTAACAAGCACAGAGTCGATGCATCGTTCTGACAAACGCAGAAGTACAATGAATGAAACCCTGACCCAAAGATGGTTGACCAATGACCTCTTGGCGGGAAGGTTGGTTCAACGCAAAAAGATATGTCCATGTGAAATGGTGGAGAAGATGCAATACTGTCTTTCATAGACAAACAATACAGAGTTGTCGCCGTCCCTTCATTTGCGAGCCTTAGGCGGCTGAGTAACGTCACAGCGCGGTGTACCGAGATATCATGTCAGCATCTTGGCCTCAAGGAAGCACCTCGCCGACATGAGGAGCTCGGTGTTTAAGCCACTCTCTGGCTCGGTCAAGGTCTCCTTTCTCGTCTTCAAGTGCTTTGACGCACCATTCCAGCTCGTAATTAGCCTGGGCCGCTAACATGGCCGCGAGAGTCCTCCGTGACTGACTCGATTCGTCGACGCAAAAGGCCATCGACGAGGTAATGCCATGAGAGATATCGTCGATGATCGGCTTCACCATGGCTAGACCGTCCTTAGCAGACACAATTCTGTCTTCGCCTTTCAGATTCTTATATCCCGTTTTGCAATCTGCGTTACCACACCAAGACTTGCCGCAGCCTCCTATCAGCTGCTGCAACAGTCTTCGCTCGATCCTCCGCCTCAGCATCTTCTGATCAGGGTCGTAGGTAGTCACGTATAACGGGCCAAAACACTCGTTGCATAGGCCAAGCTGCTCTTTCTGGACCCGGGACTCGTCCTCGGGTTTAATAGTCCGACCACATATCCGGTTCGAGCAAAGCTTCGGCTTCCGTCTGGAGAACCTTTCCCGATCGTGAAGCAGTAGATGCATCTTCATGTCTCGTAGCCGAACGATCTTGTTACAGAGATGGCACTCTGTTGTACGTGCGCCGTCTGCAAGTTCGTGGGGAGACAGACCCGACATCAGCACCTCAGGGTCCGTGAAGGAAGCATCTTCGGGGCCTTGCTGGGGGACAACCAGGTGGCAAAATTGGCAGAGAATCTCTTTCCCCGGACAAGTCGTCGTACGATGATGAGCCAAGGCGGGAAGATCGGAAGCCTGAAATTCGCAGTTTGGACATTGAAACAAAACTTGTGGGTGGAAAACCGAGTCATGTTTCTGACGTGAAACCAAATCGTTGCCATGCCCGTCATCATGAGCGCAGTGCCAGTGATTCTTCCACGCATCGGAGTTCTTGAGAAACACGCCTGAACATTTCGGGCAAAGAATATTGTTTCTATAGCAGAATGCTTCGTGCAGCGGAAGGGTCCGTTTGGGAACCACCTGGTGACAGTTTTTGCATCGCACTTCGTCCGGAGACAGTTCCGGAGGCTGGGCCTCCGTTGTTTCAATCTGCCCGGTGGCCGCTCTGATTTTGAGGCTGAATGGGATTGGCCCATCTATATCTGGAGACCCATCGTTCTTCTTGTTCCAGGCATGAACGGCAATATTCAAGTATTCGGCGTCTTCAAGATCGACGTTGGTGCGGGAGAGTTTTAGTCGCTTGGTCGGTCGAGTGCTCAAGTCGCCGAAAACATATTCATCGTCTCGGGGCTGAGAGCGTTGACGAGCAGAAAAGGGACTGACAAGAAGATCGAGAGTCGCATTATCATCCGCGGCCTGCAACGTCACCACCAGATCTTGGGTTCGATCCCAATCCTTCAGCTTATAATCCACGTACTGTCCTGGCAGGACCTTGCCCTGTAATTCGGCTCCTACACCCAACAATCCTCCGATGGAACTGCCTTCGTGTGACTCCTGCACCGGTCTCTTCTTTGCCAGCTGTTTGTTCAACGTCTCACGGGCTTGCTCTTCGTTCAATGGCTCAATATCCACTTCAAGGTCTGTGTCGACAATGCACACGCCCTCCTCGTCCGGTTCGAACTTATCCACCAAGAAACGGAACTTTTCATGGCGGGCCCCCGGGACAACAAGCAATTCCCCACGGGTCAGGGTAGTAAAATTGTCCCGCAGATAGCGCTCGAGCAGCGATTTCCAATCTTCTGGGTCATATCCTGCTTCCAGCGGTCTCAGTTTCACATAAGTGCCTTTTTCCAACTGTTTCGCTTGGATTGTGACCGCCGGTCCCCGAGGCGAGTCTGTGCCATTGGTCATGATCACATCCTCGCTCGGAGTGCCTTCTCGTGTTGTGGAAGCAGACGACGCCGCACTTTGCAAACCCAGGGCTTCTTGCAGACCGCTGCTCAGCCCCATGGTGCCCTCAGCGGCGGAGAATTCCCGGATACCAGCAAACACGGCTCTTCCATTGCGCGGATTGACGATGCGGAAAGTGAGGGGATGTGGAAGTTGCTGTTGCTGTTGCTGGTCTTGGACGGCTGCGCGAGCACGGCGCTCAGCGGCAAAAGAGTAGGGGTTAAAGGGATCAAAGGACGAGGTGAGGTTCCTGTTTGCACGACCCGAGATGGATACAACAGGTGCGGCGGCAAGAAGTGCTTCGAGGGCCGACGGTGGCAAGGTGATCTTGTCGCCCGCCAGCCGGCGGTTTGGAGGGGCAACCACCAGTTGAGCGGACCATTTCAGGGGCTCTGAATGTGAAGCCATGGTGAGAGGCTGTTGACATGAAAGGGTGACGTTGTGGAGGGAAGTCGAGTGCGAGAAGAAGCCATGATCAAGTTGGGCATCAGAGGACAAGCCAAAGTCTTCAAGGCGCAAGGCACAAAGTGACGCGTGGTGACCTGCGACTTCGAGAAGCGTCGACAGGATGTTTACAAATTGACCGTCTCCCCGACGGCGTGCTGACGCTGCTTTTATTCTTGCAGCACCTTATCCCACTACCAAGTACTTGGACAGCACTTGGTACTTGGTACTTGCTATTACTCGGACTTGTTGTCTCGTCTCCCAAGTACCCAGTATCCACAGAGTCATTCGATGCGCCACATCCGCTGTCTGAGTTTGTGCATCCTAAGCCATCCGCTTGGACGCTTGATCGCTTGATCGCTTGGCCGGGCAACTGCGGCCTCGTGCAAAGAGCTCCGGCGTCCGTCCTGTCGAGTGCTGTGTACCACCCTTGTCTGACAAGTAATTGATGGTTACCATTTCCATTTCCTCGTCGATTCACCTGCCACCTGGTACCTGGTCACTCACCCCCTGGAACGTGGAACGATACTCCGTTGATTATGACACAATAGAGGCTGCTGATTGGCTAGCTTCCGACGGCGGCGGCTTTGAACGGCACGTCGACGACGCGCTGCTGCTTCCATCTCACCAGCTTCTCTCTTCCTTCTCTCTTCATTGGATCAACCAAATCAACTCAGCTGCCAGTCAAGTAGTCAGCTTCCGCTGGTCTCCTCTCTTTCTCGACCATTTCCACAAATGGGAATACGGGTCCCTTTTTTCCTTGACGGTACAAGAAGCCCATATAACCCTCCTCTAGCGAACACAAGTCTGGTACCGCTCTCTACTGACTTCCGGGTGTTCCAACTCGATCGCTGCCACTGCCACTGCCTCTGTTGGGCTTGCTCTTCCTGACCTGGAGACATATGTGAATATTCCAGTCCTTGCTCCAGGTTTGCCCTCTAGTTCACGCAGTTAAGCCATCCCTCCAAAATGGCCGAAATAGTCCCTAGAAAAGGCTCTTTGAGCTTCTTCAATCCCTTCAAGTCAAGATCTAGTAGTGTCTCAAGTTCCAAAAATGCTCCCCCTTCCGACCTCAGTATTGACGAGCTCAAGCTCGATCAAAAGTCTGCAATCTTCACAACTCGCCTCAGAAAGACCGCAAGTCCGGCCAACTCGGCCAGAAGCTCCAAGCCAGGTTCCAAGAAGAGCAGTCTTGACCAATCTCGATCGCTTCGACAAGCTTCATTCCCTGCCATCAATGTCGCGGGTGAATGGGAAAGAGATGCGGAGACCGGCGAACGAAAAGACCACACAGAAATGTTGCACAGCCTCGCCCATCGTGAATCCGAAGAGTCTCTCGCTGAAAAGGCCCCAGTCTTGTTTGCTGGAATCCCGCCCCAAGCAGCCACCGAATTCTTGGCCAGGCTTCCGGAAGCCATCTGGAAGCGAATAGTAGAAATCCTGGGTCCGGCGGACAAAGCGAGTCTTGCCCTTTCTTGCAAGCCATTCCGAGACTTATTGGGGACTGGAGTATGGACAAGCCTCGATGCCGAAGAGAATCGTGACGCAAAAGCCGCGTTCCTTGGGCATCTGGATCAACAGTTACCGGACCACTTACTCTGCTTCCCATGTCGAATATACCACGTCCGGACCCAGAAGGGACAAGAAACTCTGCGTCCCACCAACATTTCCAATCCTATTTTCAATTGCCCCAACGCCTTCAATGCTGAGAACAAGGTGTCGCGACACAGGATCACAGTGGGTCGGTCACTGCCCTTCCCGTTTGTCCAACTCATTCTGCGAGCCCACAAATACTCAAAAGAACACGGGATTCACATTGACTCAATGTCGCGTCGATACAAGGACCGAGATGGAGAATGGTCTCATCAGACTCGTTATGCCATTGTTAACGGCCACCTACTTGTCCGGGTCATAAGCTCAGCATTTGCGACCCCAAATCTCCCCCCTGCAGGCCTGCGGAGACTTCTTTACTCCCCTGGCGACAATTTCCATCCATACTTCTCGGTCTGTGCTCATTGGCGCGATGGCAATCTCATGCCTGCTGTCAAGTGTGCTTTGAGCCACATCCCCAAGCCACCAGATGGGAGTGGCATAGCAGGTGCGGCCGCCAAGGTGCAGTATCATATGCACAGGCCGAGTCCTCTCATTACCTTGTGTTCTGAGTGCCGTCCCATGCGGCGGTGCCCAGAGTGCCCGACAGAATATCTCATTGAATTGAGGATGCAAGAGGACAAAAGCGACCCAGTGAAACTATTCAAGCATGCCATTGTAATAACTCGATGGAGCGACCTTGGCGACGGATCTTCACCCCAGAGCCTTGAATGGGTAGCATGCAATGGGGAAGCAGAATTCGATTCACTTGCGGCCCTCGGAAAGCGTGCGATCTCTGGAGTATTTGAATCACAGTTCACGGTGGACCAGATACCAGGTCAGAAGATCGTCTCTATGAATCCAACCAAGGAAAAGCGCGGGGAGGCAGGGCATAGCTGGTACTGAACCCCCACCACCGTGCCCGTTATGGCCTTGTACGAAGAATTCTACGTCGCGATGCACTTCACGGGCTTGCGCTGGCTATGGAGCTTTCACATACTCGTCCCTCATGACCAACATGTCCCACCGTGGCTCCTCTGCTCTTGTGAGTTCTGAATTCTTATTTATCAAAGGAACTTATTGCGCCACTTGGGCCCATGAACTCAATCAACATGCCTTCCTTTATCATCTCCAGCCGCGATCTTAGACCCAAGACCGGATGCCCCCAGCTCTGGTTATCAGGTTCGAGTTCGGGAGAAACGGATGCTCCGGGACCTTGATCGGCAAGACACACTGATGTGCAGGGAAATGATCAAATAATGGATCCTTTGCTTTGTGCCAAGATCTCTATTCAAGGAAATGCTTCCACCCATTTCCGTGTGGGACCCACAGTCATTTGATAGCCGGAATCAGTATCCAAGCACGCGACACCTTTGCGGCCACGATTGAGATGCTTGCGAGCCAACCATGGCCCGGTCACCACCATCCCGTCTCTGTTATGTTATGACGGACGCTAAAGGCTTGGATGGATTTGGTTGGCGTCCACACACTATCTTCATTGCGCCACACGATGCACGGCATCTATCTTTCATGCTGTGGTAGGTTCTATCATCCCAACGAGGCGGTCTAGGAGCCATGGAGCTGGAGATCAACCATGGTATATGACGTACATGGTCAAGTCTTGTGCGCGGAACATTGACGCTCCCATCAGGCGTAGATGGGTGCTGGGCAGTACACAGCGGTTTATCCCGTCCAATTACGCATGTCGCTTTAAGATATCGACTCACAATACTTGCGAGGTGCAAGATATGGGTCGTAGTTGAATTGACACCGTCGAGTTGGGTGTCCCCTCCAATGCAAACCATGTTTTTCATCAACCCTTCAAACCATTTGTTTCTGCTTGATTCCTCCCATTGACCTTGGCGGAGCATTCTCGCCCATCGACGGTTGGAAATATTACTATCTTTTTTTTGATTGGCAAGTCGACAGGATGTGGGAATCTTCGTTCCTCCCTTGGGCCATCCTCTTCGCCCTCCTCTGCATGTTTCCAGTCACCGCGCTCTCGTCCTCGTCGGTGTACGGCCTCTTGTACGACTGGGGTCTTCTGGGTGCGTATCCGCAGCAAACATACAAATCTTGCGCGCGGACGGCGCCACGTTTGAATTTCGTGCGCTGGGACGACGCACAGTGCGGGCGCGACGCCGGGTCTGCTACGTGCCTCTCACCCCGCGGACACATGGTGTCCAGTCCCGGCCCTTTGATCATGGACTCGCGCGGCGAACTGGTTTGGGCGGAGGACAAGTATGGACAAGCCATGGACTTCAAAGTCCAGTGCTATCGTGGACAGAACTACTTGACGTTCTGGACTGAGTCGGATTCCGGCACGTTCGGTCGGGGCTCGTATGTGATGCTTGATTCGTCGTATCGGGTGTATAAGAGGGTGACTCCCGCCAATGGCCTGGATGGCGACTTGCACGAATTCCAAATCACGCGTCGTGGCACGGCGTTGATGACGGTGTACGAGCCGACACCGGCGAACCTTTCGGCCTTTGGCATCGGCGCGCAAGGCTGGATCTATGACAGTGTCTTCCAGGAGGTCGACATTGAGACGGGGGAGCTGATTTTCGAATGGCGAGCTTCACAACACTATGATGGTCTATCCAAGAACGCGAAGTATGGTCGGGGCATGGTCATTTCGCTGGAGCTGGAGCAGATGACAGCCAAGCTTATCCAGGAATACGTGCATCCCGACCAGAGGCTCGTGGGGAGCCAAGGGTCGATCCAGCTGGTCCCTGACTTGGACCACGCGCTCGTCGGTTGGGGCCATGTGCCCGCGTATACCGAATTTGACGCGCAGGGAAACGTCCTTTGTGATGTGCGCATTGCGCCATCAATTGTCTGGAGTCTCGGATGGGTAAAATCGTACCGCGCATTTCGCGCTTCTTCGTGGGTTGGGAAACCCTCGGCGCCGCCGGACGTGTACCTTCGACCGAACGACAGGAGGGTTCATGTGAGTTGGAACGGTGCAACGTAGGTGGATGCCTGGGTCCTCCAAGGCCACGCAGAGACGGGGAGAGGTGTAAATTCATCCCAAGAGGACTCGTACCGCAACTTGTCGCATATCAAGAAAGAAAAGTTCGAGACCTCATTCATAATCACAGATGACATGCCAAGGTACCTCCGCGTGGCGGCATTGGATCGGGTGGCCCACACCCTAGGCTATACAGCAGTCGTTGACCGAAGGATCGGGAACGCGCCCTTACCAGACGCAAGGTCTCGGATAGTGGTCATCTCGATCTGTGCCGTAACCGCGCTGTGCCTGAGCTGGTATCTGTGGAGGATCCGAACACGCATTCCTCGCGGAGAGTAGGGCATGCCGAGAAACCCGTTTACGTGTCCCTTCCATCGGGGGGTCGAGTTTCATCAGGAGGAGAAGACCTGACTTTTCACAGGATATGATGCCCTTGCGGCCGCGCTGGAACGAGGAGGGAGCGGCGGAAGACAAGCTATGCGACGTCGAAGATGGGGCAGAAGGAGGAGACGACGTCGAGAGACCCCCGCGCTTCAGCTTCAGCGCACGAGATATCCCGACCCATGCGGAACTGGAACCGCTTTACTCCTAGGCGCCGTGGAACTTGTGGCGACATACAGAGATACTCGCATGTACGGATTACGGGCTACATAGTCCAACAAGCGACGCCGGGACGTTTTGATCTGGCTGCGAGAGTCAATGAACAGTCTGAACTGGTGATCGGATGGTGTGTTGTGTGTTTGCACAGCCACAATTATCTCTCGACCCCCGGATTGTCACCTCCAACCATTGGGTGCATAGAACAAGGGGGTGGTGGTGGGAGCAGGGCAGATGGCAAGATGGATACGGAGGATCTATATCACAACTAGGCACCACAGTCCAACTCGATGGCTGGCAGACTCCACGAATGACATCATCGTCATCCGCCATATTGCGCTCGATACCATGTGGTGCAAATAATGCTTTGCAATACCCAGTCCAACAACCTGCGATTTCATCTATTCGACCCACCTCTTGGACTATACAAATATCTCCCCGTCGTCGTCACTTCGACGGACGCCGTTGTATCAAACTACTACGCTATCTACTCGTTCACTGCTTGGCTCGAACGGATCTCAGGGAGATCCCCATCGCCTTTCGGACGCGCGATCTCAAAGCACATTCCAAAACCCCAGCCAAAGGAGGCACGCCGGTGGTGCTAGCTATTTCATCACCATCTGAAGAACATAAGACGGACCAAAAAGACACGGACCAAGAGGAAAAGGGGGGGGGAACGAGGAACTAGAAGAATAATGCCCATCAACACCTCGTCCTCGGATGAAGGCGTCACGGGCGCTGCAAAATTCGTCACATCTGCCGTCGGTGTACGTACATATGCATTTTGTTCTCTCTCTCCGCACTCATCTTGATTCGCCTTGCTAATTCCTTCAATCTATCTGCTGACTTTTGCTATTCTCATCTCAATATGTAGAACACTGTAGGCGGCCTCACCCGCACAGTTGGTGGCGTCGCCGGCGCCGCAGGCCGCGGGATTGGAGACACTATAACTGGCGCTACAGGTTCGCTGGGCAAACCCGTGGGAGATGGCCTTGCGAATGCATTGACTGGCGTCGAGAATGGGGCATGCAAGGTTGCGCGTGGCGTTGAGGATGCGGGACAGTGGAAGAGTGGTGCGAAGCGAATCTGATCCTTGAGTACCCGCAGAAAGTGGATAAACGGTGGAGACTGGATGATGGCCAAAGAGACTTGGGATAGCAAGAGATCGAGGAAGACTCGAGGAAGACGCACGCTTTCGGGAATTCCGAGGTGAAACATCAACACGCGAGGGGTTTTCAAAAACCTGCCGAAAAGGGAAGAGGGTGGAAGGAAAGAGACGAACCGTTGAAACAGAATCTTGTACGACATGATGTCGACGGGTCAAGTCATCTTGGATGGGTGAATTCTAAAGGGAAAGCCGGTAAAGGGGGTGTTGAAACGTTCCGGACAAGCCACGATGCCGACATTCGTTTTCACAATTGAGGCAATGTCCTCAGCAGTGTCCAAGTGCAGTTGTTGCAAACTGAAGAAAAAAAAACAGTGGTAACTCCTCCATAATAATTGGTTTTCATCCTTCGTAGAGCATGTCGAAACCTGTCAAAGAATCCAGCCACCTCAATCGCAGCGTCGAACTATGAGTTCACACGAGTACCGGCGCCCCGAAACGTGCCATCCGCGGTCGAGACTTGAGGGCTTCCCAGAAATCAACCCAGAGACGACAAAGGAAATTTCAGCTGCTGTATCTGGTGCGGGTTGAATTATTGCTCGCGCTGAATTCTTGTAGACGCCAGTGTCTAAGAAGGCGGTAGCATACGTGGTAGAATATCAAGAAAAGGCCCTCATAATATCTGCGCCACACTAGACCAGAATGTTGAACTCCGATCAAGCTTTTCCAATGTTGCAAGTGTGTTTTCCGACTGCGCATATCCGTAAATCGATCAAGAAGACTGCAGCATCACAGATTATGTAGGCATCGGCGCCTCATGGCCAGTGAGGCCTTCTTGCTCATATCCTTCGACAGGTGTACATGTACAGAAAAGGTTCGTATCTCCGTAGGCGTCATCAACACGGGCTACTGTTGGCCAGAATTTCTTCTCTCGCAGCCATGGTAGTGGATATGCAGCTTGCTCCCTTGTGTAAGGGCGATCCCAGTCATTTCGCATCAGATCCTGTTGTGGATGCGGCGCCATCTTGAGGACGTTACCCTGTCGGGGCATTTCCCCGTCTTCGATAGCTCTGATCTCTTTTCTGATTTCAATCAATGCATCGCAAAAACGGTCAAGCTCCTCCTTTGACTCCGACTCTGTAGGTTCAATCATGAGAGTATTTGCCACCGGCCAGCTCATTGTAGGGGCATGGAAACCATAGTCCTGTAACCGCTTGGCAATGTCAATTGCCTCAACGCCCGAAGTCTCCTTGAACCCTCTTGCGTCAAGAATGAATTCATGTGCACACCGCCCATTGGCGTTGGTGTATACTATGGGGTAATGTGATCTGAGCCGTGACATGATGTAGTTCGCGTTCAGCAGTGCAACTTCCGTTCCATGCTTCAGTCCTTCGCTGCCCATGAGTTGGATGTAGGCGTAACTGATAGGTAGAATGAGGGCACTGCCCCAGGGTGCAGAGCTTACCGGAGAGATCGCTGTCCTAGCTCGATCTGGGCCAGGATGGGGATCCACAAGAGGATGGGTAGGTAAGAACGGTTGCAGGTGGTTCTTGACAGCGATAGGCCCCACACCAGGGCCGCCTCCTCCATGAGGTATGCAGAAAGTCTTGTGCAAGTTCAGATGGCACACATCAGCCCCAATTTCGCCAGGGTTGCAAAGGCCGATTTGAGCGTTCAGATTGGCGCCATCCATGTAGACTTGGCCGCCGTGGTCGTGCACAATCTGACATACTTCCTTGATTGCCGGCTCAAAAACACCAAACGTGCTGGGGTACGTGACCATGATGGCGGCCAAATCATCCTTGTGCTTTTCACATTTTTCCTTCAGATCCTTGAGATCCAAGTTACCTGTCTTCGTGTCGCATTTCAGCGAAACAACTTTCATCCCGGCCATGGCCGCGGATGCAGGATTTGTGCCATGGGCAGAGACAGGTATCAAGCAAACCTTTCGTTTGTTCTGGCCTCTGGTGGAGTGATATTTCTCAATCACCCGGAGCCCAGCAAACTCTCCTTGCGCGCCCGAATTTGGCTGTAAGCTGACGGCATCCATGCCAGTGATTGTTGCCAAATTCTTGGACAGCCGCTCAATGAGAATCTTGTAGCCGTCTGCACCGGAAGCGAAAGGGTGAAGGGCAGACCATCCGACGTTAGAAACGGGCAGCATCTCCGTAGTACCATTGAGTTTCATGGTACAGGAACCTAGGGGGATCATCGAGTGTATCAGAGAAAGATCTTTTGACTGGAGATGGTGCATATATCGAAGTAACTCGGTTTCCGAATGATGTTGATTGAAAACGGGATGGGTCAAAAATGGCGTTGATCTCTGCAGTTTGTCCGCGGCGATCTGTTTGTTAACCTTGGACAGGATTTGCGAGTCTTGCAAGGCAGCTTCGACGTCGCTGTCCTTAATCCCAAGAACACTCGCCAGCTTGACCAGATTTTTGCTGCCGGTCGCCTCGTCTATCGAGAAGCCGAGTCTTGGCTTACCTGGGGTACTCCCGGGAACATTGGTTCGCAGGCTGACTCCAACTTTGGAAGCTCGTGCCAACACCTTCTCGTATGCACCTGTGTCTTGCGCTTCTAGAGTAACGGTATCAAAGAGCACGAGACCATCGTCACCAAGACCGCTTGTGACCACTTTGAGCGTCGTGCTATGTTTTTCTATCAGTATCTGGACAAATCTAGCCATGGCCCATATCCGATGCGCAATATCTTTCAAACCGTCTGGCCCATGATAGATAGCATAAAAAGCACTCATGTTCGCGAGGAGTGCTTGGGCAGTGCAGATATTGCTGGTGGCCTTTTCTCTACGGATATGTTGCTCTCGGGTTTGAAGGGCCAGCCGAAGAGCGCGATTGCCGAGTCGATCCTTGGACACACCGACAAGCCGACCAGGGATTTTCCGTTTGTGTTTCTCGTTGCAGGCAAAGAAGGCAGCATGTGGCCCGCCAAAGCCCATCGGAACCCCAAATCGTTGCGCACTTCCAAAGGCGACGTCGGCACCAAATTCACCCGGGGCTTTCAATAGAGTGAGGGCGAGCAAATCTGTGGCAACACAAAATGTGGCATCAGCAGCATGGATGACATCTGAGAGGCTCTGAAAATCAAAGACACCCCCGGTAGTATCAGGATATTGTGCGAGAACGCCGACCAAGTTGCTTCCCTGATCCTTGACGAGCTGGCAATTATTCTCCAAAATGTCACCCACCACGATGCTGATCCCAAAGCCTGCTGCCCTCGCCTCCAGAACCGCGATTGTCTGAGGATGGCAGAGACTTGAAACAACGAAGGTTTTACCCGGTGCCTTCAGTCGAGACGTAGAAAGAGCATTCATAGACAGTGTCATTGCTTCAGCGGCAGCCGTCCCTTCGTCCAGAACAGATGCATTAGCTATTGCAAGGCCCGTGAGATCAGTGACAAGGGTTTGGAAGTTCAGAAGTGATTCCAAGCGACCCTGGCTGATTTCAGCTTGGTACGGTGTATAGCTGGTGTACCAGGCAGGGTTCTCCAGGATGTTTCTCGTGATGACTGGCGGAGTAGTTGTCCCATAATATCCGGCGCCTATGAAGTTGCGCGAGAGGGTGTTCAGTTTTGCAAGTTTGACCAGCTCGCTCTGCACTTGCTTCTCACTGCGCCCTTTGATGTTATGTCTCCCTTGTGCATCCGCGAGCGACGTAGGGGCTCTCTGTCGGATCCCCTGCGGCAGAGACTGTTGTATGAAATCTTCAAGGTCCTTGACAGGCGGATCCAGTGCCTTGAGCATCTCTGTCTCGTCCTCGGGAGAAGGGCCAATATGGCGTCGACTGAACAGCTCGTTCTGGGCCATGAACGGCGCCCGTTCGGAGAAAGCCAAGGAGTCGGGGCCATCTTGCTCATTGCGCTGCTGCACCGTAGCAATACATCTCTTGCATATCCGAGCAGTATCACTTCGAAGAGGTTGGGAACGAAGGAGCCGGGCGACAGAACGGGCTGCGCGGGGCAGGACGACAGTTTGGTTGGCCATCTTTCAGGGCCTCAGGCAAGGAAGCGGGCTACGGCAACCACATCTACGCCGTCAACGGAAAGAAGAGGTCGAGGAGTGAGAGCAGAAGAGAGGAAGAGGACAAGAAAGACGGGGACCTGCAATTATTGAGCGTGGCCAGCGGTGACCCCAACATAGCTACCTCGTACTTGGGTAGCAAAATAGTCGCATCGGAGGAAAGGCACGCGGACTGGTGACCGCACGAGCGCACCACGCACAAGGGGGCCTGCAGCTACAGTATAATAGTTACGTACTAAGTACCCCCTAATACCTGCCAAGCCCCATTCCGATAACCTGATATCGGGCCCTTCGCCACTGGTGTGAAAGAGCCTTAACCACACCGACAGGTACCTAGTTGTTAGGTGGCATGCTAAGGGGTTTGCGAACGAACTGTTAAGATGGCAGCGTTGGACAATCAATAGCCACGAGGAGATGCGCCATACTAAAGAATAAAAACGGGGGTAAGCGCATCAAAGGTCGCAAATGGTGGTATGTTAAGGACAGTACAAGGACAGTACTCGGTACTGGGTACCGAGGGACTAATCCTTGGTCTAATCTGCCTGCGGACGGGAATTCTGACAGGCCACTCTTTTTCGCGTTTCTCAAGCAAAAGGCACGTGCGTTTCAAAGATTATTTTCTTGTTCCTATGTAGATTCAATCGACCAATGTTTAAATCAAATTCTGCTTGTCTGCTTGAACACGTTCACATCGCTAAATGATACACCATAATGATACACACGGATATCTAAGAGAGTATTGTTACATTCTTACAATCACAACTGCCAGCATCAAGACCCATCACGAATCGCAATCTCTAAACAAGTGGTGCTCTGACTGACTCGTCCTATGACTGACGTGTATCTCAATAGTGGTCATGACCTGGAAAGTAGAGAGAGTCAGCGTCTGCGCACTCGCCAACCCATAGGGCGCAATATCACTCACGTCCAAGGGGTTTAGCTCTCTTCGAAATGTCCCTAGCTTGGTGCTGCTTGATCTTCGCCAGACGAGCCCTGCAACACCCATGTTAGTGTCGCATATTCACTAGTTCCAAGCGAGGGAGAGACTCACTCTTCCTCAGCCTCGCGTTCAAGCATCTTCACACGGTCCCTCGCCTCCCTCACGGCTGCTCTTGCCTGAACAAGGGCACGATCCGCCTCGCGCTCAGCAGTTTCAGCCGAGAGGACTCGCTCCCTGGCAGCAATGATAGATGGGTCCTCGTGATTACGGTGAAAGAGACCGCCAGAGCTCCGGGTCGACCCGTGGGAGAGCTTTTTGGAACCATGACGACGGTTGTGCGAGTCGAGGTCCGCGGAGGAGGCAGAGGATGAACGATGCCGGCTGAAAAAGCCTCTTCGAGGACTGCCGTCAGCAGATGAGTTCGAGTATCTGGGAGCTGTCGTCTGTGCAGGCGTTGGCTCAGGGGCGTTCTTGTGTCCGAAGAGAGGCATCTTGATTGATGAGTTGATGGTTGTGAGCTAGATTGCCGAAAGCACTGCAAAGGTATGGGAGTATCAAAAGTGATCTGAATGAAGAACGGCCAACATCGCTTCCCAGGATGTGCCTGTGCATCAGATTATATGCACGTCTCCGTCACCCCTCTTGTCGATGATGGTGGTGTCCTGAATCAGGTTTTGGGTGCGCTTGTGACGTAGGAATGTGGACGAGGCTCAGAAAAAGGGAGTGATCGTCAGCCTCGTTGGCCCAAACCAAATCAAATGACGCCACATACCGGCTAAGGAGCCACCGAAGTCATAAATCGAGGCCTTGGTCTCACTTTCTGGGCAACAGACGTGGACCCTGAGCGCTTCAGATAACCTTGCTTCATCCTACATACCAAGGTGCATCCAGACGGTGCTCTGATGACGGCATTGGCATTTCAGGACACTAGTGAGAAGCTAATACGCTCAGATAATGCTAAACCGCAGCAATCCGTTGATTCTGTGGCTGAAGCGGTGTCTGCATCGTCCAATCGGCCAGTGGTACAATAAAGAACGCGTCAAGGGAGTCATGGATCGAGAGAATTTCTCGATGGGCGGCGCGTTCCATTCTCTACACAGCGTGATAGGAAAAATCCACCGGATCAAACCCCGCAACGCTTTTGTCAGGTGCCGAGAGCTGGAGTCTTGCAGCTCGATACGCCCATTTTCGCAATGAATTTAAATCTCTTTCAAGCCCTCCACAAAGTGGTGGTAGAAACTGGCAGTCGGTTTCAACATGGCAGGTGTTTTCGGGTCCTGAGAATTGCGACCGGCTGGGCTTGGGGTGACGTCAGCGCCTCTGATGTTTGTGGTGTTTGTGGCGTTTGTGGCGTTTTTACCATTTGGGTCTTGCTCGCCCCACATCAGAATCCGTCACGTGCTCAATATCTGGCGCCAGCGGGCTTGATATTGCTCTTGTATCAAACACCTAGGTACGTATTACGGACAGCGTCTGAAATAATTGAGAGCCTCAATTGCTTCTGCGTCCTACTCCCAGCCTGACGGCGTATGTCTCTGTTCGGGTAGACTAGGTAGCATCTCGCGGTGCTGAAAATGTCGAGATCGCAAGGATCAAAATATCGCCATTCGTCACGCCTTTGCAATCCACCCGGAGTGTATCATAAAGTCAAATATTCGGTTAGCCTTATTGACATCGATCTATGCCAGTGGTCAGCGACACGTTCACCCAAACAATCGGGCTCACTTACCCGGCAGACTCCTCGAGCCTCCTTTTTCTTCATGTGGCCACCTTGTTTCATGGCTTCTTTCAGCAAGCCTTCTTTAAGGGCAAGGTAAGGCTTCGGTCGGATATGGAGTGTATTGCATAATTGAATTTCTTCCTCGCTCAGAAGTTGTAAATCAGGGGCATAGGCTTTATCCTCCTCCAGTTTCCAAGGGGTCGTCCCGTTCAACGGCTGCACCACGTAGCGAACTTTAGGCTTAGGTCCCGCAGAGCTATCCGGACCGCTAGCCTCAGCAAAGAGTTTGTCAAAGTCGTTCTGCACGGCCGGCTGACTGTCAGTAAACTGAGGTAACGTTTTCTGCTTGCGCTGGAAACGAAGGGGCAATTCCGGTGTCGTCAACTTGGATGCCTCGGTGGGCAAGTCAGGTTGCTGAATCTGGCTACCCTTTTTAGGTATTTGAGGCATCCTGTCAAACTGTCCCTGGGGTTGATTGCGAAGAGCGCGCGCTTGTTTATCAGCTTCATATTTCTCGCCACCTCTGAGATCGCTAATGCCCATCTGCTTCCATTCTTGTAACTGCGCTATCGCAATGCGCAGATTGTGCTCGAGAAGAAGATCCCGATTTAGTGCCTCGAAATCTTCATGATTCATCATCCGGGCAAAAGGCTTAGCTTTGTGAAGCAAGTCTTTCTCTTCTTTTGTCCTCTTCTTATCGATAAGCTGGTTCTTTTTGTATTCCAGTAAGTTATGCTCAAAAATGATCCGTTTCCGGTCAGTACGCGCCTTTAGCCTGGAGTTGTAGATGTCGAAGACTGTCATTTTTAACGTTGTCTCTTCATCCATCTGGCCTGTCACGGGGTCGAGACCATCACCAGGCTCGAAGGACATGTGCTGAACGGCTTCCTCAGCATCATTGGCAAACTCAGTCTCAAATTCCAGACGGCCAGGCATAAATCCCTGCACCTCGTGACAGGCCGGTACCGAAGCCGTGGGCTTCTGCTTGGGTGTTGCAGGCGGTGCTGATTTGGCGGCCTCCTTGCGCTCCTCGATACGCCGTTTTTTGCAAGCCTGAAACTCATCTTTGGGTATGCGCTCAAATAGCCGCGTGTCTGCAGGGTCGGCCAATTCAGGGAGTGGGAACAATGAGCTATTGATGTAGGTGTTGATGTAGTGGTCGCGGACTTCATCCTTCTCCCGGTAGCCTCCAATATGCTCCGCTACATCGGCCCACGAACCGAGTCCATACCTCTCGGAGCCTTCGAGCAAGAGCAGTTCCTCATCCGCGCCCCAGTCCTCCGTGTAGATGGGGATCGAGTTCTGTTCCACAACATGGTATTCATGCGTGCGTGGGTCATGGTTTTTAGAATGCTCTCCGCGAGCGAAACATGGGACACAGAGATCATACTCGCGACATGCGGGATTTGCGCAAGATATACGGACAGTCGAAGTGATATCGATAGAGCAGACGTCGCAGTGATATTTAGTACCACCGTCACCACCGCGGGAGGCTGCGTTTTTCCTTATGACACCCATGCTTCTCTCAATGCGAGCATCTTCCTCGCAGTCAGAGTCAGAAGAGAGATATTGCGCGTACTCAGCAGGGATTGTCGCGTCCTCGCAGGCAGAGTCAGCCGGTGGGTCTCGAGGCCGTTGGGGCGCAGTAGGTGACGCAGAGCGCTCGGAATCGGATTCAGGAGAGTTGACGGTATAGCGAACGGGTTTCCGACTGCTTCGGACGGGCTTTGAGCGGGATCCCGGTGTTGATGGTGGTGACAATGGTGTTGCAGGCAGGGATTGTAGGGTGGTCGTTGTACGACTGACGTTCAAAGTTGGGGGCTCGTATCCGCCACCAACACCGCCAGCCGCAGTTCGCCAAGCAGCCATTTCCGTTCCAGATGAAGCCACGTGATTCTAAATTGTGCTTGCCGGCCCAGCTTTCGTCCGATATCTGTTAGAGGTTGCCTTCCGCCCCGGGAGACCCCAAGACTTTGGCTGAGTAAATGGCCCAGGGTTGCACAGGGCCCACTCAGCAGCCTGCACCGCACTCACTTTAGGTAGTGTGGAGGCTTCTGCTGGTCGCATCACCGCCCACGCTTCGCCCCGAAAGCTGAAACTCAAGCCCCCGGCTGTATCGTCCTGCTGTGCTGTTCTCAACTCAGATTCACCAAACGCAACAGTAGTCTCCTGCGATCTTTTGTTATTCATCAGCATCAGTCTTCGCCTCCGCTCCTCTTTCGTTCCAGAACACTCACCCACCTCTCAACGCTCCTTAACAACCTCACCTCGTCTTCACCTCCGTCACGTTCAGCTGTTCGTCCTGCCGCACTCGCAGCCCCTCCTTTCACCGTTTGTCACACGCATTTAAGATTAGAACCCTCGCTCCTTAAATATTGTCGGTCAACAACACCCCCTAAGGCTGTGCATGCAGCACCCCGACGACACTTTACCTTTTGATTGTCGGGCTCTTTGTCTGCCTCCTTCAGCAGTGATCTTCAATCTGTCATCATTGGCCATCGACGTTAGGCGGAGGCGTAACACTCAAAGATGTCGTGGAGATTGACAAAGAGTATGTTGATTCAAGTACTGCCGTCTTGAGGTGGACTCGAGCTGACAGAAACAAAGAATTAAAGGATACCCACCTGGCTCCTCTAACGAGTGGCTTTGGCCGATCCACGTCCACTTCAACCGTCAAGCCTGAAGATGCTTCACCTGCTGCTCAAGACTCGCCGGAGCTGTCAACAACCCAGAGCAATACTAGCACAAGTTCAGCAAATGGGATTGGTAAGTTGAATCACTCATTATCCAGTGTGATCTTTCTCGACGGTGACTTACTGACACACTCTACCAGCCGCTTCGGAACAGCTCACCTCCCCCCCTGTCCAGACCACCAAACCTGGGATCCTGATAGTCACACTTCACGAGGGGAAAGGATTCTCCTTGCCACAACAATATCAATCAGTCTTCAACAATTATTATGGCTCGGGAACCTCGGGATCAGTCAGACCAAGCTCATCATATGCCTCAGGGTCTGTTGCAGGATCCTACGCACCCCCAAACCGACCAGTCTCAACTCACGCTGGTATCAATGCTGCGCCCACTATTCACGGAAGATACAGCAGCAAGTACTTGCCTTATGCCCTCCTTGATTTTGACAAGTTACAAGTATTCGTCGATGCTGTCTCTGGCACACCGGAAAACCCTCTGTGGGCCGGTGACAACACCTCATTCAAGTTCGACGTATCGAGGGTGTGCGAGCTAAGCGTCCAGCTATATCTCCGCAATCCAGCCGCTCGACCAGGCGTCGGTAGGAGTGAAGATATATTCCTTGGCGGCGCTAGAGTCACTCCGAGGTTCGAAGAAGCTCGTCAATTCGTCGCGGACCCGAAAAAGAGTAAGAAGGAAAATGAAAAAGCAGAAGCTGCGTTCTTGTCCCAAGAGAAGCAGGCGGGTCAACTTGGGACCGAGTGGCTGGACATTCAATTCGGAACCGGCTCAATCAAGGTTGGTGTGAATTACGTTGAGAACCGCCAAGGCAGCCTCAAGATCGATGACTTCGAACTCCTGAAGGTTGTGGGAAGAGGAAGTTTCGGCAAAGTCATGCAAGTCATGAAGAAGGATACTGGCCGGATCTATGCCCTCAAGACCATCCGAAAGGCTCACATCATTTCTCGGTCCGAAGTCGCGCATACTCTTGCGGAAAGATCGGTGCTGGCGCAGATCAACAACCCCTTCATTACTCCGCTCAAGTTTTCGTTCCAATCACCTGATAAGCTCTATTTTGTCCTGGCCTTTGTCAACGGAGGAGAGCTGTTCCACCACCTTCAAAAAGAACAGCGCTTCGACATCAACCGGTCTCGATTCTACACTGCAGAGTTGTTGTGCGCCTTGGAATGTCTCCACGGCTTCAAGGTCATTTACAGAGATCTGAAGCCCGAAAACATCCTGTTGGATTATACCGGCCACATTGCCTTATGTGACTTTGGATTGTGCAAGCTAGACATGAAGGACGAAGACCGAACCAACACTTTCTGTGGTACCCCAGAGTATCTAGCGCCAGAACTACTTCTCGGACACGGCTACACGAAGACTGTTGATTGGTGGACCTTGGGCGTTCTCTTATACGAGATGCTTACGGGACTACCGCCATTCTACGACGAGAACACCAACGAGATGTACCGCAAGATTCTTCAAGAACCGCTGCACTTCCCCGGTCCCGAGATTGTGCCTGCGGCAGCAAAGGATCTCCTTCAAAAGCTACTTGACCGCAATCCCGAGCGCCGATTGGGAGCTGGGGGAGCGGCAGAGATCAAAGCCCACCACTTCTTCGCTGGTATTGACTGGAGGAAACTACTACAAAGAAAATACGAACCAAGCTTCAAGCCCAATGTGGTAAGTGCGGGATCTGAATTACTATGGGAGCTGTCGCTAACACATTTCCAGGTTGATGCTCGAGACACTGCGAACTTTGACAAGGAATTCACGTCCGAGGTACCCAAAGACTCATATGTCGAAGGACCAGTCCTGTCCCAGACTATGCAGCAGCAGTTCGCTGGGTGGTCATACAATCGACCAGTTGCTGGATTGGGTGACGCAGGTGGCAGTGTTCGAGACCCAGCGTTCGATCGTATTCAATAGAGACTTAGGCGTGTTATTGTTTCTCATGTAACGAGCAATGAAATGGCCTATGGCAGAAACTTACACGTCGACACTGGCGATAGTCTTGGGAAGGGTCTGGAGAATATCCGCCTGAGGATAGGAATGACAACATCTTGGTCAAAGGTGGTATCTGCTTGTGCTTGACGACTATTTTGCCATCTCCCCGCTGATCAAGCAAGAAGATGGACGAGGGAGAGACTTGTGAACGTGTTGAGAAAGCAATGATGCTGGATCATATGCTGAACTGCTGTACATGTTTCTTTTCCCCTCGTCAAGCGTTCCGACCTGGTATCACCACAATGACAATGATCCGAAACATCCGTCGTCGTAATATTGACTCATCACTCGGTCTTTGAGCACATGACGAATTGGTCGTCGAATAATGTTCCCCTATTCCTACGTCCCAGAGATGCTCGATAGACACTATCCAGGGATCTGGCGGACGCTGCATCGATGTTGGTAGACACTTTAAAGAAGTACTCCCCCCGTCCCTTGGTTTTGTTGGTTCCACGAATTTAGCTAATATATTGATCAGCCACTTTTCCCGCGTCCTCGTGTCTTTCTGTCTTCCGCTCTGCCACAGTGCCATTGGTTCCTATTCGCAATGCTGTAAGAAGACTGTCGATTTCACCAGCTCTTGATCTTTCAATGCCGGCTATTGTCTGAGGAAAGCCAATGATAGGCTCACTCGAGTCATCATGCAGTGGAACAAGGACATCGGAGAGACGGGTTTTCTTTGCATTCTGAGGTCGTACAATGGCGGTATGAGTTCTAAACGTTGACCGGTCAAGAAGTAGACGAAGAAACCAGGTATTATACTGAGAATTCATTTGCGTGTATTGCAAAATGCTCCTATGCCAAGATCGACTACTCTACATGTGGACCGGTTTACTTTCATGACGGCTGTTCATGTTCAGATATTACACCGTCGTGTACAGAGCAGAGAAAAATTGATGGGCTGTTGTGCAAGGGTGTGTATCCGGTTGTGGTATATTCCGGCACTGGCAGCTTTGGTCCTAAAAGTATTGGTCGACAAGCCCACAACGGTTGATGATCGAATTGTGTGGGTTATGATTTCGTACATTTCGTCCGACAGGCTTGGAAACCTCCGCGAGGATGCTCTCCCTGCTTGCCAGCTAGAATATCTCCAGAGTTGTGTAGATGATTTATGCCTCGAACGAACTGCTGAGGTCCCTTTCTGAATAGATCCCGTTTGCGTTCCCCGGGAACAACCAGTGAGGGGAATGACCATTCAGAGTATGCGAATAGTCCACGGGCAAGCCGACAAAACCTCACCCTGGACTCAACGATCCGACTATTGGATACAAAAGTACGACGCGGGAATCTTCTTTTAGCTGTTAGATTCGCCCCATAATCTACACGACTCTGGACCTGGCACGATTGCACGCTCGCAAGACATGTCTACTTCCAGCTAAAAGATGGAGCCATGTGGGGAGATGACATTGACCGGCGTTACAAAGCGGAGTTTCCATAGGATTGTACAGCCGTACATCCACATGACCTTGTTGTTGACAGCGATGGGGCCCCTGGGACAGTTTGCAAGGCATAGTTACAAGCGATGTCACTGGCTGAACTCAAGGAAGATGAGAAAAGCTCAAGCTGCCTCCATAGCGAAGGACAATATTCGCGAATACGATGATGATTCCAATGATGAAATTGACTTGGAACCCACCATCCACCAGCGTATCCCTCATGATGACGGAGTTGAGGAATATCACCTGGTGCTAAATCACGAGCAAGGAAACCCATTCGCCAATGCGCGCGATGTCCGCTCTTACTGTCTCTAAGATGGCCCTCCCAAAAGATGCCATAGAGACTCCTGGAGAGGCTCCGATGGGAGTTTATTCCACTACTGGCTGCGAGGGTGTAACCCAGTATACCACGAATGCTGCAGAGCGTGCCAAGAGCACAGCTGGTAATGATAATCCCGCGGATGAGCAAGAAGGACAGCGATGGATGCCCAGATCCTTCCTTGAGGCGAGATTAGGTGCGTCCGGTCCACTGCACTCAAAACACGACACAGGGACTTCCCCGTACTAGTCAAGGACTCTATTTTGAAGTTGAAGGATGCTTCACCGAACTGATCGACTTTCGGATGGGCAAAGTGCCTCCAGACCTTATCATCGAGGAACATTGCTACTCGATCTTGACCACAGGGGGAGGATGGCCAGTACTACACGGCGGGCTCGGTGCCTTGATCTTTTTTATAAGAAGCATACCAGAACCCACGGTACACATGTGGCCCTGGTAATCCTTGAAGAGAAAAAACCATGATGTGGATGAACATCTTCTGAGAAGAAGTGATATGGATTGGTGTCCCACATGGAGCCCTGGCCCTAGAAGTGGAGATGCAAATCAGTTTGATCTTCGTTCAGCTGACCCTTGATGCTTTTTGACTCCCATATCAACGGTTAGGAGAATACCGGACAAGGCTGGCAAGGCTGGCAAGGCTGGCGACTCGCACTAATATTCCGATCTCCAACAAGCCGATAACGGAGGACGGAAGTTTCCCCGCACTTGGTTCCGTCGCCGTCGCCGTGTTGGAGTAATTTAGTCCTGGTCAGTCGACACCCATTGAAATATCCATCGACGCGTCTTGTATTTTGTGATACGGACATGTCAGACGCTGCACTCCTTTCACACAGGGAAGCCCAGTAGCCTGTTACTAGGGGGTTCTGCGCGTGAGTCGGTCTCTCTCGGCTGGACCGAATATCGCAGCCTAGGGAGCTTCCGAAGGACTTGGAGAGCGAGCCTGCCTGCCAGCCAGCTCACAACCAAGCTACGCAGCCTCCATTATGGCTGCGAAGAACGTCCTTCGCAGAGCGGTGCTCTATGGTAAACAGCTTTCCACACATGGCTCTTCATCACTCTTTGCTAACATCCTCTCCATAGTCCCGGGCTCCTCACAGCGCTTCCTTGATAAATCCCGCACCCTCACCGCCGACTGCATCGCCTACGACCTCGAAGACAGCGTTACCCCGGCTAAGAAGGCCGAAGCCCGCAAGCTCGTCCGCAAAGCCCTTGACCAAGAACTTCCTCCAAACATAAAAGAACGGGCGGTGCGGATAAACAGCGTAGGCAGCGGTCTCGCGCTTGGCGACCTGGAGGAGGTGGTCAAGTCGGCTAATTTGACGACGCTGGTCGTGCCAAAGGTGGAGAGCGCGAGCGATCTGACCTTCATCAGCGATGTCCTCGCGCATTCGCGCTCCAGGGAGAATCTCCAGGAGCGCGGGCAGATAGGGGTGTTGGCGCTGATCGAGTCGGCCAAGTCTCTGCTCAACCTACCCGAGATCTGCCGCGCAGCGCCGCACCTGCTGCAGGGCCTGGTGTTCGCGGCCGAGGACTTCGCGCTCGACATGAGCATCACGCGCACGCCGTCGCTGACAGAGTTCCTCTACGCCCGACAACTGATCGCCACCGCCGCGCGCGCGCACAATCTCCCCTCCACGATCGACCTGGTCGCCACGGCGTTCCGGGGCGAGGGCGACGAAGAGGCCCTCGTCCGTGAGTGCGAGGAGGGCAAACGCATGGGCTACAACGGCAAGCAGTGCATCCATCCGTCCCAGGTGGCCACCGTGCAGCGGATTTTCTCCCCGAGCGACGCCGAGGTCGAGTGGGCCATGAGGATTGTGATTGCACAGAAACGCGCCGAGGAGATGGGCAAGGGCGCCTGGAGTCTGGATGGGAAAATGATTGACAAGCCCGTCGAGGGCAAGGCCGAGCGGATCGTCGAGAAGGCAGCCTTGTGCGGGATGGATGTGGAAGGGCTGAAAGAGAAGTGGAAGGATCAGATGCCGGAGTGATTATTTGCTTGAGGAAAAGAGTCAATGGGTGGCGGGAATGAGATCTATGCTTTTATATGTGGACAAAACAAGAACTTTTTGGGGGCAGCGTGTCTCGACTGTCCCCTTCCGCCACGCTCGGTCTCTTTTTGCACTGTCCAACAAAATCTCTGCCGCTGAGAAACGAAAGCAAAGGCCACCGACGAGCTGAGTATATCGCCTGCTGTCCTCTCCCTTTTCGAAATAATACCCTGGAGCTTCGGCTTCCTGCTCAGATCCAATCTGCGAGGCGTTGACGGCGGAACGCTCCGGTAACTAAGGCTTCCTAAAGCTCCTTCTTCGTCTGTCTCAGGTTCCCATTCTCATACACCCCAGCCTTTAGTTCCTTGGTGGTGAACGACTCCGGTTGCTCTCTCTGATCAGCCTTCTTTTTCTTGATCGTTAAACAGTTGATGTCTAAGACTTGACAGATGCGATTGATCACCCGGACCGCCCACACGAAGTACTGAATCATAGCGAAGACAAGGCATCCGTAGATATACCAGCGTTCAAACTCAGCCGGGACCGGGTCGAGTCCGAAAAGAGGTAGCCAGGCCAATATCGCGCCAATGGCCAAAGGGACCAGTGCGATTGTGAAATAGGGAAACGGCCGACGCGTAAGGTGATGGAGGATGATTTTTGTTGTAAGTCGGCCAAACACAAAGGAAAGCGTCACGCAGAATATGACGAGGTAGTTGTCTCGCAGGAGAATCGAGTACGGCGACCCGCACCATGCAGCAACTGAGACGGTATAGATGATCATAGGAATCCACTCGAGGAAGACGGGCCAGAGCGGAAGATTTTGTTGTTTTCGTGCCCGGTAGACGTTGTGTATGCAGGAAGGTAGGTGGGCCGCAAAGAAGGCGAAAAGGACGACGGGGACCCAAAGGTCGAGCAAGACCATGTCGCCGAAGATCTGCGGGTAGCCAACATAATCGGTGATGCGTTCTTGCCAGAATTGTGGGCCCAAGAAGCCTGAGATCAACATGAAGGAGCAGGCGAGAATGAGACCCTCGGTGGGACCGTTGAACGCCCCCAGAAAGAGGGTATGCGTGTGGTATGTCTCCCATGTGGAGAAGAACATGGGCAGACAGGGGACGAGTGCTGTAAAGGCCCCGATCTTGGTCGGCCCCAGACCCATCGCGGCCGTCTCGAGAAGGCTACCCAGAGTGCAGTTGAGCGAGTCAATGCCGTGGTCAAAGAGTTCTCCGAGGCCGCTGGATGTGCCGGTTCGGCGGGCTTGTTTGCCGTCAATGTTGTCCATCGTCGAGTACATCCATAGTCCCAGAGCAAAGCTATAGCAGAGCCACGGGGGGGCCGGTCCCACAAGATCTGGAACGAAGACTTGCAGCAACGCAATATTGATCAAGATGCAGAAGAAACCCAAGAGTGTCACCATGTTGGGAGCAAGCCACATGGGAAGGAACTTGACGGCCGCATTCCACTGTAAACCCATAAGCTAACGTGGACGAACCAAACATGTTCAACGACGTACGTAGTGGCGCAGGATATGATTTGATATCCACGACTCGTCTACACTCTGATACTTATAGGTCTTCAGGTGGGCCATGGCCTCATCCGAGAGAGGGTCGCCTGTTGAGCGATGATAAGTCTCTTGGACGGCAGACAAGATAGAGGACCAAATGGTAGCTGAGTGCTTGAAGACCTACCTGATTCTACCATGATTAAAGTTGCTGCTGTCGTCTCTAACCTTGAATCCAAAGCTGATCTAGGCAATGTGCTAAAGGTCTAAAAGACGAGAAGGTAATGAAAGAGATACGAAGGCGCAATCATAAGGGAAGCGCACTAGCGGTCTATTCGCATGCTCGACATGATTATCAAATGCTCACACGACTGGTAAAGACCTCCGAGAGCGAAAACCCCTGAACCAACTTGACGAAGAGAAGGAAAAGTTCGAAGTCGCAGCAAAGATGCCAAGATGCCAGATTGCCTCGAGTGCCAAGGCGCTAACATGCTGCTGCTTTAACACTCACCCGTCCATTCGACACGTGTTGCACGTGTTGCACGTGCTGCAGCCTTCGCGTTCCATCTCTTCCATCTGTCGAACTCCTGACTTTGATCAGCATTTTCTCACCATCCTACCGATGATCCATCTCTGCGGCATTCCCCAAAGCTCGGTCCAGTGAACAGTTGTTCATTGTAACAAATTGGTATAGAGGGCGGGGCGTAGGCGATGATGCTTCACAACAACCTCACCCTGTCATCCTCGCCTCACTCCTCACAATGGAGTCTCAAGAGGACCAGCAGCCTGTAATCAAGGAGCCCTCATTTACTGTCGCGCATCAGAAGGTCGAGCTTGATGTCTATTTCAGCCAACAAATCAGCGGAAAGACCGAGATCACCATCTATCCCGATTCCACGGACCTCCAGGAAATTAGCTTGCATGGTCGACAATGTACCATTAAAAAGGTCTTGATCAACGGCATTCCGCCATCTTCAGTACGGCATGACGACCCCTGCGATCAGCTTACTCTCCATTCCCATGGCTCGGTCTATCAGCACCATTTTCTGGCGGAGAAAATAGCGAGGTCGGTTGGTCCAGAGTTGTTACCGGATATTGTCATTGGTCTGCCGAAAAGGTTGAAGATCGTGCCAGTCACAGTTGCAGAAGTGCACACTCAAACTGCTGGCTCCGTCCAAATCACAGATCCGCTGTCTCAAGGTCCTTCCGCTACCGAGCTCACACAAGCGCTGTCAGACACTACTGCCGCGAAATTTACCCCTCTGACGCTGGTGATCGAATTCGAGTCTTGCCATGCAAGGGAGTCTCTCCACTTTGTCTCCGGTAGGGCGGGGAGCGGCCGATGGCCCCACGCATACACTCGAGCCAAACTGGGATCTGGCGGTGCCTCGGCCTTGTTTCCATGCGTGGATGAGATCAACAGTCGATGCACATGGGACATCTCTATTCAGTGCCCAAGGACCGTGGGCGATGCCATCAACCAAGCCGTGGCTGTCGATGGTGTGCGCCGCAATCGAGCCGCAGCCGCTAAGGATTCATCTCGCCAGAGCTACGAATCCAAGGAGATGGTCGTAGTTTGCTCCGGCGAGCTTATTGACGAGATAATGGACAAGAATGATTCTACTCTTAAGACCATGTCTTTCTCCTGCTCTCAACAATTGGCGCCGCAGCAGATCGGATTTGCCATCGGACCTTTCGAGCAGGTCAATTTGAGCGAACTCCGAGATGCACAAGAGGTTGCTGACATCGGTCGCAATGCTGTTGAGATGCTTGCGTATTGCCTACCTGGACGATCTGAAGAGACGAAAAACACCTGCTTGCCCACCACCAAAGCTATGGATTATGTCGTCCAGAAGTACATATCCTGCCCTGTCAAGTCTTATGCCATGTGCTTTGTCGAAGATGCTCCATCCGATGTGTCCATCTTTGCCGGTGTAACAATCTGCAGCACTCGAATTCTATATCCGGAAGAGGTCATCGACCCCGCGCAGGAAGTCACGAGAAAGTTAGTGCATGCGATTGTCTCTCAGTGGATCGGCGTCAATATTGTTGCCGAAAACCTTCGAGACAATTGGGTCATTGTAGGAGGTGCCTATTTTATCACCAACCTCTTTATGAGGGAACTCTGTGGAAACAACGAATACCGAGCTTATATCAAGCAACAGGCAGATCGTGTTGTGGAACTGGACTACGAACGGCCTTCAATTTACGAATTAGGCGCCGTAACCTACGTCGATCCTGCAGAGGATGAATTTTTGGCCACCAAGGCTCCAGTCGTACTCTTCATATTGGATCGTCGTATTGCGAAGAGAGAGGGCACTTCCAAGATGCCCGGCATCCTGGCAAAGCTGCTTACGAAGGCTCGAACGGGTGATCTAGAAAACAACGCGCTCTCGACGGAGCTGTTCCAGAAGACTACTGAACGGATGGGCCACGAAAAGATTGATGATTTTCTGGCTCAATGGGTCAAAGGAGCAGGATGCCCTCGTTTCTTTGCCCAGCAAAGATTCAATAAGAAAAAGCTGGTTGTGGAAATGAGCATCCGGCAAGAACAAGCCTCGCGTGAAACAGTGCGGGACCTTGATCCCAAATTCTTTATACGAGATGCTCGCGACGACTTCTACGGAGTGTGGCCTGCAACCGCCCAACCAGTATTTACCGGGCCGATGACGATTCGAATTCATGAAGCGGACGGCACTCCATATGAACATATTGTGCAGATCAAGGATGCTAACACTGTCATGGAAGTTCCCTATAACACCAAATATAAGCGTCTTAAAAGAAGCAAGAAGCAGAGGGCTCGAACTAACACCAAAGTTACTAGCGAACAGGCAGAAGAGGACAATGACTCTCTCGTCTACTGTCTGGGCGACGTGCTCCAGACTGAAGAGGAAATGGCCAACTGGCGGATAAAAGAGTGGACTTCTGACCAGGAAGACAGAATGAACTCCGAATCCTACGAATGGATTCGATTGGACGCCGACTTTGAGTGGATTTGCACTATGAACCTCGCCATGCCTGGGTACATGTACGCATCCCAGCTCCAACAAGACCGAGATGTTGTAGCGCAGATCGAGTCGATCCGCACGATTTCGAGATATCCACCTGACGCAACCACGTCCTCAATTTTCGTCCGGACTTTGATGGACCGTCGGTATTTTCATGGTGTTCGGGCACTAGCGGCAAAGGCACTCGTCAGGCATGCCGCCGAAGAAGTCGACAATATCGGGTTGTTTCATCTGAAGAAGGCTTATGAAGAATTGTATTGCATTACAGACCAAGGCTCAGCCATGACACGACCAAACGATTTCTCGGACCAACTGTCCTACATGTTGCAATGTGAGATCATGGAAGCCATTGCGATGGTTCGGAATAGTCAAGGACATTCCCCGAAAGAGGCCAGAGACTTCTTACTGGAGAAGTTGAAGTTCAACGATAATTCGGTAAACGACTATTCGGATGCATACTATGTCGCTCGGCTGATGAAAGCGCTGACTGGCGCGGCCATCGCACGACCCCGGTACAGCGAGTGGGATATTGCCGAAAACTTTGAGATCGAAGACGAGATCCATGATCTGAAGGAGTTCGAGCGTCAGTTTCTGGATGAGATCGACCGGTACCGTAGAATGGACGAGTGGACAAGCTCATACCAGAACCTATATTGTCGAACTGCATTGGAGTGTCAGGCCTTGCTTGCTGCAACGGGGATAGGGCAATTCTCGCCCTTGCATTTCTTGCAGTACACCAGGCCTGGCAACTACGATATGCTTCGACAAACGGCCTATGGAGTCCTGATCACGCCAAAGATATTCGACAACCCATCTATCCTACGCTATGTGTTATACTGCATGGTGGCTGACCCGTCACCCTACATACGGCAAAGTCTCCAGCGTGCCTTTGGCAAGGTCCTGGGAAGACGAGCAATTGGCGAGAAAAGTAGCATGACGCAACCCGTCGCCGATTCTCTGATAATTGAAGGAGCCGCAGCTGGTGCCGACGAACCTTCTAAGCGGCAAGAGGAGCTTGCCAGGCGGCAGACGTTGGGAGGCGCGGTGAAAGCATTGAGGGAGGATCTAGGCAAAAATGGTCCTCTTCAATCGGCCCTGTGGAATGCTATCTGTTACAATCAAATTACCCTGGAGGATTTGCAACCTTTGCTGGACTTTTGCCGCTTGCTGTATGAGCCCGTCAACGAGATGAAAGTCACACTACGACTGCCTCGATACTGGAAGGTTCAGAATCTAGGAAAGGTGAGTTCTGCTTCATTTATTGAAAATGCTTTTTGGATTTTCGAGTTAACGCCGCTTTCACTGTTGCAGGGCAAACTCAAGTTCTTCGAGACGCGCAAAGTCCGCAGCAAGCCCGTGCCAAAATGGCAGCCTCCACCCCCTCCCATTGCTGTCGTGGGACCTCGTCCAGAATTGCCAAAATCGCGACCAAGTATCGGAGGCGGAGGCGGTTTGAAGCTGAAATTGAAGGTGGGCGGCAGTAACAAGGACGTTCATTTCCAGGGCCCGAATCGTAAGCCTTCGATTGGGCTTCCAAATCCTGCACCGGCGCCACCTCCAATGCCCCATCAAACCAAGCCAGCGCAGCAAAAGCAGGCTCCAAAGCCGCAGACACCTATCGGGGGACCGGGCCGCATCACTTTGAAGATTCCGAAGAGACCAGCTGGAGGTGGAAGTTCCTCGCAATCTTAAGCAGCTTGATTGGTGGAAGATGTGTCCCTTATTGTAGTCGGAGTGGCCAGGCGGAAAAGAGATTGGATGTCCTGAAGGCGAGAATGGAGACTGGCGAAAAATGTCGCAGGAGGGCAATCGTCGCCCGTGCGTATGATACCCATCCTTCATAGACCCGCGTGTAACAATAATGAAGCGAGCGCTCCTTGAGACCCTTGTTTTTCCCCCACGAAGTTGTCGTCAGAAGCTTTCCAATTGGGGGTATCACATTATAATTCCTGCCGACCTCGTCTCCATTTCTCGCACAGGCATTTTCGCGGGGACTTTCTTCATCGTCGATCATCGCCCATCCGTTCCAATGCCTCGAGCATCACAACCGAATTGCCACGGATGACCACCATTCCCAACCTCTCGCGCTCGCCGCCTGCCTTTTCTTCGACGGCTTCGTCGAGGACAATGTTCAGAAAGACCTGTGTTCAAGTGCATGCAGTGTTAGCTGTGATCGCATTTTGGTTTGTTTGCGCCATCTTTTTGGTGCATTGTTTGCGCATTGGGTCTTGTCGAGCGAAAGTAGTGGGAAGAGGAAGTTTGCAAGGACGAGGAAGGGGGGAGGACACAAACATCATAGCCGCGCAGGATGCCGATGACTTTACGATTGCCGTTCAGTTGAACGAACAGGCGCTTTTCCATGTACTAGATTTTGTTTTGCAATTGACAGCCATAATTAGTACGAGGGACGTTGTGGAGCGAACAACAATCCATACAAGTGTTGGAGGAGAGAGGGGTGGTTCGTAAAGGTACCTTTTTGAGCTCGGGTTGCGCTTGAGGCATGGTTGCGGTGGTTCGGCGGTATCGAGCTGATGGCTAGCTGACAGAGAGCAGAGAGGATTGGTAGGTAAAGGTGATATGCGAACGTCGGCTCTTCACTGCGGAGGGAACGGGAGATTTGGTCTGTTACTGCACATGGAGGTTTCCATGAAGATGCGCAGTCTGGAGAAATCTCAAGGCCAAGAGAAAACGTAAATTCCGCGGGCGGGCTTAGGCCCATTTTGGGACAATCGTGACGCCGCCCTGTGCACACCCAGGGACCCCCACCTTGAAGTATGTAGTACTATTATCTCGCCCATGCAAGACGGATCCTCCCATATACGGAGTATTATGCTGATATGTAGGCGCCACTGCATTGGAGCACCCACACGGTCAACCGCGGGAAGCCGCAGAAGCAATCACAATTACCAGAACTCTCCAATACGAATCAACTGCTTTGATTGTCTAAGAGCACGCCTCGCTTCAGCCGTTCTGAAAACACAGATCCCGTTCCTTCTGAACCGACCTCAATTCCCCCGCGTCTGATCATTACTTTACAAGATCCTCAGGCTTGACCATTCCACGTCTGATCATCTCGGTCACGACGGGGGTACCGTCCCCATACACAGTCATGGACTTGACCTTGAACCCCTTGGGACCGCTGGGGTCCTTCACACACCTGAAGACCATCGCGCCCGGCACGACCACGTCCCACTGACCACCAGAGAAATCCGTCTTCGTCTTGTCCCCTCCTGGGACGGGGAGATTGCCGTAAATGTGCGCAATGCCCATCATTTCCCAGCTCCCATCGTCGCACTCGTACACGTTGCAGTATCGCGGCTCGTGGAGGTGCTCGGTGAAGGGAGCATAGCCTGACAGCCAGCCTTGCCAAGAGGCCTCGCCGGGAGGGAAGACCGTGCCGTCAGACTTTGTAAAGACGAAGTCGTCGGTGTGGAATCGAGTATACGGCCCGCTCTTCATGTCGCCGTGATCAAAGGCTTCTTGGTGGTCGAACAGGAAGTCGAGAACGGGGTGCTCGCGGAAGCGCTGCTCCTTGTCTGAGCCATCGATATGTACGATGTAAGCTGGTTTAGACATTGTTGCTAGAGGTCGGCAATGTGCTTAGCTTAGGTAATTGGATGCTCCGAGTACGACGAGATGGTCGTAGGAAGGGGGTATATAGCTTTAACGGGGAGCACTCTATGCACGGAGCACCCCTTCTATCACCCCCTCAGCCGCAAACCTTTTCTCAGCCAGCCACATCCATCTTTCAGCCAGCCTTTTAAGGGCACGTGGAAACCTAAACCCCGAGACAAGTTGCGCCAACTCGTGGTGTTCAAAGGTGGCACTCATAGGGCCAGGACCCCCACATTGAGCTCGCCGTAGATTGTCGTTCTTTTGTTTCGCCAAGGAAGCTATTTAGTCAAGCTCGCCAAACTCTTGATTCACTAACCCTTTCTGGAAAATGGAGCCGAGATCCACCAGTGCCCAATACGCATAAGGACCAATGCCGTCACCCAGATCATCATCCAGGCACTTCGAGACTTCCACCGTCCTGCAGTCTTCAGCCCAAGAGCGTCGATCTTCAAAACTCGCTGAAGGGCTTGCTGCCTCAGTCTGCGTCCCTTCTACGAAACTGTAGAATAGGGCCATGTTTAGCCACGGTGACAAAATGCGAGTATAGTTGAAACTCCTCTGGCCGTTCTCGCCCGACACCCATCCCCACCGTACCTTGGCCGACTTTCCCCTCAGGGCCGTCAGCGACCTTGAAATCCATCGTGTGCAATACCTGTGCTGTCGTTATCAGCAGCTCAGCCATGGCCAAGTTCTTCGCCGCACACATTCTCGCGCCGCTCAGGAACGGCACGAACGCCCTCCGTTGGATTTCAATGTTTGCGGCAGGATTGGGTTCCGTCTCAATCCAGCGGTCAGGGTTGAATTTAAAAGGTTCGGCAAAATATGCGGGATTATGCATGAGGGAGTACAGGCCTGTCCCGACTTCAGTGCCCTCGGGTATATCATGACCATCGATGCGTTGGCCGCCCTCGAGAACGACGCGCCATGGAGCCGCAGAGACGGGCGGACACATGCGAAGGCACTCGTCGACAACGGCGTGGAGGTAGACGCAGGAGCGAAGTTCAGGTCCGTGGGTAATGGATGATACAGAGGGAAAGGTGGTGCGGACTTCGTGGGCGAGTTTGGCGTAGACGGAAGGATTGTGCGACAGGTAAAAGAATATGCCAGCAAGAGCGGATGAGGTCGTATCGGAGCCTGGCCAAGTCAGGGTGTGTTAAGGTTTGGCTCAAATGGCTGGGGGAAAACAGTCAAGCAGCTTACCCGCGACAATCAACAATCCCGTTTCGGCCAGCAACTCGGGCAGCGGCAGGCCCTCTCCAGTCTGTGCGTCTTTCGCGTTCAGTAAATTTTGGTAGACGTCTTTCCTGCCCTCAGGAAGCTGCTGCTTCATTCTTGCTTTGGCAAAGTATTCGGCTTCGTCATGGAACCGCAAATATGCTCGTACGCCGTCCGGCTTAATGGCCCAGTGAAGCCCTAGGCCCCACCACCTCGTCCAGGGTACCATAGAGACGACGCCAATGCGATTCATCATACTCTCAATGCAAGAGGTGATCCAGCGATAATCGGGATTTTCGATCAGGTGGCGTTTGACACTGAATATAACGTCGGTCATGATGTCGAAAGAAAGGTAATTCGCTGCTTGAGGTGAGCATGATTATCGAAACATTCGCGGCCTTGTTCTTTACCGAACTTTGACATGTCCAACGGGAGACTCCATGCACTTGACGCTTCCGGTGCAGCATCTCTGCCGTCGCTTGCCAGTAGTCTCTTGCACAGAATGGTGATATTCTCCTTGATGACGGGCTCATATCCCCGGACCGCAGCTTCGGTGAATCCTTGAGCTATCACGCGCCGTTTCCGCCCATGCACCTTCTTGTCCCAAGCAGTCAAAACCGACCACTTCTCCTCCCTACCCAGGAGCGCCCAGTAAGCCTTGGACTTGGCGATATTTTTGGCATGGCCGTAGATGTCTGTCAAGCGCCCAGTTGAACATGTAGACCTGGAGACACAAAGACAAAGACGTACCATGAAATCCATTTGCACTATTGATCACAAGTCTGTCCGGTCCGTAACGAACAAAATCTCCTGCGCGATTGTTTCAGCTATTCTAATAAGTAACAGCATTGGGAAAAGACCTAACGCACCATAGACTGCATGACACCGCAAAATATCAATGTGAACATCGTTCACATAATTGTGGTACGCAGAATACCAGGTCGTAAGCTTTGCAAGGAGCGGTCCCGGATAATTCGCAAGTGGATGAAAGAACAGTCGATATATTGAAATGTAAACAAGCTGGAGACAGTCTCAAGGTCAGCACCTCAACCAGCGCAAAACGACTCGACTGAAGTCTTACATAGACAAATGAAATGGCAAGCAAAAGGACAACAATCTGAAGAAGTCTCAGGGAGTCTAGGAGCGCCATCAGTGTTTCGGATAGGAGACGATCAACCTTCCATTGCCGGCGTGCTGATTCTTAAACTTGAGGGTTGTGGAAATCCCTCCTCATCCTCAACTGTACAACTGAGCCCAAGAGCCTGTCAGGACTCATCTTCAACGGCAACCGCAATGATTCCGTCAGATTATGCAAACACGAGGTGAGGAGAGTCAAGATGAATAGTAATCTAGCTCATGGACCATGCGTAGATTCCAATTCAGGCTGCAGGATTCCCTGTACTGTGCTGAGCCGAGGTCTAGCAAGCCATTCTTATAGACAGGATTCTGTATGATCCGCAAAGCCTACTTGTGCCCGTCATCCCATTGGAAGTGAGCCGACATTTGGAGGCCAGGGGGAATAAATGATTATACCTTGAGCGGAGATTTACCGTATCAAGCCAACGGTTTGGATCCCACGGCAACCATTGACGACACCACCATCACTGCTGTAGTACGAGGAATGTGGAGTGTTTCTCACGCATAGTGATATTCGCCAGTCAGGCTTTCGTAGCAGCAGCTCATCATTGCCTCCCTCTGAAACGAAAATTTAGCTCAGCTCGCGCGACAATTCCAATAAGCATGAAGGGGCGAAAGTGCTAGACGAAGGCTTTCAAATGGAGTTGACAGGGTACCGTTTAAGGCGTGTCGAAGAAGATTACTACGGTAGGTAGCCCTTTTGAAGGCAACATCACTAGCGCCCGGTTTTCGGTACCCCGGGTATCGATAAGTCTTCACACAATACTAGTATTGGCCGGGATTGGGTGAAGCGAAAGTATGAAAATACCCCTTGCCTATGTCTTGGCGATAAAGGTAAGGGGAAATAAGGTAACTTTGAAGGCTAAAACTGAGAACCAATATACGCTGGTCCTAATCTAGAAATAACGTGCTCCATTTGCTCTCAATAGATTGCTGCCAAGAGTATGTTATTAGAATACCGATCCAATCCAGTACAATACTAATATTGTATCGAGCTTATCGATATTGTAACGAAAACCAGCCTGCTAGCGCCCTAGTCTGATACTAATTCTCAAACGTTAAGCCTAATTGAACTACTAGCGTCTTGATCATGATTCACATTTGCAATACCGTATCCGGAGTATCATCTTTCCGCACTTGCTCCATAGCTGATAGATCACCTATGGAAAAACACATCTCCATCCAGACAGCTCTCGGGCCTTCTGTGAGCCAATGCCACCGCTGACTCCCGACTTTCGCCACTCCAACGGTCACTCCAACAGATGCATGCCAAAGATATGAAGCCTATGCTGCTCGCGCCATTCTCCAGCAAGGAAAACAGTCCTGCCAGTCAGGTTGTAAACACCACGTTTTGTCATCCCAGTTTTATCCATCACTCGCAGGCTCGCTGGATTGCCATCATTCACAATCGCCCGCACATAAAGGTTTGAGAAAGGTGCCCAAAACGATCTCGCCCTCTTGCAAGAGCCAAACACTGCCTCGACTGACTCGGTTGCGTATCCCTTGCCCCATCCTGTCGGTAAAAACATGTACGCCAATTCAACAGTTAATGTCGCAGTGGCGGCGGCAACGGATGGGTTGAATTCCTCGGGCAACGCAAGGCTGCCGGTATCCAATGATTTGAGAGTCACAAGGCCGATGAATTCCGTTGGTGTTCCTGCCTGCGGTTTGGTCTCAACAGACAAGGCCATCGGCTCAAGGATCTTGTGCACAGTATAGGCGACTCTATGTGTCTTTGCCCCTTCTGATTCTGCGTCGTTGGTGGGCAGATAACGTCTGGTAACGTCTTCTGTGTCCTCGATCGACTTCGCCCTGCCATTGATGCTATTTTATATACAAAGTCAGATCGCGAAGTACTAACCGAACTCAGAAGAGAAAATAAAGAGACCTTTCGCACTAACAAAACTGAGGACATACCTCCACCAAGTAGCCTTTTCGTTGCTGTGCAGTTGATGCAACCATTCAAACTCCGGACTTCCTCGTGCCGCTTTTGTAAGCAGAGCCAGTTTCAGCCGTGGTGTCAAGATGATGGCGTCCATGGGGTCGCCCAGATTGCTACGATTGTGGCGCTTGTAAAGTGATTGGCCGAATGTCAACGGGATGCGTCTCTGATACTCCGACTGTCCTTCGTGGAAGAAATGCCACAGAAGACCAAAGTACACAGGTATCTTCGTAAGCGAATTGCATGCCCAGAAACAGTGCAGAGCTTGTAATGACGGCCTCGCCTTGATTGCGTGCTTTCTGGTACTACATTCCATACTTGAATATACGCGGATCCCTAGGCACGTCCACACGGAGTAGACTTGTCGGGGCGTATCATCCGGACCATATAGAGTTCTACTTCTGTGATAGAGCGTTTCAACAACTGATTCAAGTATAGTCTTACTGCGGAATTGTCTCGGGTGCCCATTTACTTTCCGGGAAGAGACAATACTCAAGCCATAGATACAATTTGTTCATATTCTGACTGAAATCATCTATATCGGGTCGTGAATTCAGAGTCACCCATCATAACATCATTCCAACAGCTGCCGCTAGGATACCACCTGCGCCACCTAGGAGCATTCTATCTAAACCTGGTCTTGGAGCAGCTGCGCCCGTAAAGCTAGACACGGCAGCCGTGGTAGCCTGTGCACTGGAGGGAGGTGTTGTCGATGTTGTAGTCGCAGGGACGTCGCCGGTCGCCAAGGGAGCCTGGTAAGAGTATGTAATATCCTGTAGGCTCGAGGGGCAGGAAGGCAACGTCATGCTCGAGACAGGCTCTGTTAGCGAAGGGAGTCCAGATATGCTCGAGTAAAACTGGCACAGAGTTAATGAGCTGATGGAAGGCGTAAAGGTAGGAACCGTTGTCTGCGCCGCGGTGGTCGTCGGAGGAATTGTGTACGAGAAGGTCAGCAGGCTAGAGGGGCAGAGGGGCAGCGTCATTGACGTGAAATCAACCGAGGAAGCCCCTGGGATGCTCGAATAGAATTGACAAATGGTGTAGCTGCCGCTGGTGGCTGTTGAAGCTGCATTGGCAGTCGAGGGGGCGATGGCGAGTATCGCGATAATGGCGGCGCTGAGGAAGGAGACCATGCTGTACTGAGTTTCAGGTGTGTTGATTGCCAGTTGCGTTTTACGAATTGAGATGCTTCTGATAGATGGACATCGATTTCCTTCGACAAAGGAGGGCAGAACCAACTGTTAAGTACTCACGTATCCAAACAGGCAGCCGCCAAAGGACTGGATGTGGTGCATTATGTTACCAGGGGAACCCAACATAGTAAGGTAAGACATCCGTTCACCACAAGGTATGCGGAGTACACTTGGCGCCGGAGCTATGTTGAATTGTAGTTAGACGAAGATGAGGAAGGATGCGCAAGGCTGTGTTGTCCTACCTTATTGCCTGCTTCTAGTATAGCGTCCGTAACATTTATCCGTCGCCAAGTAAATAATCCTTTTTGTCAGACAACGACAATTTGGAAAGCAGTGCTTGGCAGTACTGGGTAATAGTCTGTTTCCCTCGATTTCCCTCCAAGCGCCTCCCCGCAAATTCAAACCGCAAACTGCCCTGCGAAATACAGAATACTGCATCGACTGTCGCCCGTGGAAATTTCCCTCGTGCAAAGTCCGTCAACTTATCTGCAATCACCCTCTCACAATGGCGACTCTCTTTACAGCGCGACGGAAACCGAAGCGTGTTGCGCGGGAAGAGCCAGATAATTTGCCAGATGATGGCGACGAAGGTACGTTGCGTCCGCGACTTTCGCCAACACATGTCCACTGCATGTTACTCTATCTGACACTTCTTCGCCAATTTAGTGTGATCGTTCCCGCTGACGGCGAGTATGTAGACACCGGCCCCATCGTAAGACGACCGACTCACAACGCTCCACGAACAAAATCCAAGCTACGAGTATCATTCAACCCGGCTGAACCGGGTGAGGAAGATGGATCAGGAGCAGGAGAAGCTGCAGATTCTGGCGCGGCGTCGCAAAGCAAATCAGCGACAAGACTAGGCCTATCCAGCACCGCACAGGATATCATCAGTCGAAGAGACCACGAGGACAGAGATGGCGAGGGTCAAAACCACGACAGACCGAAATACAACAAGGCCTACCTTGACGAACTGCGCAACTCCACCCCATCGACGCCGCGGGACCTCTCATCTTGTGGCAGCCCGTCTCTGGACTTGGTTGAGCCATCGACGAACTTAGAACTCGATCTTGAAAGCAAATTTGGTAAGCCGGCAACTCTATCCTCCGCAATCTCCTCCCACATCCCCGGCGCCGCAGAAATCAGAGAGAAGAAAGAACGGCGTGCGCGCCTGGCGAAAGAGCAGGCTGCGGAAAGTACGGAAGACTTCATCGCGTTGGAAGATTACGACTCGGATGGCGAATTCAAACCCCGCCGCATGCAAGTCTCCTCTTACCTGGCTCCACCGAGGGAAAAAGAGACGCGCCTTGTCCGTGAAGATGAAGATATCGCCGAAGGATTCGACGACTTCGTCGAGGACACCGGCCGCGTTACACTTTCCAAGAAGGGGCGACGAGAACAGAGTCGGAAGGAGAAGGAAACAATCCGGAATCTCATCAACGAAGCCGAAGGCGCGAGCCCTGACAACTCCCTCGACGGCGACGGCGGCTCCGCTTCTGATTCCGACTACGAACGGAGACGAGAGTACGAGTTGGCCCAGACGCACCACGGCATGGATGGGCTCTCCTCCCACGCCGTCCACAAGCGCCAATTGAACCGACCGCGCCAACCACGAGAGACCACACCTATCCCCAAACTCAGCGTCGGGCTGACACGCCTGCGCGATATGGTCTCGGCCTTGGAATTCGAGCGAGCCAAGATCGTGAAACGCAAGGCCGGCATCGAGCGCGAGAAGGCCGAGATCAAGCAAAGCCAGGACCATATTCAGCGGAGCCTCGAAGAGGCGGGCCAGGAGCTCGAGAGAGTCCGCAGGGAACACGCAGAGAGAGTGAACGGTGCGCGGTCGGGAACACACATGGAGACGGATGGTCGCCACAGAGACCCCTCAAATCCAGCGGCCGCTGTGGCCGAGAGAGGTCTGGAATCTTTCGGAGACCATCACCTTTAATGTGTATGTATGTGTACGTTCCGCCGCTGGCGCCTCAGATATCAGGCAGACAGACAATGAATCTGTGCTGAGAATAATATTCCCCACTCGGCGACGACTGACTGACCCCCAAAATTGCGTGGGCAGGGAAATGGACACGACTTTAACTATGACCATGGCATGGAAGCAGCACATGGAGAGAATTCGAAGTGCAATACTCGGTAGAAAGAGACCATCGGCCCTACATCTCGTGCATGTGTCATCTACACAGCTAGTTCCCTTTCAGTGTTGAATTTTTCTCATTTTTCTTTTCTGCTACTTTGATTCTCAGCTCTGTCTGTCTCGCTCGTTTTGATGGATTGGTCGTTTTTGCGCAGTTATGCAGCCCTCATCGAATGTGCAATGTGTCAATCAGAAGAATGGCTCGGATCCTGTCTCTCCGCCCTGCAATCGTTCTGCTTCGCCAACGATCCTCAGAGCCAAAGCTTAACCTCCATCCTCCTGGACCTGCATTGTCATCCGTCGGTTCTCCTCCCTCCCATCTCGCTCATTGCAAAATTCGATTGTGGAATCCAAGAAGCCCCGCCTCGGGCCACATATGTGTAGCCCTTGGAGACAAGAAAGACACATGTGCAGAATCAGCCAACCCCTGCGTCGTTCACTTCCAGTAGTCATTTTCCCGATCCGCAATCCTCTGCAGTCGTTTGCCGGTCGTCTTCAGCCTTGCCGACCCGCATGGTGTCGTATCAAAGTCACGTCGTCCTCTCGGCCAATCACGCACCATCCGACATGTGCAAGCCAGGCGCCCACATGCTGCGAGCGCAAGAGGCGCCTCGTTCAACCCCAGCGCATTGCGCGCCGCGAGTGCCAGGACGAAAACTGGTGAACAGTCGCGCACAGGTCCCTTGGGGACAAAACTAAAGAGCAGAGAAGACAAAGAGCTAGATATTCGTCAGCATCGACAAAGGCGGTTACAAAAGAGCCAGGAGACTCACGTTGTTCGTCGCAGCAATGGCAATGCTGTCTTCGAACGGATGCCAACTCATGTGCAGAATCTTTTTGTTAAAATCGATCTGGTCGGCGTCTGTCTCCTTTCTCATTCTGCTTCCTTGGCCAGCAGCGGCAGGGCTGCCTGCTCTTGAACCACCTTTCTTGGCTCCATTGGGACTGGCCGCATTGATGGGTGTCGGCACTCCAACTTTCTTAGCCTTGAAGGCCGATTTGTCTGCCTGCAAGACCACTTCCGTCTCTTGCTCAGGGTCTGAGGGGTAAATCATGAAATTGTTGTTGTAGCTTCCCGTCATGACATTGCTTCCATCGCCACTGAAGACCACCTCAAATTTGTCGAAAATACTGTCATTTTCATAGGTGTCGCACAAACGGGGCCTCAAATGTTCGTGGATGGGTATGGTCTTGACGGGTTGCCTCTCCATGTTCACGTCCCAGATCTTGACCGTCAAATAGTCTCTTGATAGAATGTACCTGCCATCGTGTGAGAAGCGAACGTCAGAAATGGAGGAGATGATTTCGGAGAAGAAAGATCGCGAGGAAGGGTCTTCTTCTTGCTCGAATTCTGCCAGAGCGTCAGTGTGTAACTACAACCGAGAACGGAAGATATTTACGTTTGGCGTGGTGGTCGCACAGCGCGCTCTCGCGCATATCGGCCAGTTTGATGGTGCCTTTGGAACTGGCATACATGAACCAATTGCAGCTGTGGGGGTGGAATTCGGCAGCAGTGATGACCTCGGTGAGTTCCTCCATGTTCGCTGGCTTGATATCAACAATGTTGAAACTCTGGTCTTGGATATTGAGATTCCACAAGTTAATGCGGAGATCGTCACTGCTGATGAAGGTTTCGCCATCGCTGTTGACCGAAATGCTGTTGATGTGATAAGCGTGTGCATTAGCGTACGTGCGTCGAGGGACTGCGGCCACAACAGTATCGTGGTGGGTCATTCGAGGCAGCTTCAACTGTGAGGCATCCTTGAAACGGATGTGATTAGGACGAGCAGCCCCTCCACCGCCGGGACCAGCTGGGGTGAGCTCGTGCGAGAGATTATTCTCGGCGACGACTTTGAGGGACTTCTCAAAGACTTTCCAGAGCTTGATGGTCTTATCGTTTGTAGACAGAAGATAGTGTGAAGCATTCTGACGACGGCACCATTTGATCTTGTTGATCTTTTCTTCTATCTCGAGAGACTTGAGGTAATCAAATTCAGGTTCGTGAGACTGGAACTCTGTATGGAACTTGTACTCGCACGTCTTCTTCTGTTCACAAGGTTAGCAGTTGGAACAGTGGAATTGGCGTTGGAGCCACTGACAGTCTCATTGCGCTCAAAAAGGACGACACGACCACCTTTGTCTCCGGTTGCAAGATAGTTCCCAGTGTGGTCGAATTCGACAGTTGAGATAATATCAGCCTCTGTTATGTCTTCGACATCGCCTTTATCGCCAAAACATTGAGTGAACTTCCAGGTGGGAGTTCCGGGTTCGGTTTCGACCATCTTTCATCACAGGGTGCGCTGCAGGTCCAGAACGTCCGGCAGCACGCACACAGCAGTAGCACCCTAGATCGACTGAGGAAATTACCGCTGACGGGGCATGGAGCAGTCGCGCTCGATTCAGGTGTGGTAGGTATGTGAATGGATGCGGGCGCGGTAGTGAGCGCTGATTGTCTATGGGGTGAAGTGAAGTGACGATGTTGGGCTGGGGTTGAGATGCGAGGGTTTGGAGAGTTTTGTAAGCGGTGCGGCTCAGGCAGCAAAGCGGTGATGATTCAAGTGACAGGACGATGGGAATGAGACGGACAATGTCTCGTGACAGACGAGGGAGATGCAGGAAAGAATGAAGGATATCGGATGTCAGCAGGGGGATGGTTATGACTGCGGTTGTATGTCAGTAGGTCCTGATCGTGGGGGACGAAGGGCAGTGAGGCAGTTACGAGGATCCAAAGCAAGGTCGCAGGTACCAAGACAGCAGGTTAGCCGGGCGGTGATGATGATGTCGAGGGGCACTTGGCATCGACCTGGGGAGGCCACCAGAAGGCTCTGGGGGTGCCCAGGGGTGCCCAGGGGTGCCCGAATGGAAGCAAGCTGCCAGCTAGACCCCTCCCTGCTCAACAGCACAAGGTAGCTATTAGCTACTCCGTACTTGTTACTCCTACCAACTCACAGCCGTACTTCCTCCGTCCTGGTATTGTTCTTGGCGATAATTGCTTCCCTTCAGCCTTGCGAACCTCGGATCAATCATTAATCCACCAGCTCTTCTCTCCTGTGGCTTCCTTGTACATATATACTCGTTGGTGTTGATTCATGACCGGTCAACCGCTTACCTCGTATTGCAAATTCGGCATTGTTACCCGGTAGCTTTCTTGCACGGAGCATTTCCCTGCCCGGCTGGGTATTGATCACCATGCGAATCCGCCTACAAGGAGCCGGAAAAGGCCTGGCGAGGCTTGGCAGCAGAATCCGTCAACCGACTGGGAGACTCAAGAATATTGTGCCAGGACGTGCTCCCATCGGGACAGGCCCATTATCTGCCCCCGAGGTCAGAGCGAGGAATTCGAGGCTGAAAAGCCTTGTTAATGACCTAGAGGAAGCTTCCACGCCCGATACTAATCCAACCGCCACGGGCCTGAATGAGTTGTTTGACAATGTTGGAGCTTCAACGCAAGGGGCCACACCATCTAAAAGCCGGTCTCGAGGTGAAAAGCTGAGAGAAGGCATCCTGGCGGACAACGGCATTCCTCTCGTATCCCCAATTCTCGCCCGCGACGCTTGCAAGTGCTCGGAATGCATTGACCCTTCTGATCGACAACGGAATTTCTCCTACGCAGACATTCCCACGGACATTAGCTTCAGTAGAATCACTCCCGTCGAGAACTCAGGCGAGACCATCGTCAGCTGGCGCAACGATGCCCCCTCTCACTCGGCAGGGAAATCAACAATATTCGACAAGGAGACCATCGCTTCCCTGAGGAAGCCGTTCCGCAACCCGCACTGGTATCTGTACAGTTTGGCACAGAAGCTGTGGGACTCGGAGTCCTTCACTCGCGACTCCAATCGGTTCGACTTCAACGAATACATGAGTAATGACGATGCGCTAGCCGATGCCCTTCACCTGTTGTGGCGAGATGGCCTCGTCTTTGTCGACGGCGTGCCCGAGTCGGAGGCATCTGTTTCGCAGATAGTCACCCGCATCGGTCCGCTCATGAATACTTTCTACGGCCCTACCTGGGATGTCCGGTCGGTCCCCAACGCCAAAAATGTCGCTTATACGGCCAAGTATCTGGGCTTCCACATGGACCTGCTGTACATGCGAGAGCCCCCGGCCTTCCAGTTCCTCCACTGCATTCACAACGAAAGCGTGGGTGGCGAGTCTCGGTTTGCCGACACTTTCAAAGCCGTCGACCTGCTCTATTCGCAGGATCCAGCAAAAGTCCGGGATCTAATGGCGTACCCCGTTCGTTACGAGTACGACAACGACGGCTATTTCTACTCGGACCTCAAACCCACCATTCTCAAGCGCCAGGAACTCAACGTCCCCAACCGTCCAACCCATAACGCCCAGCACCCGTATGTGATGTCCGACATCGGGCGCGTGTACTGGTCGCCCCCTTTCGTGGGCAACATACACCCGAAACTGGAACACCACGAGCTCGTGCGGTTCGTCTCGGCCAGCAACGCCTTCGCCTCGATCCTCGAGCGGCCCGAGATGGTGGTCGAGGAGAAGATGGACAGCGGCACGTGCGTCATCTTCGACAACCTCAGGATCGTGCACGCCCGCAACGCCTTCGACCTGAACTCCGGCCGCAGGTGGCTGAGAGGCGCGTATCTCGCTCGGCAGGATTTCGTGAGCAAAGCCTCGTCCATGATCGACAGAATGCCCGCAAACATCAGATTTTACACCATGGAGGGCCAAGATGACCCGGGAGCGCCTGGAGGAAACTAGTCGATGTTCTGGACGACGCCTTCTTCTCGTACCTGCGACGAATCCCCATGGCGTTCGCGAGCTGCCCGTCGTATAACCCGCGAGTTGAGAAAAAAACAAGCTCTACCAACTTTTTCTTTCTTACCACATCACACAATCTGACTCATCTCGCCCCTCCGGAGAAGAGAAGCCGCCAGGCTGGAACTCCCCCAGGGGGCACCAGAAAAATGGGGCAAGATTCAAGCACGACGACTCTGGGGGTGCCACCACAGATGCAGTACTTACGTAGATTCAAAGACCAAGGACAATATTGGATCGCGTCTCAGGGGCTTAGTATTGCAAGCAGTGGGGGGGGGGAGGGGGATGACATTTGAGGGTATCGAACCTTTTAGAAAACTCGGGGGGCTTTGGCAGATTTCGCTATAGCAGCAGAGCAGCGACAAGATGAGACACACGCAGATATACATACAGAAAAAGAAAGAAGAACAGTGAGTTTGACTTCGGAGCCTCGTACAAACTATACAGAAAGAGTTTTTGGTTTTTGGTCTTGGTTTTGCACTCATTTCTCATTTGTAAAAGATCATACGCCCCCTCCCCCCCAAATACACATTTCATACCTAGGTCCTCATTGTGACTCGCGCGGAGCATTGACATGTCCTAGCCGCTGGGCCATGGTCTGGCAATTGCGAGTTCGACTGCAGTGGCCGCTTCACGCGGTGGTGGCTGTTGCCCGATAGGGCGCGAAGAAATCCGGATCGGCTTCTAGCTCCTCTCGGACCTATACACAAATGTAATATTGATCAGCATCGTGTTCATTGAAACCGAACAGAGCAGCCGTGAAACAAGAATCCCAGGATCCGAAACAGACACGATACTGAGAGAGGAGCAGGAAGGCAGGAGGGGATTAACACGTACAATGTCCAGCCCTCCAACAAGTTCCCCGTTCGTATACAGTTGCGGGAAAGTGGGCCAGTCGGAAAACACCTTGAGGCCCTCGCGCACATCGTTGTCGGCGAGAATGTTGAAGAACCTATATTTGCGCAGCCTTTTAGCCCCCTGTCCGAGGTTCCCAAGTCGATGTGTCAAAGAGAGCGGCGGTGAATTGTAGCCTTACCCATATTTCACTTGATTCTCGCGCAGAATGCTGACGAGCTGGCGGCTAAACCCGCACTGCGGCGCACTGGGGGTTCCTTTCATGAAGAGCATAACCGGCCTAGACGTCCACAAACAATGTCAGTTGGACTTCCCTGCGACATGCGACCTGTTCCATGTCCAAGTGTGTGTGTTCCCATTCCGATACGTGAACTTTGGAAGCGTGAAACTTACGCGGCTTTCACCAACTTCGCCAATCGATCATTTAGCTCCTCTCTCGCTTCAAGGCCTGACGAATATGCCGGCGCCGTCTGCGAATCCGAAGGCTTTGGCGCATAGGAGCTCAGGTCCTTTGTCGAGGTCGGCTGCTGTGAACTTCCGTTCGTTTGCGCTTGACTCTGTTGCTCCGCCTTCAAGGGGGGTGGCACATTCGCCGTCCCATTGCCGTTGACGTGCGCCGCGTTGGAGCCAGTGCCAGCATGTTTCTCCACCGCTGCTCTCAATTTGCTCGCGTCGCTCCCACTGACCGTCTCCAACGTCTTTCCATCTCGTTGAACGACCAGGTAGGGGACAGCAGTCACATCGTAGATTTCCGAGATATCGGGCAATTCTTCGGCATTTATGCACAGGAAGGAGAGATCGGAGCTGCGGGACGAAGGATAGGTCGACGCGAGTGCGGATAAAATGGTGTTTGTCTGTGCGCAGGGCGCTGCCCAGGGAGTGTGGAAGTAAATTACGTGTAGGTGCGAAGGGGGGGCAGAGGAGATGTGTTGGTTGAAGGCGGCTTCGGAGGGGATTTCTTGGAGCGTCAAAGTCGCCATGGCTAGGTTTCTGGAGGAGCCAGAATTCCAACTGAAAAGACGCAGACAGTTAAGGTAGAAAGGAACAGCAAGTTAAATCCAGGGAGCACAAAAGGAATCCGTTGACAGAAATTGGGTATGCGACAAATCTGAAGTTTAGTAATTGTAGGAGAGAAAAAGATGCGTGATGGTGTTTCGTATTTTACTGTATCGATGACGCCACACCTTCGTCTTTATCGCCCAGCCGTTGTCGCCTTCTGAGGAGGACCCCTCGACCCCTAACCCTCAGGCCAGTGAGGCTGTCCATTCATGAACTATTCTGACAAAGGAGATTTCCCAGGAGATGCTGTTTGGCACAGGGGGTGACAAGTAGATTATTTACCACCTATACAGGCAGTCAGTATAAAACCAATGTATGGAACTAGTATACATAATGTTGTCTCGCTCTGGCTCTCTTAACTTCGCGGCCGTTCTGCATTCTGTGTCTGCTTTCTCATGACCACGGTTTCCCTGCTGTCGTCGGGTATGCTCAGAGGAATCCAGCGGACACATGCCCCTCGTCATGGTGTTCCAAATCCCATCTCCCTCATCCACGACACGGCTGAAATACTCGCAGCAGACTGCATGAAGAAATGGTCCATTGCCTCAGCTTCGCCCTCGCTAACCGTATAGTCGTAAATGTGCCAGAACAGCGGCAAGTCCATTTTGTTGACTTGTTTGCACCTCTTGAAGATATATTTCGTAGCAGCGCTGACGTCCTTGCCCCCATTGTAGTCCTCAAAGTGGGACTTCATGGGTGAGATTGCAATGCGTTTTTTGAACACTGCCGCGTTGGTAAAGACGAGCAAAATAATGCTTTTGGCGAAATACTCGGATCGGCAAATGACTTTGAGGTCCGACAGTCTCTCCAGAAGTTCGTTTGAGCTCTGCGTATCATCGAGATATCGGTCGTAGCAAGTGAGATCGATGGCAAAGAGACAGAATTGGACATCTGCGAACTGCGAAATTATTTTCATCGCATATTGCTCCTTGAGTTCGATGATGCGCAGTGTCGATGAGTTCATGACCAATTCCGTCTCTTTCATGGTGTCGATGGTTTCGGGGGCTCGGATGATATCCATGTTGCTGGGCGTGTAGTCGGCCCGACAAATCCTTTCGATCGCGTTGAGATAGCTGTAGAAATATCAGTCGACATCGAGCCATTCAGGGACCGACCGTGCAACCTACTAGGCAGTCTGTCCATGTTGCTGCATCACCGAGAAAGCTTGTCGAACATGCCAATTGTTCCATATGTGTTTGACAGAACCTGCGAGTGCCACAGGGACTCTCCAATCGGGGCCCCCTGCTTCCGCAAAATCTCGGATAATGGCCGCATGATCTCTGCTGACTTGACTGACGAGGCCGGTCCCAATGTCCTTGACGTAGTCGAGGACAGCGACAAGGGCCTTGACAGCGAGAGACGTGATTGATTGTCGATATTGTTCGACTTCAGAGTCTGAGTAAGGTCGGCCGTATCTTTGTCTCATTTGCTTGACGATGGCGGATTTGCCATGTTTGTCTCCGACAGCAAGGATCTTGACTTCTTTGCTCAACTTGCGGGCATCTTGCTTGAGCTTCAGGTCGATCTTGGCCGAGTCGCGCGCAGTACTCTTAAGCTGAATAATGGGAGTATCGGAGAGTGCCCGCCGTTGTCCTTTCTCCCCGGGGTGCTCTTCGGTGGGGCTAGTGGCACGTCTGAGCATTGACCGAAAGGTGTTCTGATAAATCTTGTGTCGTAGAAGCAGACCATCGAAGTCGAACGTCTTGGACAGTTTCGTGGCTGTAGATAGATTGGTTCTGAAAGTAGCGAAAGAGGCAGAATCGCGGAAACCGACAAGAGACGTGGCGTCGTCCTTGGCTTGGTTGAGGACTTCTCTGCTCTCATCTCTCTCTAGCAAACGTTTCTGATCGTTTGGTGTTCGACTACTTTGGTTAACAACCGGCTTGCAGGTAGAATCGGGTATTTTACCATTGGGACGCTGTCAGGCACAGATTGAGAGCATTGATCTGATGATCTAGACGGGTAAGACAGTCTTTGGTGGCTTGGTCCTCGAGAAGATAGAGGACTTTGCTGCCGACCCTCAAGAGCTCCTCGTCGCTCCACTGGAATCTCGAGATCTGATTGTCGATGTATTCGACAAGTAACTTGCAATGGGTGATGGCATCCCCAAGGTCAATCATCAGTTGGTAGTGCTGAGAGTCCTCCGGCAGACATTCTGCCCAGTTCTGTACTTGAAGCAGGGCGGTCCGTACAGTTCGAAGATGCCCTGTCAACAGATTAATATTGAGTTCGGCCTCCCGGTACCTCTGGCGGAGTTGCGTCAAGGTGGCCACCGATTTGCCGATGACGGAGACAATGCTAGCGACACCAGCAACGACACTCAACGTGCCACAAACTGGCTCCATGGCTGGAAGGCTGGCAGATATCCTGTCACGCGTCCAAGAAGAGTCCTCGTAGAAGCTCTCAAGGTGATGGACACCCTCTTAAGAGCAAGGCAGGATAGGTATCGGCGACCGTTTCAATATCCTCTGTTGATTGCGAGCTACTCCCGTGTCACATGGCCACCCCCGGTAGGTGCCCATGCATGGCTTCGGGGAGGGGGGATGCCAGAAAACAGGACGGTTGGCTAACACTCATACCAATGCCGGCTTAGATACTCGGTACACAGCCACTCGTTGAAATAGGGCAATGTGGCCCCCTAAGCGCGCGTTATCTTGCGTCAAGCCCCAGACTTCTCTGCCCGTCAACGTGCTCAGCCCCAGATAAGAGTCGTCTGGAGGTGAAGGACGGTCGTCTGGAATTTGACTGGCTCTTCTCGCGTGGATTCGGGGCATGGAGCCGAAAGGGGCGAGCAAACATTCCACGCGCCAAAGGAATATTCTCTCACAGGGTTCGGAAAGCTCCTCGTAACCAACCTTGTAGGTAGGCGCCTGCAAGCCACAGCCATCTGTTGATCGTGGCCGTTGTCCCGTGCCGCAGCTCCGTCTCCCATCCAGGGATGCTCCTCACTTAAACCATCACTGGCCGTCTCGTAAAGCCACAGGCATCGGAGGCAAGGAATGGGGTGGAATTCGAATTCAGGGGCTTCTTGGAAGTCAGGGAGAAGACTGCGCAAAAGGGCAGATGCCATTAGTGACTGTGGTGATGGTCGTAGGACGTGTGATTCAAGTGCCTTAGTGGACGCCAAAGCGGCCGTGCTAACGCTTCAAACAGAAAGGGCTCTTTTTGATCCTTTCCACACGAGGCAAGGCCCGACCGCCCCGGCCAGGTACAAGACCACGTTGCAATTTCTGAAACACTCTGCATATGTGTGTCTCTGCAAGGGTATCTTTGGTTGATTTGCTGGTTCCTGGAAGCGACAGACGCTGTGACATGTGCTGGCACACCCCGGACACTTGGACTAGTTAATGGCGTGGGCAAGGGCAGTATCCGTGATGACCTAGGAAATGAATCTCGACCTCAGTAGCAAGCTGTGCCATCTCTTTGCAAGGATTCTCAGCCTACCCAGTACTGTCTGCGGGGTCCTCCTCCGCTTTCGCCAACTCTTCCACGCTATTTATGCGAGATAAGTGCTCATCATGGGTTTGCGGACGTGGTCGCTGAATGTTCGGCTGCTTGGTGTTCGGCCTCTTCGGTCTGGGTCCTTCGTGCAAACAGGCTAAGGTCAAAGTGAGGAGCCAATGCGTTCAAGGGTGTCAAGAGGCGGAGGCGGGTGTACTTTGACGCCTGGGGTCATGATTTCGTCTTGGACCAGTAGAGTGCTTCTCGTGCCTTTGTATTTTCGAGGCAGGCAGAACTAAATCTGGATTCTCGGAAAAAAATGGTAGAGTGGTCGTGTCGAACAAGACGTGGAGGGAGTAGGTAGGGACTACTGTATGAATACACATGGCGCCGACACAGGCGAGCAGTCCGGCTCCCCCTTCCTTATCTTCAGTTCTGGTCGCGGCGAAGCTTAATAGAAGGGCCCAGTCCCTTAATTAGGCCTGATCGCGGACGGGATCCGGCACTCAAATTGACGCCCAGCGCGCATCCAGTGGGCCCTCTAGCCTCAGTAGCCTGCTGAGTGCGTTTGGCCAGGCTCTCCGAAAGTTTAACTAACGAGTGCCTAAGTATCCAAGTACTTACAGTACCTAGGTATGTACCTACTCCGTACCTCTAGTCGATCACCGTGCGCTTTCAATTGATCAGAGAATTGGTTTGGTCAGTGGAATACTACCGAGAACCAGGGAATATACAGTGCGTCGAGAAGGTCGTGCAGCAAGGCAGAATCCCAGGGGCTGCAAGGCGCAAGGACATCATTCTCCTGGGTGGGTATTAGATTGAACGCCGACCTCTCCAGGACAATGTCATTCATCTTGCGGATCCGCTTCGTCCTGGAGGCATCAAGGGACTACCGGTAGATGATCCTGGACACCAATAGACCTTGATCATCCTTTTTCTTCGGGCGCGGCTCGTAATAGCTGACCCCAAATGCCTCGCATATCGCTCATTCCTTGGCCATCTTTCCCACAAACACCTTACGGTAGACAGCCCTGCTGATCTTGTAGAACCAGAGGTAGTTCAGCCCTTGCAGCGTCATCGCCGCCAGGGCGTAGCTCACCAACAGCCAAATCGGAATCCTCGCCGAACCCACGGGGATATTGTCGTCACTCGCGGTCAAGGCCGCCCAGAGGTCCATGTAGAACCATGTCTGGAGATACGTGGCGTAGACGATCCTCAAGAGAAAGAATGAAACAAACAGTGCCATCCCATTGACGATCTGGATCATCGTGCCCTCCATCTTCAGCGAGCGTAAAGTCGACTGTACGTCCAGAAAAACGGTGGAGATCTCGTACAGGAAGGATGCTGGTGCATAGCTCATGAAAGCCGGTCTCTGTTTCTCGTTTTTGGGAGGGGGGAGTAATTAGAAAAGGCGCTCTGGAATGCCGACACAAACAGAGGAAGCTCCAACTCACATAGCAATTGGTCATCAGGAATGAAACGGCCAGGGCATGAGCAACCATTGCCCAGCCAAACACCTTTCGATGTCGAATCATCATGATCAAATGCCAGTAGAAATAGCCGTTTGCCACACTGAGGACAATCGCAGCGGGCTCCGTCTGACTCCAGACCCTCTCCTGCCAAGTCCTGCGTTGTCTCTCCGCGTCAAACAGGACGACTGGAGTTGCCAAAACACATATCACAACCGCTTGAATGAGGGACACGACATTCTCGTTCCAGTCCAATTTCTTCTCGCCACGCAGATGAGGGTATACTTTCGGAAAGAAGAACGTTGAAAGCCACGGTCCGATGGACAAATAGATAAGGTGATACGCCGAGAATGTCATCAACACACCGGAGAGGTACGGCGGGAGTAATGGAAGATTTGCCGTGTCGCATGCTGTCTGGAAGAGCACGTACATTTGATACGGAAAGTAGGACAGACTCGTCCAGGTCCAGGGAAATTGACGGGTCCGGGAAGAGGTGATGTTCAGAGTATTGATCATGCCAATTCTTGATCCGATGGTCGGGGCTTTCTTTCTCCCTTGAAGAATACAGCTTGGACTTGGCTCCCTTGATATCTGCGATGTAGCGGCTGGTGGAGCAATCAACATGGCATATGGCAAGCTCATTCGGTTGAGAAGCTCGGACGCGCAGCGCTGAGGAACGCAATCCTTAGATTTGGGGGGGGGGGGGGGGTAGTTTGTAAGCGACATTCTATACTAGGCGCTGACTACGAGACAGCATATTCCGTATATTCCGGGCAGAACATCAAGCAGGGCTGCCCCGAGAACATAAACCACCGGAATGCTTGGTACTGCGTAATAATGCTCCAGTAGCATTCGGAGAGTTTATTACTTGGCTAGAGGTTTCGAGTCCTGCGATCGCTCATGTATAAGACTTTAGTCAATGTACGTTGTTCGAATGCTTGTAATGCAAAGTGATGGCCTCCCCCGGCCTTTCGTACGACATCCATTCCAACTCCTGTTTGTGCAGCATTGGACAAATGGTAAAGATAGAGACGCCACTCCAATGTGAGATCTCATGGCAGTCACGTTCAAATATAAGTGGACAAGCAAAATCAACTTTTAGATTTGCGGTCATGTTTCTCAATTGCGAGCAATGGCGGAATCAAGCAAATGGCCCCTGCTGCCATGACGACACCGACAAATATTTGCGCATGGAGAAAGTCTCCAGAAGCGACGTTGGCAAGGGCCCCAGCGATGGGCGATCCAATAATCGATCCCACGGCGGCGGCGCTCTGGAATTTAATGGTCAATCAGTATTGACAAGGTCATCAGGCGAGGAGAAGGCTCGTTCAAACCGATCTCAATTTGCAAGATGGAAGGAAACTCACCCAGCTCATTCCCATTCTTGTGCCAATCACGCTCATATTTGGTGATATCACAGGATGCGGCATTGTGGAGGTCGGAGCTGTGACCAGGACCCCCGCGACAAATCCCCAGAGGATACACCAGACAATAAATGCCGCCGAGCTGTGAATGGCAATCCAGGAAAACAAGAGGACGGTGCCGAGGATGGCAGAGAAGATGAGGGTGTAGACTGGCTTCACCCGCTGGCCCAGAAGGTATGGAAACGTGCGACCGAGGAACGATCCCCCGTTCAAGATGGCGAGCATGTAGAATGCCATGTCCTCGGATGTGTCCAGCTCCCAGCGTGCCCAGGAGACAATGAAGAAAAGAGGGATGTAGTAGGCCAAAAAGAGGAAGAACAATGAGGTGGTCCACAGAAGGAAGATGGGCTCGCGGAGTGCTGTCAGATCCCATAAAGATCGCGCTTGACCCCCTCCGTCCTTCTTATGTCTGCCGAGAATGAGGCAGATGACGACAGCGAAAGCCAGGTTGATAAAGCCAATACAACGGACGGTCCAGCCATAGCCAATCTGGGGCTGCAATCTGCGAAACATGATGGGAAAGATGACTCCGCCGACGCTCGAGCCTACCGCCGCGATCCCAATTGCGATGGGGCGCTTGGTCGTGAAGTACGTCGAGATGAGGGCTAAGGTCGGGACATAGGATAGCCCGGCCCCCAAGCCGACACAGATCCCCTGCGCAAGGAAGACTTGGTAGTAGGACTTGGCCAAGCTTGTCATCATCATGCCGAACACGGTGAGGAGGCAACCAGTGAAGACAAGCGATCTGAGATAGCCACGATCGAAGAGGGGACCGCCAAACACGCCCGTAAAGACGACCAGAAAAGCCTGTACGCTACCGACCCATGAAATTGCTGATGCCGACTCGGTAGAAAGCAGGTCTCTGATGTAGAATGCTTGAAACGCCCCAAACGTGCTCACGATGCCCCAGACGTTGGCAAAGACGAGAAAGCCCGCAAAGACCAGCAACCATGCTTCGAACCCTCCATTAGGAGGTACAAACTCGAGCTGCCGTGGTGGCTCTAGCTGTCGACTGTGTTCCTCTTCCTCTGCGATTGGAGTTTGTGGCGTCTTTTCGGAGGAATGCCACGAGCTCTGTGGGGTCATGGCCGACAAGTCTTCGACATTCTTGTCGACGTTATGAAGGCGCATGATGAGGATTCTGTTGCGGGCTGCGCTTCATCCAGCTTGTATCCTTGCTCGCCAGAAATTAGAATTAAGGATTGGACATGGCTCCCCACTGGAGGCATAATATTGAAATTGGAAAGGGTAAATGTTGGCGGCTTCAAGCTTCTCCATGGTCTGCCGCTCAGCGTGCCGGGAATCCGGTGGCGTCATTCGCAAGCACGTTTTACGATGGGATCAGCCCTTTTGGGGGATTATGGGCGAGCAAGATGCGACCGAGGAGGTTGACGCTATCGAATGCTCCGCACGGCAGATTGGCACCCATATATGCATGATCAAACAGGAATAGTGAAGGCTGCGTTGCGAAGGAACAAGGGACAGATGTCGCCATGCCGTGCCCGATGCCGTTCTCTTACCTAATGTATTCGCTGTTCGCCGGTCTTAGTGCCGGGCTGTAGTCGGTATGGACCGAAGATCGTGGCAGCGTGGAAGTGTGTACCGGTATTCGGTTGATGTCTAGAGGGGAGCTGGCGCGAATTTGAAAGGCCTTCACGTCTCATGGCGCTCGGTTTTAAATTCAGTGGGCAGCCAGCTGTCTCTCCACTAAAGCTCCGTATGGTAGCAGCAACGCCGAGGCTGTGTATGTATGGCGCCAACGATTCACCATATACTTCTCTTCGGCGCGCTGTATCCGCTGCTGGACCCCGTTTGAAGGGGAAAGTAGGGAAAGAAGCAAAAAGGTATTCTCAGCCATCAGCTCATGTGTCAGAATGCCTTCACATTACAGCGCTCTATTAGCCTTGTCATCTTTTAGCCATCCTCTAGTGGCCTAAAGACTTCAGCCTTGCCTCCACCTGTACACTGTATTAAGCTCTCCGCTAAGTAAATTCCATATCCCTCGCCATTCGTCGGGGAAATGGCGCAATAGTATCTGACCCGACAAAACTTCAGCAGCAACAACACGGACATATTTCGGACACAGAGAGGGCAAGAATCATATAAGCTATGCAGGGAATTACTGCCCCAGTCATGTTGTGCTCCGATCTAGAAATTTTTGCGAAGAAACGCGCCCTTCCCAGGTTTCGTCTCCTGGATATCAACCTCGGACCTCCTTGCTTCTCATTGCCTGCTTCTCGTTATCCCTCAGGGTCAACCCTCCAAACCTGAAAGGAGACGTCTCGAGAATAATCTGAGCGGTGAAGGCTGAACAACGTTATTAACTCTGTTGACCATGTTTCGAGCCAAGGGTGGTGTACTAGCGAGTCGCTGCGCCGGTATCCAGCTGGTGCCATCCTCTCTCTGCCGGCCGTTGGTCAGTTTCCGTCAGTTTTCCGGTTCCGCAACTGCCCTTCAGCGCCTTCCGGTGCGCATCCGCGGGCGAGGGACGGGTACTCTCCAAACCATTGACGTGGAGGGCAAGCCATATAAGATTCAGACCGACACGTACCAGGTTCTGGGCGGAAATGACTCGTCACCCTCACCTGTCTCCTACTCATTGGCCAGTTTGGGCTCTTGTACTCAAGTGACCGGATCTGTGGTTGCCAAGGACCATAACATTAAGCTCGGTCGATGGGATGTTGCGGTTGAGGGTTTACTGCCGACCGCGGTGTTGGTCAAAGGCGAGGAGGGCAACCCGAACTGGGAGAAGGTCGCGTTGAACGTCAAAGTCCAAACCGATATAAAGGGAGGCAGTGATGATCCGAAGTTCAGGCACTTTGTCTCCGAAGCGGAGCGCCGGTGCCCCATCACGCAGCTCTTCATCCGCAGTGGAGTTGCATTCAGCAGTGAGTGGATAAATGAGCCTTTCTGAGGTGTGGGAAACAAAAACGAGGTCACGGCCTCACACAGTCCGTCTATGGCAGTTTCGGCGGAATCGGGGAACGGGCGAGGAAGTCGGGAAAAGGAACGCCTCCTAACATGTGGAAATAATTGCAAATTGTTACAGAATCAGTCGGGCGTGAGCACGAAGCGAGAAATTCAGAGGATGCAAGGCAATTTGATATGGGAAAAAGTCAAGTCGACCTAGAAGTATAAGAACAGTGGTCAACAACGACAAGTTGATACCGTTCGCGATTCAACTAATACTGCAGGGGAGGCTGCGCCGTCAGCTTTGCAACTCTCATAGAAAGCGTAGCTCGGCTCTTGCGCACCATCTTACTTTAGTCGACGAGCGACGACCTTCAATCTACCGTGGTCTCCCACTATTAGACGTGTCAAACCTTCACTCCTTCAGGGGTTCTCAGCCTTGCACCTTCCAAACCAGCAACGGTGAATGACTGGATGGATGGTATTTCTTTTCTTTCTTTTCTTCTTCTCTCCTGTGTTTTTCGTTAGTCTGCAACAAGAACGTCAAATAAGAAGTGAAAAGAGAAATCCGAGAAGCGAGGGATCGGCGAGAACCGCGTGAAAAACGTTGCGATTAGCGGGCCGATGACGGTGTAGATAAATACCAATACCGCAGCATGTGCCGGTGAGGATGACACTGGCTCGCCTGTCGCTTTCGAATTGGCGGCAATCCCGGTGACTCTCCAGAAATACAAGTGCTTTCCGGGCCGTATTCTCCGTGTTTCATAGCTGCCTAGATAGACCTTCATTCCAGCTGATAAGACCGCCAGAGCTTTCGTGAACCGCTTGGCCGCCTCAGCCACCACCCACTACCACTTGGCTGGGGTAAACCAGCTGCGTTGTGATTCCGGATTTTTTCATGTTGGAATGACCCAAAAGGGCTGGATGTGGCCGGGAAGGTGGGCGCTTTCAAGGAGGGCGCAAGCACCTCTTGGTCAGTGCAAATCCTCCGATATGGCAACAAGCGGTCATCTCGCCATCTCGCCATCTCCCTGTTGGCCCGATCAATTCCTTATTTCCGGTTGGCTGCAGTGGTTCGTCAAGGTAATTTCTTCGGCTGCACTCCCGTCCGCGAACATGACGATTGCCATCAAGGACGGATCGTCAAGTCATAATGTCCGATCAATAATCGTCGCAAAGATAGCCGTTTTCCTTGGGTGGAGCTGTTGATATCTCTGATGGTCTGTCAATCAATCCACCAAGCCTTCAAGAACACTCAACGATCAACGCTTCCACTCTCCCCTGCCTCTCATATACCCTTCAATAGATCTCCACACCTCCTCCACTGTCTCTCTATCCCTCCAGCGCCTCGACATTCTGGTTTCTTGCTCAACATTTGCTCCATGTGCCCTTTCATCCCACCTCTCCACAGCAAAGGTTTTGACACTGGACCCCCACCCTTTGACCTCCGCTGGAATGGGTAGTCCTTTCTCCCCGACATAAATACCGAGGACGTGGCCAAACAATTCTTGCGGCTCGCGCCATTTGTACCCTCGAAACTGCCAGATTTGACCTGTTGTAAAGACAGCAACGACCCGGGACCAGTAATCTGGCTTGAAGTGTTCGGGGGAATCGACTAGGATGAAGCGGTATGGCTTTTCACTTAGAGAATGCATTGTGCGGGTGATGTGGAGGAGATTGGCTGTAGTTTGCGTTGACAGGGTGGGATGATCGGGCGGGACATACAGCCCAGTGTCCAGGAAAGTTTTGATGTTGGACATGCGGAGCAAGGATGATGCCGACGGAGACAGCAGAATGATCGGGTCGGATCGTTTCGAAGACACGGCTGAGGCAAGGGGTTTGGACGAGTTTGCGGCAGGCCGAGCTGCAAGTTGAGCCGGTTTCGCTGGCAGGCCGCCCGGTCGCGTAGATGATGAAGGGACGCCTTTTCGTCGTCCGAGGAAGGTCTCTGCGTGTTTTCGCACATGTGAGAAGTCCTATTCAAGAGTTAGTGGAGCGGAAATGGTATGGAGGCGAGAGGTTCCCTACGGTAGGCTTTATCCCCCGCAACACTGTATTGTGATCACCCATTCTTCGTTCACCATTGTAGATTGCCTGTAGCCTGGCATCGATCACCTTAACGGGTCTCCCACCGGCAGATTGTGTGACTCCGACACCTGAGCCGCTGGCCGTGGGCACAGCCGCGCCGCCAGCAACATCGGCGGCCCTGTTGACGGCATCTCCAAGAGCAGGTGCACCTTCAATAGGCTTGATATACTCCGACTCCTCTGACGCGCCCTCAAGCCAGGTGATCAAGTCCAAGCGCTCGACGAATATGAGATTTCTCACTTTGTGACCCTCGGGTAATTCCTTGTCGAGCTCCGCGGCGCGGGCGATGTACTCGGGCACTGGGACATCCTTCTGTTGCCAGGCGAAGAAGATGCTGCGCAAATCAACTTGCGCGGTGTCCGGATTCTGCGATGTGAACCGTGTCTTGGTGTCTAAGGAGAGACATTGTGGGGCCGGGTGTGTGAAATAGAGATGCGTCGCCTCGACTAATGAATCTGTTTGGTTTGCTTCGGCGTTGGCGGGATCTGAGGCTTTCGTGAGAACTGGGGGCTTTGAGACCGCGATGGAGGATCTGAGCAGCTGAAGCGCATCTAGAGTCGCCATCTCTTCAATTAATCCGGCAGGGGTGAGTGTTCTGTTTTGGTCGATACGGCATCGCCGTGCGCCACCGATGTTGTCGTTGTTGCTGTCGTGGAGGGTTGCACGTAGGACCACGCCAAGCCAGAACGATGGGCCTTCACATCGCAGTCGCAGATCCTGTCTCGCGTACTCGTGGCGGATTATCAATTTTCCGTGATAACCGCCCCCCTTTTTAATCACCACCACACCTTCAGCCTCAGCCCATATGCAAGCCACCTCCGTCGGACTTGCCAAACGGCTACCGAGTACTTTTTCTGTGGTCAAATTATCACTAACAATGCAGTCTCCGACTCATGTTACATGCACGATACTCCTTGGCCGGTCAGCGTGCCATTGATTGAACAGGGGACTGCAGGAACACGGGATCTTCAAGGGGTCATCTCGCTTCCCCTTCGAATCTCCCTTCTGGAAGATTTCCATTTCAAGGGGTTGTTCGGACAGGGGCCACGAAATTAATGCGGTGGCATAGGTCCGCGCTGTGCACGGAATACGAGTAGAGTGTAATATGAGGACACAACTATTGTGAATCGCAGTCACTCACTCCAGCACTCCTCGAGAGCCTGTCACATAGATTCAAGGTACCAGACTCTGGTTGGTCACGAGAATGACAATGGAAGGAAGTTAGACAGACGGTCATATTCTGCAATATTTTCAAAGATCAGTCCATCTCGTTGTTGTTTCCAACACAGCTTCCGACAGGCACGCTTCATACGCCCAGCGACCAACATGTCGAGCTTCCTTCTGCGTCCTTCCCAGCCAATGTCTGCAATAACCTCGATCCCTCTATGCCTCGTCCTTTCTCCCTATCCACACTTTACTCGCGTCCTCCGCAGGGGTATCTTTCCAATGCAAATGCAGAATGGAGTGTTCGCGCCCCTCAAGCTATGCCCAGTCGTAGAAAGAACACACAGCCTCCCCTCCGACCACGCTATGCAGGACCTGTACAAGATTGTATGCAATGCAATAGATGTGGCAGTACACTGCCGAGTAATAAGAATCATTCTCTATACTCGCAATAACTCAAATAGCGAGACTCGTGGACATGCTCGTGCAAGGTCACCTAGCTTCGCCCGCAATGAGGTAATGACGTTTTTGTACACCGAATCCGTACCACAGATTCTGAATTCGTATATTCATCACATTAGAATGTGGGATTGTAGAATGAATCGCTGGAACCCAGCGTGGACCACTCAAACGGGTCTCTGTTGAAGTCGTCGAAGAAGATTCATGCAAGGAGAGAGGTCATGATCGTGTATTCGACCGACTGACGGTTCGGTCAGGCGCGGGTGAAAGTGCGCGGTTCGAGCCGATCAAATCGATCTCATGGTCTCGAAGGACCGCGGCGTGCCGGGGGTCTCGAAGGAATTTGGGAACAGAATCCTAGAACAAGCGTCAGTCAACGTAAATTGGTTGGGCGCCATAAACTTACGCTAGCCATCAATTTGAAGACAGCACTTTGGGCAAGCTCAAACAAATCCACGACTTCGTCGAGACTCTCACGCATAGATTCATCATCAGCATTAGTACGGATCATTCTGGTGTCGAGCCGGTTCCGCAGCGAATGGTCGATGTTGAGCTCTGACGGTGCTCCCGAAGCAAGAAACGAGTTGTACAGACCTAAACCGATCAGCCTGGGGGGTCGGGGAGTAAAGCACCCTCGATCGACTTACCATATGCAGCAGCGAGGGTCTCCCTGACGGCCTCAGGTCGGTCCAGCTTTCCAGACTTCTGGAGATTTCGATAATGGCTGGTAAAATCCGACACGTCAAAATAAAACTGTAAATTCTCCTCGCAGAGGGACTGCCTGAGAAACTCCTTGAAGAGAAGTCGGAGGGCCGCGTCCTGAAGGATCACGTTCAATCGGCTGACATTGGAATCCCTGGTAAGCCGGCTCTTGTGGTCCTTGGTATCCCGACTATCTTCGCTGTCAATGCTGGCGGGCCGTGCAAGCCAGCCGCAGACGCGCTGTCCCCTCTCCGTAATAGTGTAGATAGCATGCTTGGTGGGTTGAAAGTACGTGGCCATGGGATTCAATCGGATATATGCTCGGTCCTCCACCACGGGAGCCATCAACTGCCACTTGACAAACAGTTCTGCCATCTCGTATGTTTCTCTGCGATCGATAGTCGTGCAGCAATCAAGCAACCAGTCGGATGCAGCCTTACCAGTAAAGCTGTTGTTCACTAGTTTGTCTAACACTCGTCGTTCCTTGGCCATCTTGACACCCACAAGCCCCGTGGCATATTCAGACACGGAATCCGAGTCTGATAAGGATGTAGAACTCTTCAGATTAGGGCCTTCTGAGCCCATGAATCTGCGGAAAATAATCTCAATCGTGGGCCTATCCTGGACAAGCTTATCGGTAGCCGAATCCCTTTCCAAGGAGACCATTTGCATCTGGTTCCGCCGTAGTATAGGCTCAATATGTCGGGCATTGATTCCATTCCGACCGCAGAATCGATGCAGGGTGGCTGAGCCTTTAGGAGTCAGTTGCCACACGCCACCTTTGGTCACAAAGGCTGTGTTGCCTTTGGACTCGGCAGATTCAATCAATCGGGCATCTACAAACCGTTGGCATACTGAACGAGCCATCTCCTTGGCCATAGAAAAGGTTGTCGTCGTCGTTGTGACGACCCATCTTGACGGGTTTTTGGGGTCGGGAATGCGATTGGACTGAGAAAACTTTAGAGAGCCGAGATTGGTGATGGCCTCCTCTGATAAAAACGTCTCCTCCACCCTCGAGAACCTAACCCGATGTGGTGTGAGTGGAAGGCTGGTGATGAGGGTGGCGAAGAGGTCTTGAAAGTCGCGGGTAAAAGGCCTCTCATCGTCGGTCATGCGCAATATCTTAGACGACGTCTGGTGCATTTTCCCATCTTTCCTGTCCGAGTTCGGCATTGGTGGGACCGCGGTACTGTTCCTCGACTCTTGAACTGGAATGGGCACTCCGCTCGTTCTGCGCGACTGTGCTGCCGCCTGCAATTCTGGCGAGGTTGGCGAACGCGGAAGACTTGGTCGCGGGATGGTGGAAGAGGCGGACTGTTTGGATAGACTACCTGACGAAGTTGCCGAGCGCAGACTTGGTGTAGAACTTGTTCCCAAGGATGCCAAGTTGGCGAAGGCGTTGGATGTCTTCTCACGTGCCAAAGATGCCAGCGACCGTCTGCTCTTGCTTTGGGTGAGACTGGTTGAACTGGAGTGGTGGTGGTGAGGAGGTGGGCGAACGGAGTTGGTACGAAGCGAATTCGAGGTGGAAGAGGAATCGTGGGCGATATCAGACGAAATGACTTGGGCAGGTAAATTTGGAACAACAGGCGCCGAAGTCATAGAGCCGTCCACTGGCACATCCTTTGGCTCGGGCATGGAGAAGACTGGAAATCATGCGGGTAAAGATGCTCAGGCCTTGGACAGGTTCCGCACAGCATCGCACTCGTACTGGGCGCTTTCAGAGGGCCAGAGGAGCAGGACTGGCGGTCGACGGTAGTAGTGTGGCAGAAACACCAACGGGGCGCAACCCACGACCCACGAAGAGCCGGGATTGCTCACCACGAGACCACGAGGATAGTGGAGCCCCTTAAGCCGCAGGCTAGCAAGGTCCTGGGTTTGGTGGCCCTGGCAGGGGGGTACCTTTGGGAAGGAGGGTGGTGGTGGTGGTGGTGGTGGTGGTTGTGGGAACAGGGTCACCAGGGTTGAAAGTGGGTAAGGATGTAATTATTCGAGAAAAGTTCGTTCCGGGCCACTTACGACTCCGTCGCCCACTACCCAGTGTGTCCTGTGTCGTCCGCAAGTGTGTGTTGAGCCAGGCCCGCCAGGAGTGTGCTGACAGGGCGAGGGAGGGCAGATCGAGTTAGGCGCACGATTTGGCGAAGACGCCGGATAGCTTTGGAAGACTGGTTGAGCTGGAAGTGACCTTCGACAGCTTGTTGGTCTCAAGGGATTCCCTTCAATGGCCCTCCAAAGGGGAAAGCTAGTGCTCGAATTCGCTCGTAACGAGCGGCGATGGAGCCACAATCGAAACAAGTATCGTTGGTAGGGCAGCTGTCTGAGTATTTGTCTGAACCAGGGCTGGCTCGAATCTGAAATGAGAGATGAACAATAGGAGACGTATTCCGTAGTTTTGATGAGGTGGCGAGGATGATGGAGGCGCGGCTAGGGTTCTGTTTTTCCTTTTCTGCTTGTCTCTTTCTCCTTCTGGAGGTGTTTGGTAAAAGGTAACGTAAAAGGCGACCTGCCGGAGATCGTATTTCATGAACGATGCTGATACGAGGGACGTGGTCTATGGCAGGACTCAATACTTATTCAAGAAGGTAGCTTGATTAGCAGTGGAGGGCAGAGGAGATGGGGAGCGGGATGGAGAACAGGACGGGATGTAATACGGAGTACGGAGCACAGGAAAGAGGAGGTGAAGACTGGACGTGACAGCTAACTGACCGCCCAACCGTGACGGCCATGATTATTTGGACACGCCTGAGTTCTAAGGACAGTTTACCTAAGTCTGCATCCCAACGTGGCGCCCGTGGCGCCGGTCAAGTACCAGTAAGAATCATCATAGGCGTGGATGCCAGACACACAGCCGGCAGCCCACGGGTGCGACGGGCATTGACAGCGGGCGCCGGCCACGGCCTCACCAGCCATGACATGACAGGCAGTTACAAAACCCCAAGACAAAGAGTGGCGGACAAGTTGCAGGGGCCCCCAACGACCTTCTGTCCTCTAGTGTCTTGGTGCCTACCTACCTAGGTAACTGTTTGTTTTATAGGCACCAGCAAAGTTCTTTCACCGCTGTACTCGGTCCTCGTACCATTGGTGTTGTTAAAGAACTGTCATCTCCAACTTTTTTCTCCCTCCTACTGTAGGTCTTCGACGTCAAGCCATCCAAATCGCTCCGTAATAAAAATGGGAGCCTCATCATTCCCTCCCCATAAAACCCACTTTCATCGTCACCCAAGATGGATGCTTCAGGAAATGTTTCCATGTCCACCATCCCTCCTCAGGCGATGAATGCAACTCGAGTACTCCGTAATCATGCGCACATGGTCCTGTTTCGTTTGCTGCCTAATCCATTCACAGGCTGCATTCAGTTCTGCCGCCTTACTGTTTGCGGGTAGAGCAGCTTCCACGATATTACAAGACGCCTTGATGGCTTAGAATTGTCCCTTCATTTCCAGCAGATCGGGAGACACAAGATCGCATCTGATACGCTACGCGTCTCAAAAGACCAGGAGATGGGGATGGACCATGATCACTCATTGGGAAAAGCTCTATCCCAAACTTCTCTGACGGACAAGAAACGACATAGGGAACACTCGGAAAGAAACGGCTTTACCTAACTAGAGGTTCACCGCAGTTCCACGATTCAATGGTAATCTCTTGTTCAACTCGGTCCACCGCCCATTGCGGAGTACGACCTATATCGACGGTCATTACTTATGATCTGAAGATGATGCTGACCAGCGCATGCCAGTGACATTGGTGACACTCCTGCCATTTGCCGTGGATCCGCAGCCCACCAATTGATGTGGGAACGGAGAATTGAAAGCGGATTCTACTCTTCAGACTGCAAATGATCGTCATCGATGCTGTGACTTAGCTAACTGGTAGTACCACCTTCAATCCCCACAGGCTGAAGAAGAGGGGAGCAAGGGAGAAAGGGAGAACGTGCGCGTGCTTGGGATTTTCACGTTTTCGGAGATGAATAACATCTTGACTCATTATTGGTTTGAATCCTGGCAAAGGACCAGGCATGACATCCTTCGCATTCCGCGAAACAGGCTGACCTCCTCGGAGCTTCGCAGTGCTCCTCATGTGTCGACAACCGTGCGACGGGGACGCGAGACGAGCACTATGATTTTCTTAGCCAAGCCAGAGTCGTACAATCAGTCGTTATCTCGTCCCAGCCGACGTATTCAGGATAGGAAACATTGGTGGTTTCGGAAGCCCGGACATGTTGGAGATTTGAGGCCTCCAGAAGGTCGAAGTCCCCCCAGCCAGCAGCAACTCCTTCGGAGCCATCGACCGTTAGCATCCGGGGGAGCCACTCAGAATGCACAACCATGGTGAAAATGAGAAGCCACCCGTGCCGCGGTATGTGCTCACTGAGGTCCATCTCGATGATATGATTTGATACAACAAAAGCTTCAGCGCCGGAACGCCGTGTGCGAAAGTACCCTCCTCCCTTTCCCCATTATAAGCTTCTAAGAAATTCCCCCGGCTCGACGAAGGTGAACGCAGGGGTAGCAAGAGCGCAAGGGTCTCAAAAAAGGCATAGGGTAGGAAGGTTGAGATTTCCAGAAGGCTACCGGCCACTTTCCGGCGCCCAGGCTGCGAGTATCGAGGGCTTGCCGCTTGATACGCTCGTGCCAGCTGGTCGGTGAGCTGAGGGCACCAACCATGGTTCACTCGTCTTAAACGAGCAGTCCTTCAGAGCTTGGTGCTGTACGTACAATCAGATGTGCCAAGAGGAAATGTGTACGAGCATGCAACCTCAATCACGGGCTCTGGACTGCAGACTTTGCGGCGAGGTCAAACCTCGACCGATGGGTATGAGCTAGACCAGTCTTGGACGGGGTGCCGACGGACCAAGGCAGAAGACGTGGCATGGCAGGCTGTCTGGTAAAGTCACAAGTGAAGAATATTGCGTACGAGGTACTCCGCCTCAGGGTTCCAACTTCAAAGGTCATGTTCGAGGAGCTGATCGTCAGGCTCGAGATGAAACAAACTAAGGGAGGGGATTTGCGTCTTAGGCCAATGGAGCCCTGACAATCTGCAGTTAAAGTCTAGTGCCTCAGCACCTTTGGGCTAGGCGAGCGACAAGCTTCAAGTGTTGGCGCGAAGAGAATTCTCTAAGCTCCGTCGAGAGAGGACTATGCTAGGCAGCTAAGGGAAGCACCGGCATCCCTAGGCGGTCCTGCTGTTAGCCTGGGCTGGCTGGGGAGCCTGGCGCTGGGTGGCTCAGGGAGGCCACGTGGAAATGTATCAAGGCCGCCTCCCAGGTGTGGGTGCCAGGGGTGGGGGTGCCTGGGCTTTAACTGGATTTAACTGGATTAGGGGGCCACAATCGCAGCCTTGGTCCTTGGAACAATCAAACCCGCACCCAAGATCCACCCCAGTGTTGAAAGTCGTGGCTGACTGCCCAGCGTCCCTCGGCCTTCGAGAAAGATTCCAGGTTCCACAATCGAAGCAGTTTAATTTGAGAATGATCCACCTGCTCCGAGCCAGACGTCGCACTTTACGGAGCATCTTATCCAACATCCATGACAAGTGGACACACTGGGCACACCCTGTCAATCAGCAGGGCTGAAGATAGCTACCCTAGCAAAAAAAGGGGGGGAATTGGAGAGGGGACTTTTATCCTCGACGTCAAAAAGGTGCAGTTTCTGTCCCCCATCCATCCATTTGGCATTCAACAACCCGCCAGGGCTTAAACTCATCATGGCTAGCAAGGGCGAATTCTCCACGCGGCCTCCTGCACCTGCTTTCGATTTTCCCCAATTTTTTCCCTCCACCACCTGTTGTATGAACCACTCCTGGGAATCAGAAGTGAGCTGGGACCATCAAACCACGCCGGTCGACGGCCTAGCGGTCAAGTCCGCGTCGAACCTTGCTTCATCAGGACTCCCCTTTGGGCAAGCGACGGCCTGTCGCGTCTCAACTCCCATTCGTCCCTCTTCCACGATTCCATTTTCCCCTTTCAGCGGCCTGCGAAACAATCCAGAAGAAGCCATGGAAGCATTTCATCACTCCGCAGTCAATCAATCCTGGCCCCATCCCGATTGGAATAGCCAGAACCCAGGGCGGCTTCTCGGCACCTCCTGGTCCACCTTTTCACGCTCGCAAGACCCGTCTTGACTATCTAACGTCCCTCGTCGAGTCCACACATCAAATATCTCCTTCGATTCCTGTTGCAAAAAGCCACAAGCTTCCCTCCGAGACGACCAGCTCCCCCGGTGGTAAGGTTCCGACCTTGCTGGCGGCCTTGCAATAAGAATTCGTGGATTGGACAAGAATGACAAGGAAACAGGGAAAACATCATTGTTAGCACAGATGATCATTCGCCATGCTCGCTATGCTATAACTGGTATCGGGACTTGCCTGCACGATCGCCGCACGAGCAGTACTTAGAGCACTGGGTCCTGCAGCCAAGCGGTGGTGGCAGCTCGTATTGACGGGCAACCCGCCCAAGTCGAAGCCGTCGAAGCCACACAGTTCGTTCTCGCGCAGTTTTGGCATGCAACCACGGCCCAACAGGCTACGCTTCCCGCACAACCTGTGGCCAGGAAGCTCTATCGGTGAGATTTTTTTTAACTTTGTCATCGCCTCATCTCATTGCGCACTATATGGAGTGATGTACGAGTCATGAAGGACCGTCTGTGCCTGGGGACAGATTACATTGGCTCTGTGCAGGAATCCAACTGCTGCCGTCCCTGGGGTTTCCGGTGTTTGGATCTCAACCTCTGCCCTCGCTCGTCATACCTGCAAACTCTGAGCTCATGCCCAGCCAGCCGAAACCTCTGCACCTCCAAGGCAGGTGAAACCTCCGATTCGACCCTCGTGTCGCTGTCCAAGTACGTCCAATGCCGTCTCTGTATTCCGCCCACGCGCCTACTTGCAGTCTAGCATGCACCCTGCATCAACTGCAGTCTAGCATCTTCCCTGTTCCACGTGGCCAACGCCTGCAGACCCAGATTTTGTGGCGGCCACGAGGTTTTTCTGCGGGACACTGCGTTTCACAGCTTGAAGTTCCACGCACTGCAGCCCAGCTGGCTCGGGCTCGGCGTCGACACGAACACGGTATTATTGCACCATTGGCCACGACTCTCTTTCGAACTGCCTTTTTGGTTGACCTCCATTATTGCCCAAGCAACACAGTCAAGGAGCAAGGGACAAGGGATAAGGGACAAGTGAAAGCCACTCGCGAGATACTACCTGGGTACCGACTACTCTTCAAGTTGCTCCTCTATTGCCGCTCTGATCCACGCACCCTCAAACACACGCTTTGGTGACGCTCAATGCCGCCAATTGTGCGTTGTGAGGAGCATCTCGAGACATATCGAACTTGTTGGCCTTCAAGCTTTCAAAAACCGATACAGTTTGGGGGGCCGGGAGGGAGGTGGAAACACATCCATCCTGTCTACCATCCCTGGATTTTGACTTAAGAGACCAGAATAGGTTAGCCTACACATCATTGTGAAGTTGTAAGACCTGAAAGTTTGAGCCAATGCTAGCGTGCGGCCTTACCATTGACTGCTGCAGCTGTGTCATCTACTTACTGTATGCCTTGCTTGGGCACAGGACTTGGCCGAAAGCATTGGACGACATCAACGGCACTTGGGCAAAGAGTTGAGCCGACTGCTCTCCATGTCTTTTTCCCACAAATCTCCTTCGGCTCAAATTCGATCTCCTCCAGAATCTGAAGGCTGCAAGTGGTCGCCAAGCACGCTTGATCCATGGACCCAGATGTCGTTCTGCATTCACCGACTTTGAAAATGCAAGTTGTTATTGTCGTAGAATGCAGCTACAACGACAGTCAGGTGCGGCAATATCCTCCAGAACGAGAGTTGTTGGATGCAAGAAGCCAATGGTCGGCCATATCATACTTGATGATCTTCAAATGGACGTTCTGCCTTGTCCGACTTGTTCTACCCTTGTGTACACGAGCATCGAACCTCCGGCGCTATCACTTCAATTAGACATCAAATCCTCACCGACAATTGAGAGCCGTTCAATCATGTTCCCTCGTAACTCAGGTACCCAAGTCTTCTTAACGAGATCCTCTATAATTCACCGCTAGCAATTCTGTTGAGTGGATCGAAAGCTGTGCGGTGAACAGGACCACGTGGGCGAGCCGGAATCAGCAGGAATCTCAGCCCTCCGCAGCATTGACTGGATCCCAATACGATCGAATGTTCGACGTTGAAAGTGCAGCCAGCCCGGATACCTGGCAAAGTTGCATTCCAATCACCCTCGGACCCTCTAGGCTCAGCAGGATGTGGCTGACAACCTGATCCTTCCAACGCACGTGTCTTGCAACACACCCTATGCTACGAACAAGAATGGAGCATCATCATCATTCTACCTGATTCCCGAAGTCACCCCGGGATGAGATGAGATTCTACTTTGCCGGAGTCACCGTACCTAGATTTCGTTCAGAAACCGCCTGTGAAGGACGAGTTAGGACGTCGCAGAAGACGCAACCCAAGATTTCGCATGCTACCCTGCCATTTCAGCCTGAATGAGCAGGGGAAGTAATCTAATGTCAGCAGAGTGTCAAATTCGACAGAAAGCCACGGCCGTCTGGCTGATTGAGCACCCCAGTACGCCCACTTTAGCTTGAAGGCCCCTGGCCAGACGATCAGACTCTCATGACCCCTCGTTTTCAGATCCGGTAAGAGAACAATGTCTCCAATCGATGCTTACTACCAGCATTCCCTCAACGCCTGTTTTAGTCCTCATGCGAAGTCCATGTTTTTGGGCCTAGAGCAGCGCCCGCCGAGGGTTGATCCACACGAACCCGACATCGCAAAGCCGCCGGATCGTATGTAGCCAGCAAAAAGATATGCTATAGCGTTATTACACCATCTACCGATTTCCACATCGTTTGTTATGTTATCCCAGAAAAACACTCTCTCCAGAGCTCTTCAGGGAGGAAAGCGCTCGACGACTCACATGGGAATGTTATCGGTCTTACGGTTCCAATTGTCGGCGTTCATGGTCATCCTTAAGGCTACTGTCCCCCGTTCATCTGACAACAAGGCCGCCCAACTACGAAACAAAAGGCTGAAGGCATCGGATAAAGGTTCTCCTGTCGATCTCTGTTCCCTCGGATGGTAGCAACGGCAGATATCTGCTATTTTTGCTTTGAAGAGCCTGGCACCAGTCAGCAGAGGAAGTGGTATTGCGAGGAATTCGTGGCGAGTCGCTAGCGACTGGGGCAGGAGTCTCGAACGTTGCCTCCTCGCCCTCTCAATTCTTCTCTTTCTTTCTCCTGTCAACCTTGTCCTCTCTCTTTCAAAGGTCTTTAGTCGCCGCCTCAATTGACTTGAGGCTTATGGCGAGTCAAGGTCAAACTACGTCGGATGAGAGACAAATTGGAGGACACTAACTCGTCCTGCACCTCCTCTCGCATCCAAGAACCCCTTCCTCTCCCCTGTGGCCGCCCACGCGTCGAATCCTGGGCTGAACAAAGGAAGAGAGAAAGAAAGAAACAAAGTGAAAAAGAGAAGAGCGTCTTGCTCCAGACCAGGACTCCCCCTGAAAGGAGAATGAATGTCTTCCTAATCCTATTCCTACTCCTTTCCTTAACAGACGGGACCGCCAAGTCATCTCACCTCACAGTCTCTCTCTATGTCCCCCCTCCGCAGCCCTAGCATTATGGGGTGGAAGAGGTAGGCACATAGGTCCGTAGCTAGATAAAATACACTCCAATGCTCGTTGCTCTAGGGTATGATATCTTTCCATCATCCTTCGCGTTTGGGCACCGCTTTGGTTGGACAGGCCGTACCTACCTACCACATGGACAGATAGATGGACGGACAGACAGACAGGACCATTGATGAATCGTCAGACGAATGAGGGATGCATGAAATTATGGACTCTCAAGATTTGCGTCTGGTGTGATGGCGGCGAAACACAAGAACACAGGCGGAAATAGAACAGAAAGAGGAAGAGGAAGAGGAAGAAGAATTGCCTCTAGCAAACAAACAATTGAGCATTCCGATTGCTATTCCCCCCCCCCCCCCCCAACGATCAAACTCGTGGAATATCTCTCTGTCCTTTCGAGGTAATAGTAGGTCAGTATTATCTTCAATCAAAACTTTTTTTTCATTCTCCCGCCCCTTGATGGCGTTGCATTATTGCAGCTTGGTACCCATTTACACAACCCCGACAATCCAACTATCCGATTCATAATGTCTCTACCATTCGACAGGGTCGGACTTGACCTCGCCCCTATTCGTCTTGGGCACCGGCGCCGCCTCGATCTTGACGGGGCCCATGCGCCATTTCTTGAGATAGCCGCTGCCGTCCAACCAGGGCGTGTCCAAGGTCCTCTTGGCTTCAAACTGTGCAATCTTGTCCTCCATCTGCATGGTCAACCCGATATCGTCGAGGCCCTCGACAAGACAGTGCTTGCGGAACTCCTCCACCTCGAATCTCGCCAGTTCGTTGCCCTTATCGTCGCGGATGACCTGGTTGGGCAGATCCACCTCGATCTCATGGCCCGCTCGGGCTTCGTCGGCGATCTTGTTGAGTTTCTCCTGGTCCGGCATGATGAGTGGCAACATGCCGTTCTTGAATGTGTTGTTGAAGAAGATGTCTGCGTAGCTGGGGGCGATGACGCACTTGATCCCAAAGTCCAGAAGCGCCCAAGGGGCGTGTTCTCGCGAAGAGCCGCACCCAAAGTTGGGACCGGTGACGACGAGGATCTTTGCCTGACGGTAGGGGTCTTGATTTAGGATGAAAGACGAGTTCTCGCTACCGTCCTCGTTGTAGCGTAAGGGATGGAAGAGCGCAGAGCCTAGGCCGGTGCGTTTGATGGTCTTGAGGAATTGCTTCGGGATGATGGCGTCCGTGTCCACGTTGGCTTTATCGAGTGGGGCTGCAATACCTTTCAGCACGGTGAATTTGGGCAGACCTCCTGATTCACCCATGCCCTCAAGGTGATTTGTAGCCGTGCTGGTTGCGTCTGTGGGGATATCGAGGATACGGTCAAGCTCTTCTTCAGAGTCGAGCTCCGCAAATTCAGGCCTTACGTCAAGTTTAGGGTCTGCTTTGGCAGGAGAAGGATTGTCGCTGTGTTTGCGCACATCAGCCAATCTACCCACAATCGCCGCCGCCGCCGCCATGACAGGAGACACGAGATGCGTGCGGCCAAGAGCGCCTTGTCGGCCTTCAAAGTTGCGATTTGAGGTGCTCGCACAGCGTTCTCTGGGTGACAGGATATCAGGGTTCATGCCCAGGCACATTGAACAGCCAGCCTCCCGCCATTCGAAGCCTGCATCTAGGAAGATCTTATCCAGGCCTTCGCTCTCAGCTTGAGCCTTGATGTTACCAGAACCTGGCACGACCATGGCTCGCTTGATATTGGGAGCGACTTTCTTACCCTTGACGATCTTGGCGGCGGCACGAATATCCTCAATGCGGGAATTTGTGCATGAGCCGATGAAGACCTTGTCCACCTCGATGTCTTCCATCTTGGTGCCTGGGGTGAGTCCCATATATTCAAGGGCCCGTTTGCAGCTGGCTTTCTTGTTGGGGTCCTCAAAGTCGTCGGGGCTGGGGACAACACCAGTAATGGGTACGACATCCTGTGGTGATGTTCCCCACGAGACTGTTGGGGCGATATCCTTTGCGTCAATGAAGACCTCGATGTCGTATTTGGCACCTTCGTCTGATCTTAAACCGGCCCAGTAATTGGTCGCCTTCTTCCACTCATTGCTGTCGACCTTTGGAGCCAGGGGGCGGCCCTTGAGATACTCGAAGGTAGTTTGATCTGGGGCGATCATGCCGGCCCTGGCTCCACCTTCGATAGACATGTTGCAGATGGACATGCGAGCTTCCATGCTGAGACTTCGGATTGCAGAACCGCAGAATTCAATGACGGCGCCTGTACCGCCGGCGGTGCCGATGACACCGATGACATGCAGAATTATATCTTTGCTGCTGACCCCGGGTGCCAACTGGCCGTCGACCTGTATCCGCATGTTCTTGCTCTTCTTTGTGATCAAACATTGCGTGGCCAAGACATGTTCGACTTCGCTAGTGCCGATGCCAAAGGCTAGGGCGCCGAACGCGCCATGAGTAGAGGTGTGGCTGTCACCGCACACGACTGTTGTGCCCGGCAAAGTGAAGCCCTGTTCGGGACCGATGATGTGCACGATGCCTTGGTTCTTGTCTCCCAGGCCGAAATACGTGAGGCCGAACTCTTTAACATTGTCTTCGAGGGTGGTGCATTGTAATCTGCTGTCCTCTTCCTTGACAAAGTCTGCCACATTCTTGAAATTCTTGCGTGATGTCGTGGGGACATTATGGTCGGTGGTAGCAAGCGTACAGTCTGGCCGGCGGACTTTCCGCTTGGCGTTCTTCAGGCCTTCAAATGCTTGTGGGGAGGTGACCTCGTGGACAAGGTGTCTGTCTGTTAGAAACGTCAATGCTTTCTGAGCCCGACTGTTCCGTGGGTTAAGTGTGTAGCGTACCGATGTAGAGGAGAACGGTGCCATCTCGCTCTTCGTTGACGATATGGTCTTGGAAGACCTTGTCATATAAAGTCCTAGGGGTTGACTCGATAGAAGGCATCTTGACAGACACAGCAGCGATCACCACCGGGAGCGAAATGCGAGATTCAAGGATGGAATGGAATTTGCAGAATGAATCTTCGAATAGCAGAGCACCAGATATAAGCAAAAAGGGTTGGAGAGACAGTGGATGGCGGGGGGGAGGATGCAGAGGCCCGACATCGGAGGAGAGGATGACTTCACACGCCCGTTGATTGGTCCGCAGATGATTGGATCAGCTCCAGCCAGCCAGCCTTGTCATCCAGACTCAGCCTTGTTGCTCTTGCTCTCCACACCTTTCCAACACATGATCAGCAATCCTGCGGACAAGGCCTCCTATGCAGTCGAAAGAAGATGATTCGTGGTCTCTGCGAGGGAGCTGTGGTAGGAATGCTAAGACAAAATGGGCAAGTGCCACTTGCCCCAACCAGATTTTCCGGGATGAGGACTTCGAGAACAGCTCGGCCACTGCAGGTCTCCGCAACGGCAATGGCGGTTTGGGTGCAATATTCGCTTCAAGAAGGACGAGATGGGCATTTCAAGGGGAACGACAAGATCAGAAGAGCCCCCGTGGTCCTGACAGCAAATGTACTGAAGCTTGTATCAGCATGGGCGAGGCTGTGAAACTGTCAACTCATCAACAACGGCAGGGAAGCTCAGCCTCGCCGAAGTAGCTTATACTGGGTATGGACACGGGATGCCCTCCCAGTTCACTTACAGGTGTCGCAGCTACTATGTATTCAGCAACCTCACAAGGCCCCGGCCACCGACCCTGTTAGATCTTTTCTCATTCAGTCGCATAGCCCAGAACTCGAAGTCGAAGGGGTCTCATTGCTGGCTCAGACTGCTTTCAGATGGGGCTATGTTGTCCAGAACCGGGCAAATACAATTGATATTGCTATACTTACCTGGGTAGTGGGGCAGCCGTGATGTTTTGATCTTGTGATATTGTGATATATATCTTGGCGAGCGCTGATATATGAACTGTACTGTACCTACAGACTGGCAGGTGGGTCGAGGTGCAAAGGGATTCTTGCCACGGAAACCGAAGAGAAACAATGCATTCTCATCACACAACACCATTCATCCAGGGACAGTCCCTTTCATTTTTTGCACTATGGTTTTCTCCTTTCATTCCATTCCCTGCAACTGGCCAAACTGCTCGAACAAGCGAGCGACTCTTGGCCCAATAAGGACTGCAGCGTGGAATCGAAGCTCACCTATCGCTGAACGTGGCCCCCACCCCATCCCTCCAGAATCTCGGCTGCGTATCTCGCTAACGACGCCACCTTCGTAACGGCTGAGCTCTGGAACGGGCTGGGAAGCGTGGACACCAAAAGTGGGCATTTTGAAAAGAGGCACGCAGGTTGAGCAAGATCTCTATTCAATCAAGCTGTTACAAACCATTCCCTTCCCTCACTCATGACTTTCGGCAAAGGACCAGATAACTCTGCCGCAGACCGTTAGCCGACCTGTATGCGCCTAATCGGATGCCTAGATTTGGGCTTCCTGAGCTGAGAAGAGCCCAGACATTCCTCGAGTCGACATCATCTTGCTTGAGCCATGTACTTTTGCTGACCCCATCCACACAACGAGCACCTTCGAGGCTCGCTCTCAGCATTGCAGGCGCGCATCTCGCGCCTCAGACACAATACTGTGTACGCATTCGCTATTTTTCAACCTCTACATCGCTCAATTACAGCAATGCAGCCAGAAGACCGGGAAAGGCAGCCATGATCCGCAGTGAAACCCCCGCCAGAGACACGCCTCCACCGCTGGGTAGAATCGGAATAGTTTTCACCGATGTTGTCAAATCGACAAATATCTGGGAGAAAGACCCAAAGGCCATGATCGAGGCCATGAAACTGCACGACGACATGATCAGAGGCCTCACTGTCGCGAACGAAGGCTACGAGGTCAAGCAAAACGGCGACGGCTTCATGATTGCCTTCCCTACCGCCACCTCGGCGGTACAGTTCTGCCTCGACGTGCAGGAAAAACTCCTGGACGAGCACTGGCCGAATGAAATCCTAAAGCTGCCGCCTGGCCAAGAGACCAAGGACTCTGAAGGTCATGTTCTCTTCCGCGGCTTGCAATTGAGGACGAGTGCGCACTGGGGAGAGCCCGTGAACAAATGGAACGAAGTGATCCAACGGATGGACTACCTAGGGCCAGTGGTCAACCGCGCCGCCCGATTCATTCAAGTCACAGAGGGCGGCCAGATCGTGGTATCTGAAGAATTCCTTCTTCAACTGCAGAGCGAGATGGAAATGGCCAGGCGGCAGACAGAGGCGCAGGAAGAGATCCATACCGCTGACAGAGGGACCGACGGGCATCCCTCCCACGAAAGAAACGCGCCGGCAGCGGCTTCTCTGGACCTTCGCAGCCTGCGTTCTCAGCGAGAACAGAAGAAACTCACGCACCAGCAATTCGAGATCCGGCCGCTGGGAGACTACGAGTTCCAGGGACTAGAAGACCCGCACAAACTGTACTTCATTGTACCCTGCTCGCTTGAAGGGCGCGTGGATCACTGGCATCAAGTCGCCCATGTGACGGGTGTGAAGGGCAATGTTCGCTCATCGTAAGACTCGATAGTGACCACCGATGGGGAGGAAACCACTTCCCTGCAGCCCTGAAAAGAAAAAAAAAAGAAATAGATCGCCATGTTCATACACCCCTAAGCAAGACGAAGCTAGTTGACTTGAACAGTCGAAGGGGATATATCTTCTGTTGACGAGGAAGTTGAGGAGAAAGGAGCACGACGGAAATGCTGGTGTCCAAGGGTTCCGAGCGTCCAGCCTGTACAAAGAGGGCGATTGTTGGGGGAGGGGGGAGAGAACATATAGTTTGCTTTTGGGTTCGTTTCACGGTGTACAAAAATGATACAAGTAAAGCAAGGCATACGACGACAATTCACTTGGTAACCACGGCGCAGTGTATTGGATTGCAATGATATTGACGGGCACCCCATGTGGACAAAGATCGCGGCATAATAAACACCTCGGACTTGAACTCAATATTTCCATAAGGCTGTGGTGAGCTCTCAAGACGCCCCTGATGGATGAGGGCCACGGCTCGGTCTAACCCATTCCCTGTCCCAGCCCGATCCAGCCTGTCTTAAATCACCGCACAGTCCAGGTATCTCATCTATGGCAGAAGGCCTCAGAACCCTATCACAGGTGTGCCCGGTGATTCAAGCCGCAGGCTCAACCTCGTCGTCTCCATCCGCCTTGACCGCTCCATTCGTCTCTGGTGCCTCGTCATCAGGCTCATTTTCGGCACCGCCGTTCATGTCGAGAAGGTCCTTGCCCTGTGGTGGTGTTGCAGCAGCAGCACCTTTGTTACTTTCAATCTCCTCCTCCAACTTGATGTATTCTTCCCATTCGGGGAACAGCTCTTCATCCTGGCCCTTGCCCGGGACGCCCAGCAACCTCGCAACCTTGCCTTTTCCTTGCTTCTCGAGCCCCTCTTTCCACTCCACGACTAACCCGGGTGTCAAACTCGGTTTATAGGTCTGGCTGAACAGGACCGCCTCGCTGATCCTTCCTGTTCGTTTCAGAAGGTCAATGCAACTTGCCACATCACCTGTGGACCACAGGGCAGCGAATGCGACATTGTTGGCACCCGATTCTTCTGCTTGCTTTGCCAGTTTGAGAAGCCCCTCCTTGTTGCCCGAGCTAGTGTATAAGAGAAGAAGAGAACCGTGGTCTTTCGCATGACTAAAACACTCCTCCGCAAGTCTCACGTCCCATGCTTCGAGAGCTTTGTCGGCCACAGCGGCCCACCGCGCTTGCGTATCTGATTCCCTCGTGATCTCCAACGCAATCGCGAGATTGTTCAATCCCAACGCTAGTTCGAAGCGGTGTTCAGGGTCAGTGGCGACTTCCAGTGCGAGGTCCTTGTGGCCTTGGGCTTCAAGGAAGCGTGCAATCTTGTTCATTTGATCCTGTGGGATATCTGGAAGGAGTTCCTGTGCGGCTTCGAGTTCACCTCGCAAGACAAGGGTTTGGTAGGATAGGAGGGCGGTGGAAAGTCTGTAAGAGACGACGTTGACATCCTTATCACAGAGGTAGACACGCTCGTCCCGTTGCAGATATCGCAATAGATACATCGGCTGGTCGAATTGGGCGATATTCACGACTTGTTCGCCTAGAAGGTAGCTGAGACGGGTGTTGGTGGTGAATATGAAAGCATCGCCGACCCATTCGCCAGATTTCACAGATTCTTGTAAATCAGTGACGACAGAGAAGGCGGCCTCAACACCGTCTTCGTCTGCTTGGCCCGAATTGAGGCCGTCAAGGTAGGCTTCACGGTCGAAGCGGAGGACGTAGGTGGTGTCGGAGCAGGCAAGGGCCACTAGTTCGCCTGACTCGCTCCAGTAGACCTGTCCCAAATGTTTCAGTCACAGCCGCTCCAAACAGTTGGATAGAAAGGGCTATTGTTACCTCTCTGGGTTCGACTTCAATTCTTCGGACGAGAGTGCCAGTCTCCCAGTCAAACATGCCTATCCCTCCTTGTCCCTTTACGCCGAGAAGAGTACCGCCGCAGAGACCCTCTGACTGAAAGCCAACATCGAGACCGCCGCTTTCTTTTAGTTTCTTAAAAATTTTAACGCTCGTACTAGATTCTCGGATTGCGTAGTCGGTTGGATTCTGATGTGATGCCCTTTTAGCCAGTGTTAGCGGATAATGGTACCCCAAGGCTTGAGGCTCTACATACCATGCAAAATCAAGTGCCGAGCCAAAGGCTTGATTTCTCCATGCCAAAGCGGTGTACTGGGCGATCGTTAGCAGGAGAGACGTCGCTGAAGAGAAGCACCAGACTGCTCACAATGATGAACTCCCCGTCACCGCAGACACTGACAAAGCGGCCATTCGGTGAGTGAGATAGTGTGGTGGGATAGCTGCATCTCACGTTAGCAGGTTTACCACCCTGATTGAGAACACTGCTCACATTTCGGTGGTGCCCATTTCTTTGCTTGGAAGGGCAATAGGTGCACCGTCCTTGACTGTTGCATCTCCTCCCTTGATGATAGCAGACACTACCTCGTTGTGACGTGCCCAGACGAGTTTTCCAGTTCCGTCCATGGAAACAGCTGGTTCCTCTCTGCCCATCTTCACAACAACGGCACCATCGTCAAAGCCCATGGCAACACCTTGTTTTCCTCTCTGGTACGAAACACACCATGCTCTCTCCAAACCATAGCTCAGCGACTGTTCTAACCGGTACGTATTGGCATGCCATATCTTGATGGTTCCGTCTTCGGAACCGGATATGATGACGGGTAATTCGGGGTGATAACAGGCGAAGCTGACATTGCTGGTGTGTCCTTCAAGTGTTGCAATGAGGGCTTTGGTGGTGTAGTCCCATACTTTGACCGTCTTATCATCCGAGGTACTGAGGAGGTAAGGCTTGTCGCTGTGTGGATAGTAGTCGACATGATTCACACCCTTTTCGTGTGCCTCAATGGTCTGTTTAGCGGTGGCATTGTCGATGCTCCAAATCTTGATTGTTCGATCTAAGCATGCTGACGCAAAGACGTTGGTATCTTTGGGGTTGATTGCGAGTCCCATGACATAGTGTTGGTGTCCAACGAATTCGCGCACACACCGCCAGTCCTTTTCCCAGTCAAACATGCGAATTGTCATGTCATCTGAGGCGGTCAGGACCACGCTGAGGACGGGATGCACGACAATTGCGCGGATATAGTCTGGGTGTCTGCAACCGTCGTTGTAAGCCCACCTATTCGATTGCTTTGGAATGTCTCAAGCCGCTTACGCCTCAAATGTTTTGACCTTCTCACTTGTATTCCAATTGACCACTCTGAGTTGGAAATCATCGCTGCCACACACTATCCAGTTCTTTCTCTCAATGAACCTTCCCGCCCTCACAGGCACATCGGTGAGCTCGAACGTTTTGATGATGGACTGGGTTTCATAGGACCAAATGTGGGCATGGCCATTGTATAAGGTAGTGAGGATCTTGAGCCGTCAGTGCAGGGAGCGGGCAAAGATGGAATAACGGAAGTAATACCCATGGTTCGGTGCTGTGCGACTGTTAGAATTCTGCCTTTCATAAGAGTCTGGTACTTGCCTGTGAAAATCGATGCCCTTTACTCGCTCCGAGCCTTGACTAGGTCAGTCTTGACACATAGCATTTGTGGGGAAGACGAACGAGCAAAGAGTTGTCGCTTGACGTCCAGGCGCATTGCGGCATCAAACAGTCGAGAAAATATCAAGAGGATTTGGCGACGCACACAAGGGTGCTGGCGAGGACGATTGGGGTACAGTCAGAAATCGAACCGGACCAGATAGAGACCGAGCACAATATTCCATATCATCAGTTCATGGCCGTCGTGAGCGCCGAGGTTCAGTTCATTGAAAGGAGTCGTACAATTAGCAAGGGAACGTGGTCTCGTTGGTTCTGTGGTTGTGACAGAATGTCCCTAACTTCACGCCTCAGGTGCATACATCGAAAGTTTGTAGACATCCTGCCGCTTTAAACCCAACTTGCCCTCTCCGCTAAACAAGAGCAAGAGTAAGATCTGGTGCTGCGTACAGCCTGATATCTTTCTTGTCTGTTCCAATTATCCTTGCTGAGCCGATTGTTTCATTGACTCCTGAGATATTCTGTTCTTCTTCCTTCACAACTTCGAAATGGCTTGATGGAGCGAAGACTTGACATCCTTAAGATCTGTATGCCTCCCGCGGGATTAGCGACCTTCTCACACCATCCTGACGCACAGGCAGAGCAAACCCATATTCATGCTATGTAGAGGTACGGAGTACATGACTGATAGTAGATCTTTCTTCCAAGCCGTCGGTAACCCCACGTATCCCATGGCAACTGAACAGTGAATGCGGAGTGAAGGAAATGTCCACCTGGGAAACGCAGCTTTTGAGCCCCTTGGAGCCCTCCACTCTGAGAACCATATTTAAAAGCTATATGACTCCATGACACACAATATGAGTTCTGTTCTACCCCGTATCTAGGTAAGAATCCGAGCTATGTATGTGAGAAACTCATAGCTCGGATTCTTACCTAGATACGGTTGGTCTTCTGCACCCGGTTATACTTCTGCAAACCGAGGCAGCTGCCACATGCGCTTTTAAGACAACGTCCTTGAAAAACCACTTGGTGGGTACCCAGAAAACATTCACACCTATTCACTCCCTTCGCCGTCACCTGTCCACTGCTGTTCTCTGTCGTCTGTGTAATCATGGCAGGACTACGCCCAACGCTCCATCATCTGAATGTTAGGTCCCTTGACTTGTTCTTCCTGGCACCGCTTACAGGTCGCAGAACTCGCAATCGCAAAGAATCCTATGGCTGCTCGAAGAGCTCGAAATCCCATACGACCTTAAGCTTCACCAACGCGTCAAGCAGAGAGCTCCTCTCGAGATGAAAGAAACACATCCGCTGGGAAAGGCTCCACAATTGGAGACGGGCGATGGGAGAGTTATTGTGGAATCGCTGGTGATTGCAAAATACCTGATCGATACATACGACAAGACGGGCAAGTTCAAGGGCGACGGCAACAAGAATGACTGGATACGCGACGACGAATTGTGCAATCTTGCTTCTGCTAGCCTCGGAGCTCCAATGGTCGTGGAAGTCATCATGACCGCGGCGGTCAAGTTGACCCCTTTTTTCGTCCGCCCATTGATATCGCTAGTCCACAGGCAACTTCGCAGGGGCTACTCTGGGCCGGAGCTGGACCTGTATTTCAAGTATCTGGACGCTCAACTGGGAAATCAGGACTATTTCATGGGCAGCGCCCCCGGACGAGCAGACTTCATCCTCTCATTTCCGGTCGACACGTGCACAGGAGCTGGCTTCATCGATCTCAAGAAATACCCCAAGATGGAGGCATGGCACGCTCGGTGTCGCGAACGACCAGCGTGGAAGAGGAGTTTGGAGAAAGGGAACGGGTACGATATGACCTTCAACTTCTGATCGGAGGGCGAATCGAAGGTAGGCCCACCAACTGGGCACACAACTTGGACAAGGGAGTGAGGCGTTCTACGGCGAGACGGGTACATCTCCGAAAGGCGAACGGGAGGATGAAAAACGGGAGCTGCATCGCCACTCAACCTTCGTCAGTGCGAGTAGCATTATCCATCATATTTGAACCCCCGGGATTGCACAACGTTCGGTTCATAAAATTTCTCCAAGGGTGTGAGCCTTGAACATGGGACGCCCCAAGAGCAAGGAAGCCCTATTACGAATACGCGAGCGGAGACTCTTCATCCTGATAATGGTATGTACTACCTACATACCTACGGTACTTAGGACGACCAAAGTTGAGCCAGGCGAATGCGAGCCCAAAGGCCCGTGAGGCCCGGAACAATCGTCATCCGGGGCGTAAACCTTGCCTAATCCCGCCTAGAAACCACCCATGAGCAATGCCCTTGACTCGTACTTTTTTACCCGTCACTCTGTAGACTTGTGCGCTACGATCCATCGCACCTCGCTTACAAGCAAGTCTTCCCACCCACCGCAATCTTTTGCTCCTTCGCGAGCTCCACTGCCCACACAATGCGCCTGGGTAATGGCTTCGCGGATGCAACATTTGTCTCTTTAATTGGGCCGTTGCCGGCATGAGAGGCCATGTTTCAAGCATCGAGAATGCATCCACCGTGGTGCCGTGTGCCAAATTCTTCCATTTATCTCGCCTCCAGCTAGAGGCGAAGGTGCCCGGCGGTTGTAATGAATATTATGTATGTAGGCTAACCCCCCAGTATAACACAGACTTCGATCTCTTGTTCTTTTTGCCTTCCGACTGCTGGTTATGTCCTTCATCCCATATCGTTTTTGGCGGCGTCTCTGACGGACCAAAAAACAAAACAAAAACAAAACAAAACAAGCAAACAAAACAAAAACAATGTCTTCGAACCAGACTACACACCATGCCCGTCACTATTGCACTGAGATCACCCCCGACTGCCCCCTTGAACTCACCACATACGGCTACTATCCGAACCTGAGCGTAAACTCATTCTTCATTGCTCTCTTCGGCCTCTGCATGCTATTACAGTTGGCTCTCGGCACATGGAAGCGGACATGGACATACCTGATTGCTGTCGCCATCGGCTCTTTCGGCGAGGCGGTGGGCTATGTTGGGCGGGTGATCATGCACCACAACCCTTGGAGCGGTGCGGGCTTCAAGACACAAATCTGCTGCCTGGTCCTTGCACCAAGTTTCCTCGCCGCGGGGATATATGTCACCTTGAAGCACTTGGTCATCTATTGTGGAGCAGAGAACTCGAGATTGAAGCCTAGGCTCTATCCCTGGATCTTCATCGGCTGCGATTTCGGCTCGATTGTGCTCCAGGCCATTGGGGGTGGTGTCGCAGCGAGTGCAGGCGACCATGATGTGAATCCCAAATTGTTGGATGTGGGTGATGGGTTGATTGTGGCCGGAATTGCGTTCCAGGTAGCAACCATGGGTGTTTGCGGGCTCCTCATGATTGACTACTATATGCGATTCCAACGCGCGAAGAAGGCCAAGTCGCCAGCGACGATGGAGAGCGAGTATGAAAAACATCTGTCCGCGGCCAACGTATCACGCAATTTCCGGATTTTCTGCTTTGCCATTGGGCTGGCCTTTACGACCATCTTCATCCGCTGCATCTACCGGTACGTGCCTTGAATCCTGTCTTATCGAAATGATATACTGACGGATGTTGATGGTAGTCTGCCCGAGATGGCAGGAGGCTGGGGAGGTCGCATGATGCGCATTGAAACCGAGTTCCTCATCCTTGATGGAATGTAAGTTTGGCTCTTGGACCCCCGGGCACCACTGAAAACCACACTGACACGGGTTTGCTCTAGGATGGTGGCCATCGCATGTGTTCTCCTGACTGTTTGCCATCCGGGGTTCCTGTTCGAGCCGATGAGGAAATTCAAGAGACCGGATCCTTCTATTGCAGGCCCCTTAGAGCAGCCCGAGACAGCGGGGGGCAAATCCTGAAGATTTATGCTGATGGCATTCGGTTCAATATGTCGTAGATATCGACATAGACATAGAATGATAGAAGAGTGAATGACGCGACGGAACCAGGGCGAAGTGAAAAATAGGAGTCTCATGCAGGGCACCAGGCATTTACTTTTTCGGCCGCAAAGGATGACGCTCGCCGCGTTATCCAGTCCTCTCGGCCTTACACTGATGCCGAGCTTATGTGTAGCCCGCAAACTGGAGCATGCGAATCTGATACCATTCAGGGACTCCCTTTATAGCGCATCGCATCGCAGGGTGATGATGAGGCTGGCGCAGCGTCCGCGACTTTCCGAACACGAGGAAGAAAAGGCGTGCGCACGGGCGGTGCCAAGCTAATACGCCAGCGGATACGAGAGGCTTCGTTTCTGCCAAAGACTAAAGAGGTCAGCTTCCTCTCTTTGTTTCGCCCTCACACTTGTAATTATGAGCCATCATCGATTCAGAGTGCAACTATCCAGCCGGCAGTTCTCACAATGCCCTCGCGTCGGTCGCATACAAAGTCACATCACGGGTGTCGGCAGTGCAAAACCAGGAGAGTCAAGGTCAGTGTGTTTCCCGACTTGACCTTTTTGGCTGGGTCTTTGCCTTTCCCGAGGCTCCATAATTGGTGCAGTAGCGGTTGGAGTGGGAGAGGGAGTGGGAGTCGTGGCAGCAGTCTCTTCGCTTAGCCATCGCTGAGCCCGTCTTCACAAGAGTGTTTCTGCTGTCTTCCGTCTGCCGTTGCCGGTCCTGACCAAGAGTGCCCAGTGCGACGAGACGAGTCCTCAGTGCCAGCGCTGTGTAAAGCGACAGATCCGCTGTTCATTTCTCGAGAATGGCTCGGAAGGGTTTCCGACTCCCCCAGGAAACACATCCAACTATGACACATCTACACCCAGGAGCTTCGACCACCAGCATTCAGACGCCGAGAAAACACGCCATGGAGCATTTTCAACACCGAAACCCTCGTCGCCGCTGGCAGCAGAGTCAGACCCCGCCCCCGTCGACAAATGTTTTGACCGTCTGGACCTGGAGCTCATCCAGCATTACTCCACGCGGACATACATGACCATGTCCTCGAGACTCGCCACCCATGCTGTCTGGCGGGACACTGTATTTGCAGAGGCTCTGCGCCACGACTATCTTTTGCACGGCTTGATGGCCACCTCGGCACTGCATAAAGCGACTTTGCTGCTCAAGTCGCCGGACGCATCGGCGAAGTACTCCAAGGTGGCGCTGGCTCACCAGAACACTGCTTTGGCTGGATTCATTCCGGCTGTCAGCAAACCCAATCAGGAAAACGGTATCGCTTTATTCTCCTTCTCCCTTCTTCTCACCATATGGGCATTTGCATCGAAAAAGCTCCCCGAGGGCCTGAATAGTGTGAAGCTTGACCTTGGCACGGGCGAATCATCCCCAGGTATCACTCTTCCACTGCACTCGCCGACGGCCGACTTCATTGAAATCATCATGATTCTCAGAGGCATATATGCGGTGATTAGGGAGACAGATAAGTGGCTTCAAGGTGACATTGAAGAACTGTTGCGCTATCCGCGCTCAGAAGATTTGCCACCGCATTCACCAGAGGTGGAGGAGGCCTTCGGCACACTTCGCAAAGCCATTGACGATCCTCAACTGTCGTCGCTATGGGAGGGGGAAGACTCTCAGCCAATTAGGAGTCTCTTCCTTGAGCAACTGGAGCAGTTGCGTGACATCTCCAGATGTCGGTCCGTTGTCGAGTGGGATGGCCACATCTTTTCCTGGCTGATCATGGCACCACCGACCTTCATCCATTGTCTTAAGCAGAGCAACCCCATGGCCTTGGCAATATTTGCTCATTGGGCTGCCATTTTCAGGTGTATGGATCATCACTGGTGGGCACATGGCTGGGGATACAGCTTGGTCGTCGATGTCTCTGGCCTGCTAGATCCTGTCTGGGCGAGATACTTGGATTGGCCGAGAAGACAAGTTGGTCTCGTTTTTCAAGGCGGTGGAGCTTTTGACAGCCGCCGGATGACTTGACGACCAGTTTGAAAGGGGGCTCATCGTACGGAGGATAAGTCGCTCAAACGATTCAGGAATTTCTAAATTCTGGTGCACATATCCGAAGTCTGGACATCGTTCAACTTGAAGGGCGCGCCTCCTTTCCGGCAGGTACGATTCGAACGCTCTTGCGGCGACATTGATATGTCGAAAATTGCTTCCGCGAGATGAATGGAGCAGAAGGAGCCTACCACGCAATGGGCTCATTTCCACCGTGGAAGCCATATCTCCGTTGTATCCTTCTCCTCTGTCTGCAGCATTTAGCTCGCCATTGTTATCCACGGCACGTATATTATTACCCCAGACTGCTGACGGTTCGACACAATGCCTGTCACTTTTCACTCTTTTACGTCGACCAGCAGTGCCCCCAGCAGCCTGCGAAGCCAGCAACTTTTGGCCCCTCCCACGTCGCACAAGAGCGCCGAAGACATTCCCTTCAAGGCGGGAAAGGATGACAACATCAGTTTGAACATGAAAAGGAGTCGGAATCATCGACATGGACGGCAAGATACACACTCTCGACGTACAACTACTGATCACAAAAGGGGGGTCCGCGGGTGCAGAAACCAAGTATCTAGCACCCGCCCTCGTTCGCATAGCCTACGAAAAACCCATTCTCTCCCATCAGTCCAACCCCGATTTGACCTTGGCAACGTCGAACTACTTCAGAGTCCCCAACGCAGAGCACGACGATGGACGGTCCCCTCCAAAGCGTCTTCGACCCAGGGGCTGGCTACTCTTGTGCCAGTCGATGACACCGCAGGTACAACTGATCCATATTCGGCGACCAGATTCGATTCAAATCGGAGCCCAGCGATGATAACGCTTCGTCGTGCCACCACTACCAGGTCGCGGAGACGAACTTCGCTCACCTCTTTCCCGCCGCCCAAGTTCAGCCGGGATAGCAGCGGACTCCTCTCGATGTTTTTGAATTCGGTTACTCGATACGACGAAGCCGCAGTCCATGACAGTACAGAGGCAGATCGGACGAAGCGAGTCACGCAGAAGCCGCGGACAGCATCCACAGTAAGCAAAGACGACATCCGGCCTTCGACCAGTGCTGCTGCTCCACCTGTCCAGACCGAAGTTGTCACGGTAGAACCACGGCTATCATATTCCGGACCAAATCAGGCGGCCGAGTCCATCCGCCGGTGCTCCACCCTCTACGTATCGGACAGCGCGGTGTATGAGATCATTTGGGATGAGAACTGCTCTTCGAGTAACTCTGAGGGAGAGGATCCTAGTCCCCCTGGCCAAGCATCGCTATTTCAGAGTCGGGATCTCGTCGGGGCAGAGACGTTGGAGAGACGGCTGTCGAAGGTGCTCTCGCAGTCAAGACGAGATTCCCTGCAGGAAGGCAGCAGGAGAAAAATAAGCTATGTGCCAAGCAGCGAATTGTCTGTGCAAAGCATTTGGACCAATCCCAAAATTGCTCGGCTTTTCCGCGAACCAGCTTCGGGGAGTCTACCTCGTTCCAAGTCCTCCAAGAGCAGCAAGATGATGGTCACTTCGTCAACAGACATGGACCTAGACCTGGCGCTCGCAGATGGCCATAAAAAGGGAGCAGCTACTGACGGTGTCGAAATCTTCCCTCCACTACGGAGTCGGGCCAACACAAACGGAAGGGGGAACTTTGAATCTCCATCGAGCACGGGTGGACCGGACAGTTGGAGCGCAATTGAGCCACTAAAGCCGGTCGCCCGTGATCCGCTTGAACAAGGCTCAGGATCAGATATAGCAAGGAGTCGTTATGGAGTTATGATCGGGATCAGTTCGCACATGAAGCGAAGGAGTGTATCTGCTGAGGGGCAGCCTCAAAGTCAACGGGCGAGGAGTATCAAGTCTCGTAGCAGGAGATCAAGTGAAGGGAAAGCATCGGATGACGAGACGATTCCTCTACTGGGGATGACTTGATACGACCAGCGGACGAGTTGTTGTGGGACGTAACAGATGAGGTTGCTCTCCGTGGCGCAGTCTCCCAACTGACTTACCGATCAGTACGGAATAACACCGTAGTGGCTTTATCCATATGAACCAGCAGAAGAGGAAGAGTTCCCGGACACGGCAGCCGTTGTTACCATAGCGCAGTGGCAGGTGAACGTGGTTCGGGTTCCATCCATTTCGTACCCCAGGATTCGACATTGGCTCCCCCTTGCCCCCTCCCTCCGACCCGCATTCGGATCACATATCGCAGTGACCCGAGGCCCGAAGCGAGATGGATGAAGGAGGTCAGCGCTTCTTGATAGAGTTTTGTTCGAGTGCGCAAGCCAACTAGATTGCAGGACGGTATCGTGCAGCCCAAGTTGAAGGTACCAGGGGACCCAACACGACAGGTATCATCGAGTATGTAGCCAGGGAAGATAACTTGATCAGCATGTTTTAGAAGCCTTTGAGCGGAAACCCTGCCTTGGACCAACTCCCACATGGCTACCTCCCAGGTACCCAGTACCTCGACCGACGTCGGTAACCACCCCAAGGAACAAAGGTAAGACACTCTAACCATCGTCGTTGGAACCCACTGTAGCAACGGAGCAGGACCCTCGCGTGCCCAAGAGCGGCGCTTTTGACAAAAAGACGGGCAAATACTTGTGTGTCAGAGAATTGAAAGAAGGAAAACATCGATTCCGAGCCCTACCGCCGCAAGCTTTAGCCGGACTGGAGATCCTTCTTTCTCATCGGTCATCAACCATCAGCAATCAGCCATGCGCCATTTGGATTCCGATAGACTGGGGGCGCTTCAAACGAACCGAGCCCGATGCGGAATCTGGATACGAAAATAACTACTGCGAGCAACGCTCCGATGGAAGGTACCGGGGGGAGGGCCACGAGCGCTGGACTTGGACCAGTCGGCAGGGCATGTGGTTGCGTAAATAGGGTGCAAGTAGAGGATGGCGAAGGATAAGGAATCCATCGCCCCTGTGGTGCCTGGGTTGAACTAGACACCCGGAATGATGGGGGTTGTTTGGTCGGTCGGCAGAGTGCGGCGTTGAATAGTGTGGGCTGAACAGGTACGACAAAGAAGAGACAGCCGCCCAGACACACCCCAGCGACAGACCTGAGGCTGCCAATTGGGCGACTTCGCAAGCGATCATCAACACCATAATAATAATACCGAATATACGACCCAACACCGCTTGACCACGACGTGCACTTCCCATCCGTGATCGGTCAGCCGCAATCGAAACTGGATGTTACCCAGCTAGGCAGGTATTCAGTCCTCCACTTGCCTCTTTGCCATCCGGGAGCCGAGCATTATCAGAGAAAGCCCGTGTACAAGTAAATCCACCACAAACGCTGGGCTCTCCGGGGTAGGGTGGGTGCTTTATACTTGGTCCGAGGACCTAAGTATGTACAATAGCAGCAGTGGTGTGTGTGCAAATCATCATAATCCCGAGTACGCCCCGAGGAGGTCGCACAGAGTGGCTCTCGGTGGCTGCGAACCCCAGTCGTTTAGGTAGCAAAGCCCTGTCTGGGCCTTCTGGGGGGGGATTCCCTCCCGAGCCTGTGGTGCCTGCGAAATTCCTTATCCCGTCATCCAACGTTAACCCCGGCTAAAAAGTGGCCTTGGAGTGCCTGGACTGGCTGTGTTGGCAACATCTCAACCTCTAGTGGCCCATCGTTGGCCCAGGGTCTGCCGATACGCTTCCTCACTCAGCCCAGCACATCACAGCACAGCAGAAAAAGGCACCACCATCGCTGCTACTGCTGCTGCCGCTGCCGCTGCCACCTTTCCCCATCCTCCCATTCAACCCATCTCCAAACCCTGTCGGAACCACACACCCTTTCTCTTCCTCGCTCTAGTTCTCCCATGGGCCTCCTCTGCACGAAACCCTTCCTCCTCCTGTATACAGCAATTGTCAATCGCAAGCTTTTTCAAGTCGACTGAGATATATGTGCTCACGCCTAGTCAGCATTTTGCCTCCTGTTCGAGTCCGCCGTGTCCCTCCGGCTCTCTCTCAACCGTCGAGTTTCCGCGGCATTCACTGAACCTGCGTCAATCAACCTCCTTCCCCACGAACCCACGCCGTCGTCGACGTCTTTGTTCGAGAAAGAGTCATATATTCTTGGGCCCGTCCTCCATTGAGGTCGTTTGGGCTCCAGGTATTGAACATTGGCCTGTCAAGATGACCTGGTCATGACATCTATCCCTCCGGCCGAACCGCGGCCTCCTCTATTGCGACGCCCAACCGACTCGAGACGACCTTCCCTTGGGAGAGCATCCAGTCATGTATTCTCGCCCGTTGATAGAAGGCCGCCGATGTTGCGCAGAGAGACGGTAGCGACCGGGGAGGACAGACCAACCAAAAGGCGGAAGATCGAAGCTGACACTAAGTCGGATCACGCTGTCAACTACCACAATCCCTCGCTCCCTGCCAATGCTCCCGATCCAAATGAAGATAACAAGGCCGTTCACTGGCGCTGGGTCAAGCCCTCGGCACTTCGGGCGGCGATTGCTAACTCACAAAGCAAGGAAGAGGAGGGAAATTCGAGTGAAGACGATGTACCCGATCTCCCATCCCGGCCTTGGAGAAGCACTCGCGCCGCCAAAGCCGCAGACAAGCCTAAACCGACACATCGATCGCGGGTGGACATCCCGGTGCCCAATACTCCCGATTCGATACAAGTGCCGTCTTCAGCACCGCAATTTGTTCCCAAAAGACCGGTCGGGTTCTTCCCGTGGACTGGGAAGCATCCCGAGGACGTTTTAAATGACAGCAACGTGAAGAATGGCTATTTTGACAAACCCCCGAACCCCACCGAAAAGGAGCTCAACACGGCGCGAATCCCGCTCTACAATGCTTTTAAACACAAGTCCGGTGTCGACAGTTTGTCCGCCCTCTTTTCCCTTGTCCTGAATCAGAAGAGCCAGTATGGCTTAATCAGTTCTGCTTCCACGTTCAAACCACCTCCCCGCGTCACCTTGACTGAAGCGAAACGAAAATCCTGGATAGCGGATCTGGCCAATGCAGACGTGCCATTGAGGAGGCTGAGCAGGACAATCCCTCAGGGCATCAAGGGCCAGACCCTTTTAGATCAATGCTTGCAGAACTCGGTTCCGTTGAGTCGTGCGATATGGTTCGCTAAGTGCGTTTGCGCAAACGAGATTCGGACCTTGAAAAGGAAAGGAACTGCCCCGGCGGTGGCCATGGGCACCGAAAGCAAATGGTTTCGCGAGTGGACAGTCAACGTCGAAGAATTTTTGGAAACACGTCTGGAACAAAGCAATCCATCTGATTGGAGATCAGACATTCAATACGCATTGCGGCTTGTTACCTGGCTCTATTTAGAGAACCTGCTGGATCGGGGCCATTACTTGGATTGGATCTTGCGCTCTTTCACTGCGGCAGACGTCGGCCACACTCCTTTCTGGCTGATGGTAATCCACATATACAAGCAAGATTTGAGCCACTATCGAAGACGCGGCACCAGACTTGCCGAAGCACTGATTAACAAGTACCGCTCAGTGGACAAGCTCTCCGACCAAACGATAGCTCCACTGAGACAGAGGCTGCGTGCCGCAATCCGGGAATTATTGTTTGCACGTCCTGCTATCTTCCTGAGGCCAGACAGTTGGCCCGAGAGTTTGCCCGTTGTTCGAAGCTGCCTGGACACGACCATTAGACCCGAAGCTCAGATTCTTGAGGAACTCAGCCGCATCAATGAAAGAACCATGGGATTTAACAAAGCGGAATTCTTGTCCGTTCGCGCACCTGACGAGGCGACTATTGAAACTCTAGACGCCGCCGCTGTGCCATACAATTTCACTCTGCTAGACGAAGAACTCGCGGGCACCTGTTTAGACTTCGATCTCCTGGTGCGATCGTGTCTTGAATGGTCATGTACGCGATTTCGACAATCCAGAACTCGAATATATGTCGCCACTCGTCTAGTCAAGCGCTGGCAACGAGGTGGCCAAGATGTTGACACTGCTATTCTCAATTTCCTGTCGGCCTTCCGGGAGGGGAAGACAACGGCTGATCTTCACTGCTTAAGACACCTCATTGCGCAACTCTCACGAGCTGATTGCTTCCCACTAAGCAAATACATGCAGTGGCTTATGGTGAGAGGTCTTCCAGAGAAGGGAACGGTCTGCATTAATGAGGATTCAATCTTCGAGCCAACTCCAGGAATTGAACCGCGGCGGGAGTCAGGATCCGCCCAATTTCTGCTTGATTTGTCGTTGCAGCGGGCAGAAGACCATGTCATCAATTTACGGAACTCGGTTCTTCAACGTGCAGGGTTCGATCTCAACTCGGAAGAGGCCATTTTCGGCCAGTGTGTACGTTTTCTCGAGCGAAAATTGGCGGAGTCAAGCTCCATCACCAAGCCTAGGCCACCAGCCCTTGTCGAGCCCTCTTTCGCGTCTCTGCCGTGGACTCTTCGGACCAGAATATCTATGTGGCTAAGAACAAGAGCTCTCGAAGGCGCCAAATCGGCGCAAAGCACTCCTGTGCTTCCTGGGTCTAAGGTATTGAATGAGGGACAATTCTTCTTGATCCGTCACGTTCTTGAGTGCATGGAAGATGAAGCAGTACTTGCCGATGTGGTTGGCATTCTGTCGGTATCACAAAGAGATGACCTTGTGGCGTCTCTCGTTGCTACCATTCATTTCCATGCCGGTGCCTTTTCCGCAATTGGGGCATTTGAAGTCCTTCAAAAGCGGATGTGTCAAGTTTACATGAGTTGGCGACCTACTAAACCGACAATGCCGCTACTTACTTCGACCCTACTCGACCTTTGCACTGCTTTCCCAGCCAAGTCGCCAGCAATCAGGTTGCTACAACAGGATCTCGTTCGAGGAGATCGGGGGCGTGCAGTTGCAGCTTGCTCGCCCTATAGTGACGGCATTGCCGAGTCATTACAGCAGGCGGGTGCTACCTTTGTAGAAGATTTTGAAGCCATTCTGCAGTCGGAAACCAATATGAATGAGCAAACCATGAACGGCCTCTTCTCGGTTCTGGTCGATCGCATTGAAAAGCAACAGAAATTCGGTGACGATCCGCACACGATACAGTCATTCTGTCAGCTTCTCAGCCGGCTTCGATTGTGCCGTAGGGCGCAAGGAGATCTCCTCATTCAGAAATGGATGTCGCGACTGGTCCCCTGCCTCGACGCCAAATCTGGGCCTTTGCTTCTTCAGATCCTCATTGCAACGGGATGCATCACATTTGCTGTCGTTTTCGACGCCGCGGCTCTTTCTAAGCCAGGCCCACGCAAGAATTTAGCTGTCGCTTCCTTGCTATATCAAATTCTTGCTCCTCCCAACTACACGTCACTTGATTGGGCTGCTTACCAGGCTCGGACGAGATGGTATGAATATTCGCAGAGGGAACCGTCAACTGCTCTGGAAATACTCTGCGAAGCTGGACTGCGGGGGGTTTCGCCATCTTTCGACTCGCTCTTGTTGGACTTGCTTGTTAACAAGTCAACGTCAGACTCGCCGTCTCTGCCTGACTCCGCGGAAAAATGGGTTGTCAAGGCACTCAGTCGGACATTGAATTGTTCCGATGGTGATTTAACTGTGGCTGGTCTCCGAGCCTTATTGAAATCCATCAACATTTTCTCGCACCGATTTGTTCAGCTACGATTCCGGCTCACGTCGCAAGGTTCTATGGAAAAAGTGTCAGGGACGGATCAAGCTGACTTGACCGAGGTACTCTCCGAGTCATTAAAAGAGACGTTACAGAAACCGACTTCAACATACGGGCAAGAGCAGCGGTTTTCACAACTACTTCGGATAGTCGGCCCAGATATAGCTAGCCAGGTCCGCCACAATGTCGAGAATGAATTTCTGGACGCGTTGCCGAAACTGCCAATCACCAAACCGACAAGTCCACTTTCGGCGGTCTTCCCTGGCGACATTCAGCAATTGTCTTTGATTGTCGAGCAAGCGTTCCAAGTGTGTAGAAAAGATGTCAGCGCCAGCCCCGGATTCATGTCGCGCCTGATTGACAGACTGTCGCAGCATCTCAAATACTTGGGCAACGTCCAGTTGACGCCAGCTACTCCTGCTACACCTAGTGCAGCTCCTCCAACTGCGTCTGGACTTGCCGGGTCTTCAATGAGTGTGAACCATGCTCAGATGATGTCCGTGACATCCAGCCCGGTTGCCACCACATCAGACAGCGGTAGTGGCTCTTGTTCGGCAGTATGCTTGAGCTATCTGCGATCCATGCTACAAATGGTGTGTTTGCAACGCCCGGCGCTGGTTTCGTCAGGTTCCAATGGTCCCAATGCCAAACAAGGCCAGACTGAACAAGTTCAACTCCTGGTACGACTGGCGTCAATCGCAACGCATCCAGCAGTGGCATGGACATCAGGTCATCAAGGAAGCCAGGAAGAGCAGATCAAGGCAAAGGAGGTAGTTGATTTCGCATTCGACGTGATTGCCACTGTTATCGATGATGTCAGCGACGAAGTCACAACGGCGAGCGCAAAGCTGTTGAAAGACCGATTGAACGATCCACGGCTCAGATATTTGTTTGGCAGCATCAACATGATGGGATCCGCGCAGGTCCAAGACATGGGCCGAGGACTGCAGATGGTCAAAGAAGGCAAGGGAATTATCGGAGAGTGGAGGCCTCGAATGTGGGAAGTGCTGGATAATGGGAGCGGTAAAGAGAGTGAAACGCCTCTCGGATTAGGTCTTTTTCGAGCTAGGTATGGTTAGAGAACCGGATCAAGGGGGGGGGTGGGATTTGTTCAAGACCCCAACAGGTTGACCAGCTTGTTGGCGAGCCATTGTGCAATGACGACTGCGTCTTGGGAGGCTATGGTGTTGGGAGTTTTTTTTTGGTTGTCTGTTTCATCTACGGCTATTTTACGACGTCACGAGGGAATGGTTGTGTTTACTCCAGAAGATTTTGCGCGGATGGATTGGGCCTTTTGTTTTCTAGACGTTTGGAGCCCCCAGCATTGTTGGCAGGACCATGGACGATGAAAGGAGTGATTGTCATTTCCACCCTCACAGGGCTTCGATGCCTGACTGGACGGGTGCCATGTATGTAAAAGGAGGAGACGTCTATCTAGCCGCTGCAGGATGTACAGCCAGCCTTAGAGTGGATGAGAAAGGCTTCCGGCCTCTGTTCCGGAAGACAATGCTATGCCTAGACCACACGTCGAGTCATCTGATGTTCATGTGGACTGCCTTGGGAAGACAGGACGTGAATGGGAGGATTCCAGTCCCAAAGCAGCAGTGGTACGTACAAAAGATGTCAATGAGGACGACGGACTGGCACAGCTAGAGCCGGTCAGCTGGTCACTTGAAGGGCCCTCACGGAGCCAAGGCTATCGTCTTGCATTAATTATATGCATATCCGTTGATTGATTAGCGGAAGGATTCAGGCCAGTAGCTTAGCTGTGCTGTCGAAGGGCACATGCTCATGTGTTGTGCAGGGAATCCCACGGAGAGGGCATGCAATGTGACGTGATGGTCTGAAGGGGATGGGGAGAAATCACATTGCTCGAGAACGACGTGAACGACTCGGCAGGGGGACGGCGGCCTTGTGGTGTCCAGGTGCCTTTGGAGGCGTGACTGCTGCCTTTTCTTTGATTGCTGGGGAGAGGCAAGATCAAGAAGATCCCAAGCACCAGGCGCGGCGGTCGCAGTCGTCGTTCGTGTCGTCGTTCGTGTCGTCTTTCCTTCCGCATCCGCTGGAAGACTTCAGCGGTATTTCGACTCCTGCTTTGGGCTCGTGCCATTTCTTCATCCCTGCCATCCCGCTCTTCCAACGTCCCTCGTTATCCCTCTCTCTGCTCTCCTTTAGCATCACGTTGTCATGATTATTTTTATGCTCGACTACTCTGTGCTCAGTTCATTCCTATGACCCTCTGTCCCCAGTGCTCAGTGCTCCGTGCTCCGTCCTCAATCCTGTAGACTTGGGGTGTCCTGTGTCATTCTGTTCTTGTGCCTGATCAGCGGCTGATTGCCTCGCATACTCACCCTGCATCATCCCGTTCCTTGTTCTGAGTCTTGGACACCCTGCTCTGATGGAAGCGGTTTAAATCCCTCCGGCACCTCGAGGCCTCTGTGACGGCTCTCCCAACTACCCTTCCTATGGCTGCAGATGCACCTCCTGACCGTGGTCGCTCTACCCTCCGCCGAGATGAGAGCACGGCCCAACAGACGGCCACTCGCCCCTCCCCCGACCGGTCCTCGAGAAGACGCTCCACAAAGCGCCCGTCGTCGAGCAGCCCTTCATCGGACAATGAAAAGTCGAGGCCGAGGATAGAAAAATGGACCTTGGGCATACTGAACGATAAGGAGACCGAGGAAGTGCCCGGCACCGTCTTGCTGCTGTCCTCAAATCGAAATGAGCCTCTCGGGCTGGAATATCAGCGTGGCCGGCGGAGCAGTTCCTCCATGCCTGCTCAGCCTATGTCCCCTCGGCGTCTCTCGCTGGCATCTAAGAAGAGGACAAAGGACGGCCAAGTGATCCTCGATCCGCAGCCGGACGACTCGTTAAACGATCCTCTCAACTGGCCGGCATGGAGACGCGATATCGCCCTTCTCTCTTTGGGCTTTTATTGCATGCTGGGTGGCGGTATGACACCTATTCTGGCCGCCGGTTTCAATAACGTTTCCCAGTCGTTCCATGTTTCGTATTCTAGTGTCGCCCTGACGACGGGCTTGTACATGATGGGCATGGGAGTCGGTAGTGTCATCTTCTCGCCTACTGCCATCCTGTTTGGGAAACGGCCCGTCTATCTGGCTTCAGCAGTGATGTTCATTCTCACTTTGGTCTGGTGTGCTCTGGCGCCCAGTTACGCCCAATTGGCCACCGCAAGGGTCTTTCAGGGAATATCCGTGAGTCCTGTGGAATGCTTGCCGTCTGCCACCATTGCCGAAATCTTTTTTCTACACGAGAGGGCGTTTCGCGTTGGCATATACACTCTTCTGCTTCTTGGTGGGAAGAACTTGGTGCCCCTGGTGAGCGCTGCCATCATTAACGCCAAGGGATGGAGATGGGTATTTTGGTGAGTTCCGGACCCAAAGTGTGCGCTTATCCTGCTAATACCGCTAGGGTTGTCGCGATTGTAGCAGGCTTCAGCCTTCTTATTCTGTTCCTCTTTGTGCCCGAAACTTTTTGGGACCGGACTCCGAGACCAAAATCAAGGAGACCAACCGTTCATCGGAGCCTGTCTAACCTTCTTCATCCTTTGCATCAGAACAAAACCAATGCCCCCGAACATATGCCCATTGATAACAACGCCCTCCAAGCCGCTATCGACAAAGCTATGACCCCCAGACAACACCGACTGCACGAGCAAAACGCACACGCTAGATTTGAGGACGAGATCGAAGACGACAAACTCGAGGAACACGAAGTAGAGGTGAAAGACCATTTTGACCCACAATCTCCAGCCAAACATCAAGGCAATGCTCAGGACGAGAAAACCCCCCAGGATCCGGCACCCGCAACGGACGGCGCACATGATGTGGAACACTCAGAGGAATTCAATCGAGGAAGCACCGCAGAAGTGGGATCGATCGCACAACCAGAACCTGCTGCCCTTCCTCGAAAGAAGCTCAGGCCCTCAGGATTACCTTTGCCGCCTTCGCCAGATCCTCGCTCCTTCAGTAGACCATGGGACGGGACCCACAACGGCAAGCCGATGATTTTACCGCCAGGTTTGAGGCCTCCTTCGAGCGGCGCAGGCGCCGAGACAAGGTTTTCTGAAGATGATCCCACAGTTCCATATCTGCATAACCTCAATTCTCCATACTACGTCGAGCTCGAAAGGACCGATGACTATCTCGACCATCACGCAGCTTCCGAATCGCAAAGCGTCACATCCCGAGAGCTAAAACCAGACCTGGCGAGATCCGACACGGCTATTACACTACCTGGTTCCCCCATCAGTCTTGAAAAGTCAATATCCACGAGCGTCAATGACGGCGTGGCTTCTCCCAAGATTGCCCGCTACACGACCAATCTCAAGCATTCGCCACCAAAATCTTACATTGAGACCCTTCGACCCTGGAACGGGAGGTTGAGCAAAGCGAATTGGTTCCTCGTTGCACTTCGGCCTTTCATCCTGTTTACTTACCCGAGCGTCCTTTGGGCGTCGTTGGTATACTCTTTGTCGATTGGCTGGCTTATCGTGCTATCCGAGTCAATTTCTGACATCTACCGAAACCGAGATACGTACAACTTTACAGCTCTGCAAGCTGGGTTGATATACGTTTCACCATTTGTCGGCGGCATTCTGGGTACAGCAGTGGCGGGTCGGGTCTCCGACATCATCATCCGTTTCATGGCTCGCAAAAACGGCGGCGTCTACGAACCGGAATTTCGACTCGTCATGGCTATCCCGGTTGCCATCAGCACGGCGATCGGCCTCATGGGTTTTGGATGGTCTGCTCAAGAGCGAGATGCATGGATTGTCCCCACCATCTTCTTCGGTATCATCTCCTTTGGTTGCTCCTTGGGAAGTACCACATCCATCACCTTTTGCGTTGACAGCTACAGACAATATGCCGGCGAGGCGCTAGTGACGCTGAATTTCAGCAAGAACATCTTTCACGGGCTTGTGTTTAGTCTGTTCTTTGCGAACTGGCTGGAGGAAGACGGGCCCAAGACCACCTTCTTGGCGATTGGGGGTATCCAGATTGCTTGTATGCTTACGGCGATTCCAATGTATATTTATGGGAAGAGAGCCAGGATGTGGACTGTCAGAAATGCTTTCATGGAAAACTTCTGAGATCCGAGACCGCACGCCCGAGGCGAACGGAGACGGGCTTGTGTGAGAGACATTGACCGTGGTGGTGCCGTATGAACTTCTGCGTCTCTAGGTTCCAGGAAAGGAGGCACGGTGCCTGGCTTTTGGGAGTCCTGGATTATCACTCTTCTGGCATTCAGCATAGCGGTGGCGTTGATGACATTGATGGCGTCGATGGCTTTTCTTACTCTGATGAACAATGACAACCGCACCGTGATCAGGGTATCCAGGTCCCTGGTTAGTGTATGAGCACAAGTTGAGGGCATGACTGCAATGAATGAAGACTCGGGGAAGTAACTCGACTAGACGGGTTGGGGAGTATAGTGCATGGGGTGGCATTGGCATGAGCCGGACGATGCCACCGTTATCCCCGTTAAATCTAGAGCATGATGAAGAGCACCTAACGTCTTAAGGATACGAGAACCTAGAGAATCCATATGTATGTAGTTTCGTTAAACACGACATCCGAACCTCCCAGGGTCGGTTGTATATTGTATATCGTCGCTCCTACGACAGCGGCGGCTTTGGCGTTGGTGACGTGGTTGTTATATCCACCGAGCTGAGCCCCGGGGCCCTAGGCACATAGGTATCTACGGCGGGTTTCTGGGCGCGGTCCCTTACCCTCCCTCTCTCTCTTGCGTCGAATGCCTTCCTTGGTTCCGACCTTCCTTCACTCCTTGCTCGACCCCCATTCACATAAGTCTGCCCAGTATGCCGTGCTCGCCACCGTCACGGGTCCTGGAGCCTGCTGCATTGATTGCGTGCCGCTGCGCATTCTAGATGCCATGTACCATGTACTACTTGGTAATACATGGTTGGAGTCCTTTTGGGCTCCTGCGGCCCGCGGGTGATGGAGGGAGAGAGTGACGGTGGTGACGGAAAGGTGGGGGAAAAGGCTGTGACGACAGGATATAGGACATATGTAGGACTAGCACCAGCACAGCATGGGATGGGATAGGACGGAATCGGCAAGTGTGAACAGTGGCAGAGTGGAGCTACCAGCCATAACCAAAAAGTATGTATGCACTTTTTTAACCACGATTGGCGCTGGAAATAGAAAAGGGGGTTGCCGACGATACGACGAATTCCTCGAATTCCATGGGTGGCCACCATCGCGCACCGAGCAGATCAGCCCTAGAATTGTCAGGCAGTCAGGAGGCTATGTTCTCGTAAGTCCAGAGCAGCAGCTTTTCTCAGAGTTCGCGTCATTGATCGGAAGCGAGTCGGGAAGACGGCATTTGTGGACGGTGAAAGGGGCGAGCAAATCTTGGAAGCCCTCTTTTCGACAAGAGAGATTCTGTGGTCGATTGGTACTGAAGATGGTTGCAGGCTTGGTCTTTGCTCTCTCCGTCACGTTTTGGATGACATCCAATAGTCCAGTGCTCGGATTCTTCCACTGCTGCTTCTCGGAGGGTTCAACGAGCAGCAGCGACGATTTCTGATCCAGTCTCGAGACGAAAATTGCGCCGAATATGGATGTGATTAGGTGAGCACCTTGGATAGACCCCGTTGCTGGCATACGCTGCCACCGAGGAGCAGTATGGAGTCCCTTGAAAGTCAAGCAGCTCTTCGACTCGGGGGGCTGTCGTCTTCGGGTGTAGGTGGACTTACCTAGAACGTTGTGGTGAGAAAATACATTGAGGCTCGAAATAGAAAATGCGTGAAAGAATCTGTTGGACCGCAGAAAAATCCCTAGCCCCCCGCGTGGACGGTGCCACTTAAAGCAGTCAACCGGGCTGTCACTGCAACCTGCAAACATGCTTCTGGTCGGCCCGGCGTGGAAAGGACAGTGCATCGCTTGATCTAGTGTAAATCCCCGTAAGGCTTACTGCCAAGTTCATCATATGATATGTCGAGAAATAGCCTTGGGGATATCCCATCAAACCAGGGCGATACAGAAGGCCGCCGGGCGCAGACGTACCCCATTTTTTTCTCCGCTGTATCGATGTAGTATGGACGATAGAGCCAGTCACACCGGCAAGTGTTGACGCACCGATTGTCCCGTCCGTTTATGGTAGAGCGAGAGAAGGAATGGCGAACGTTCCAAAGCTCTTGGCCCTAAAAATAGTTCCATAGACATGTCAAAAGTCAGAAGAGGTATAGCCTGGCAGGAGGACAGGGGAACAGATGGTGGTGACGGCAGATGATGGCTGCAGCAACATTCAGAGCTACAGGGGAATTCCGTCTCCTCCAAAGCCGTTCAAAAATCCCCTCCCCCGAGATAGAGCATTCGCCACCCAGCAACGTCGAGTCTTCCAAGTAACGGCCGAACTCCGCTGGCTGTGAAAGAACATGGCGCTCGGAAGGGCCGAAGTGCCCTATACATACAGTGCACCGAGTACAGGCAACAGCATTCCCGGTGTACAGACGATGAAGTCGGCCAAGATATCCGCCGTGGGCGAGGATCGGAGGTTGGCGAATGTTGCAACTTCTCGCAGTATTTTTGGAAGTGGCTTCATCTCGGTGGAGTCAGGCCTTCCCAGATTGAAGAGGGGCCTCGCTTAAGTCTCCATGTGAATGGATGGACTCCATCGTGCGTTGCCGGTGAGTTCGACTGCCGGGGACTTAGTCAGAGTGATACGGGTGGGAAGGGGTCGTTTAGAGTTGGACACGAGGGCTGTCGTGATGCTCGATCATTAACCGGATTCCGTGGGGTACCACGATGGTACAGAGTTTGTGGGCGACTTGTCCCAGCCGTGGCTTCAAGGAACTAATCCCAGAGAGGTGCATTTCGCGTAGGATGATCAGCCGTGTCCTTTCTCATTTCCCCAATCCTGACTTGTAACTTTTGGAGACGAGCGATTTTTGGGACCGGCAAGGCAGACATTGTTCGACCAAGTACGAGTAATGAATGGTGCGTAAACAAACCGGGACGGGTGACGGCACGTGGCTCATCCACATCGTTCGTTTCATGCAGGAAACATCCGGATTCACTGTGCCGGACCTCGTGTGTCCCCTTTGCAGGCAGAGGGAGTTTCCCGCCTACCAAGTCCAAGTCTGTGGACTCACCACTGCAGCAAGATGGCGCAACCTAACCCGAATAGGTGCAGAGAAGGCCCTGGTGGCCCTGGCTAACTGGGTGGGAGGCATGTAGGCGAACCAGGCAGACACGCGATGCGCACGCCGACGAGAAATGGATTGACAGTCATCCAGGGGTGGTCAGTATGCACCACAGGACTCGGTATGTAGATTGGAAATCGAGGTTACGCCCATTCCTTTTGCCTGGCTGCTTAGACCCGCGACGTTCTGGGCGTCCGGGACCGAACTGGATGAAGTCAATCTGGGCGTCTCAGCTCGTCTAGGATATCTCTCAGGCATTGCTCATAATTGTGGCTGTGGTACAATACCGCGGTCGTCGACAAATGAGCAAGCATTCTTTCCGTGGGGGTCATCTGACTCAAGGCATCAAGGCAAAGGCTTTTGTAGGCAGCGAAATAAAAATCTCTCGCGATTGATGGTCGGGTAGCTCGCGAAACATCGGGCCCGCGGGTGTAATTGGAAGTGTCCAGAGCTGCTTGCTTTGTTAATCCATATGGCCGAACAAGGCGGCGCCGTTTAGGGGGCTAAAGAGCTAAACAGCCTTCCGACCAGCCTTTTTCGGTCGTCGTGTCGTCGCTCGCCAATCCCCGTGCGTCGAGATGGACCAGGGAGCCACAGGCCTTGTCCAGGGGGTTCGGTCATGACGCAGGCCAGGGTCGGTGGATTGTGTTTATGAGTCGACATTGTTGATTGAGCCATTGATTGTCCTGATTCTGTTCCATTAAGTTACTTGCCCGCCGTTGCGATGTAACGCCAATTGTTCGGCATGACCAAAAGACAGAGGACCCTGGGAGAAGGTTTAGAGATTCGAGGACTTTGTCCCTTGGCTGATGCGCATTTGCTTCGTCCCAGAGTGCTGCTCATAGTATTATGCCCTGTTGCAGTAGGGTCCCTCCAGGATATTCTTAACTGTGCTTGCAGATTCAGGGCTATAATTATGTGTTAGTCCCTCTTGCTGGCGTTTGGAACTTTTGGGAAGTGAAGCCACCAGGCAAGAAGAGGTATCTCGTGGAATAGGGACAGGTGTACTGATCAACCACACCCTCTCCTGATACGCACCGGATACGACAAGTCGTCCTTTTGCTGCATTGAACGAGGCTGTGCCCCTGGCGACAAACCACACACGTCGGATGCTGGACTTATTGGTTCTCAGGCCCTGGTAGCAAGGGCTCGTTGGGTGTGCATGTCGTAAGGCATCACTGTTTCTGCTGGTATATATCGCCCCTCGAGATACTGGACCAGAGTTGCTCTGTCCCCTTTCAGAAGTCTCACTGAGACCTCTTCAGCTTTCTTTCTGCATGATTATGGACAAAAGGCCATCGACTACCTCTACATCACGCGATCAGTCGACATTAGAAGAGCACGCACAAGGGTCACCATCAGATTCGCCCCTCAAGGAACCCTTGTCAATCAGCTTTGACCTAGAAGACCCTCCCCGAAGAAGTCCTGCACCCCCGGACGAGCCCACTTTGTACGATTTCACAAAAGAAGGGGAGGAGATAGATCCGGTGACAAGCGCCTGGGCCGAAGATCAGTCGCCAAGTGGAAGTCCTAAGGAAATCGACGACGACCAACCATCTCAAGAGGAAGCCAAAGGAAAAGAGCGAGAAATGAGTTATCCAGGCGACTATTACCACTCAAGAGCGAGCGCATCGCCCAATGATCGCCGACCTGACATATCGAGAACAAGCCCCAGCAGCTCTGCAAGCACTCCTCGGCAAGGCTCAGAGGCCCCCAAAGGCGACGACAAAAAAGACGATCGAACAGGAAGTGGCGTCGGCAGTGGCAGTGGCAGTGGCAGTGGCAGTGGTAGTGGTAGTGGTAGTGGTAGTGGAAGTGGTAGTGGTAGTGGTAGTGGCAGTGGCAGTGCAAGCGCAAGCGGGAGTGGCAGTAGTCGCTCGAGACTTGTTGCAGGAGTCTTTGTGAGATATTGATACGGAGCA